ACTCCATTTTCAAAAGGCCACTAGAGGACCAAATGGAAATGACACCATCCGATATCAAAGCCTGGCTTTCAAATTGGATGCCAGTGGTGGACAAAGCAAGTAGAGAGCAGCAACAACTGGGCGCAGCCTTCCATGAGGCAGCAGCAACTTTGGATCAGGCTTTCGGTCTGACCTTGATTTAGATGACAGCAGTGTTGACACTATCAGCAATAGTGCAGCTAGTAGCAGTGCTGATGACAGCAGCAGCACGGGCGGGTCCGGTTGGTGACCTTCCCCTTAATATCTTGCCTCGGTTGGTTTTAAACTTTCCCGGCTGAGGGGGCCAACTCTCTCCGCCCCAATGTTTGTGGGGGTTATCGGTTTAGGGTAGCGGCACGGTGGATAGTCGTACTCAGAGTAGCCTTAAAATAGAATTCTATTTATCTGTTAAATCTTTCCAGAACCGCAAATGGAGTTGCGGGAATACGTGGTTTAGCAGTTTGCCAGGTTCTTAGGGTTTTCTTTTGGAAGAATGACTGAAAATAGAAGAATGACACAATCCGGAAGAATGACACAATCTGGAAGAATGACACAATCTGGTAGGCTCTACGTAAAAACGTGTAGCAATTTGTAAAAGGTGACGTAATATGGAAGAATGACATAAATATGGAAGAATGACACAATCAGAAAGCATGACTCAAAGTGGAAGATTAACTCAAACTAGCAGATTGATCCAAAGGTTGTGCAGGAAGCCAATTCCCTGCAACCTCAACGTTTAAAACCGTTAAGCTGGGAAACATCCAGAGTTGTCTTTTGAATGTTTCTTCAGGGTCGGTGTGAGAGCAAACGACACCCATGAGGGTCGTTTCCGAAATGGTATATGCTACGGCATGATAAATTTCGAGGTGATGAGGTTTGAGGACTGTTTTCAACTAATCATTACTGTCTCAATTGAATATGGTTTCGAGTTCGTTTACAACCTTCAACGATGAAGTTTGAGGATCGTTTTCGACGATCCAATTCCTGCATCCCTTTGTTGGAATGGAATCGTCGACGTATTGTGCTCACAACTTGCTTGGATCACAAAACAAAACCAACTCACTTGAATCATCATAAAACAGAATCTTTCATCTCTTCACCAACTTATTATCATGACATCTATCTACCAAGGAACCAACACTGCCAACGGCGCCAACAACAGCAACAGCAGCAACAACAACATGAAGCCTGCTTTTGTTTCCCGTGGACTTGTTCAGCAACGCATGGACAAATTGGAAGAAGTGTGTGCTGCCCAACGTGGCCTCAAGATTGTCAAAAAGTCCAAGTGGCAGGTGGGTGGTTCGGGTTACGGATCTGGTGTGTACTACAAGAAGAAGACGGAAATGCGCTTTGAAGATGCCAATGGCAACAAGGTCCCCATTGTCAAGAACTTTGGCAACAACTATGCCAAGTGAGAAAGCATAGAGGCTTGGTATTCAAGGGGCATTCGCTCGCAGACCCCAGGAGTTGTATCATAGAGTGATGTCGTTTAAAAATTAAAGCATTGAAAGCATCGAATGAACTTTTCAAACAGCTCTAGCTAGATAGCTATACCGTACCGTAGGACATCGTACTGTCGAACTTAGTTTCCATTCCAGTGCCCACCTCGGCAACCTGTTTGCATCGAAGCATGCCATGGCAGCCATTCCGTACAAACAAGAAAGAAAGATGGGAGCTCTGAAGCTTCAAAGCATTGATAGAGCGGACTACCGGTAGTACATCATTTATTTGTAGCCACAACCCTTTTCATTCACAGCCACCTGGATTGAGCCCTTGCCCTAAACAAAACGATACGGTCAGGGATAAGAGATAATAGAGACATTTTTGGCATTGACAACCAAAAGATGACTGCCTGCAAGGGTCCAAAAGACCCTCAAATTTCTAATCTCATCCCTTGAATCGATAGCCTTCCATTTGTCTCTTCTTCTTTGGGAAAGGGAAGGAATAGCTAGCTAGTTGAGGAGCCACAGATAGCACAATAGGAATCGAATCGAGAAGGTCCTCATTGCCATTAGTTGACCTTGAAATCTCTTCCAAAGAAGTCCTCCCTGAAGCATCGTTGGCAATCCAGTTAGAGTTCATCGGCTCCTGCCATACCCCAAGTACGCACCCTCCAATACCAGTCGAGACTAGACACCACACCCATTACCCACCTACCATCACATCATTATCACTGATCCCAGCTATCTACCTAGCTTCAATCTTATCTTATCGGTTGCTTGGTGACTCGTCAATCCACAGATACCCAACGTACCGTAGTTATCCTTCGGTATACCCCCTCCATTCCCACACTTCACTTCTATCGCAGCAATACAATACTGAATTAAAGATGTCGGCTGAAGGTGGCGAAAGCAAGGCTTTGTCCGCCGAGGACAAGAAGAAGAAACTGAATGCGAAGAATCGTAGTCGCAGTCGTTCCATGAGTATGGAGCGCAAATACCGCGGAGTCAAGTTGACGGACGAAATGATTGCGGAAGATCCCGTCTTGGCGGGCGTGTTTGATGCGGCCAACGAAGACGACATTAACAAAGTGGAAGAGATTATGGAGCACATTGAAGATCGTTATCGACCACGACGACCGGCCGATCGATTTGTCGATCCCAATGGAGATACCTGTCTCATTCTTGCCATTCAACACGGATACAAGGAAATGGTGGACATGCTCATTGACGATTTCAAGGCCAATGTCAATGCCAAATGGTCACCTCTCGTAGCGGAATTCGAAGATTCCAACATCCAGCCACTCCACTTGTCCATCATTGCACTCGCGAAAATCAACGAAAACAACGAATCCGATGAACTCAGGGAACATCGACAGGATATTGTACTCAAACTCATTGATGCCGGGGCCGATGTCAATTGCCTCTCCATCAAGGGAACCCCACTCATGCTCGCACTCAATGGAAACTGCATCCCCCGTGATGATTGGGATTTCCTCAAAGAGCTCGTCGATTTACTCCTCGATCGAGGTGCCGATCCCAATCTCATGGGAGACGAACCCACCAATTGTAGTCATCCCCTTAACGGAGCCTGTTTCATGGCCTTTTTCGGGACCGAAGAATTACGTCTCGAAATTGTCGAAAAGATGCTCGATCACGGTGCCGATCCGGGCATGTACGCACCCGGTGGAGGCGGACAAGTCTCCACACCATTGCACAATGCCGTCACGCGTCGGCAATGGCAAGTCGTAGAACTGTTGCTCACATTCCAACAGGGACAGGTCGCCGTGAACAATACCCTCATTGACATTACACCGGAAAATGGATGCACGGCGCTCTTTTTGAGTCTCAACGATCCAAAGATTGAAGGACGACACAATCAGGTACGAAAGACCGTCTCACTCTTGCTCCGGTACGGCGCCGACATTCACATAGCCAATGCCGATGGCATCCCACCCTATCATGGATTGGAAGTCATGAAAACACCCAAAATGCAAGCCCTCAAGACGCTCGTCGACGAGGCACCGGTGCCCACGGGAGACAATCTGGAAGAAGTCCACGATTATTGGACGGCCCCCGCCATGGACGAATGGGTCGGCAGTGTCGGTGATTACCGTGACGTTCAATGTCCCGTCTGTTTGGCCTGGCGTGATGACAAGCAACAGGAACAGGAGGGAGCCGACTTTTCCCTCTGTAGCCGTTGTGGACAACAGTGCTACTGTTCGCGTGATTGTCAAAAGCTGCATTGGCCCATTCACAAACAGCTCTGTGCGCCGCGAGATGATTAATTATTAATTGAGGAAGCAAGCAAGACATTTTGTGAATTTGCAGTGAGAGGAAGGACCACGACAACATGAGAATTTGGATTTTGGATGTTTTTGGAACGCACGACGATAAGAGGAGGAAGGCATAGACGACAAAACCACCAAACTCAATAGCTTTTTCGAAGTAGGATGGGCAAGTTTGTGAGGTGGGGTGTCGGAGATTGGATTTGGAAAAAGAGGATGGAACGAACAAAGAGACAGCAATTCGCAAAGGATTTCATAAATTTCCAAGCATCCGCTGTGATCTGTCGTTCGTTTGTGTGGATGTAGCTTGCTTGGTTGGCAAAACTCATTACAACGGGGGATTGTAAGCGAACATCATGTGTGATATTTTTAACTTAAAATAGCGTTGAGTAGGTTTCTTGTAGTGGGCAGCTGTCCTGCTTGACGAGCTAGCTACCTTCGTGCCCTTCCAGAGACCAATTGGCAACTAGCTAGCTTTGTATCCTTCCAGAAAACAACTAGCTAGCTAGTGGAAGCAATGCAAACATGTCCTGAACAGCCTTGACCGCGTCTAGTTTTCTTGCTGGGAAAGGGCTGTGTAGGGTGTCGCATCAAAGCCTCGCCTCCAGCTACTGGTAGTTCGGGATTCCTTCATGATCTGCGCATCGATGTCGCCATGGTGCCATGGTCAATCTTACGGGAAGAGACAGAACATTGTTGCCTAGCTCGGATCGAAGAAAAAATCACATGGTTACCCTCTTGCAAGAGCCACAATACTTATTCGCCAGCTTGATCGAACTAGGAATTGCTGGCATCAAGCAACATGCATTCGTGAACCCCCTTGGCGGACTCTGCCAAGCTACGGCACAGGCAGCAGCTTGTAGCCTGCGATAGAGAATGAATTGCTAACTTCCCTACTCTAAACCCCCTCTGTCATTGGAATGAAGCAATCGTTTCAAGTACCGAGCTCGGTACCGGTACGGTACCTGGTGCTGGATCCTACACCAACCATCCAGCCCGCCAATATTTAGCAACTACAAAAGATCAAATCACCATAACGTAGAATCAAATTATCGTTGTTTGTAACATAGACGCAGGACTTCCGTTGGTTAAAGCTCCTTTCGTGTTGTCACCGTTCTAGCAGCCGCCGCAATACACCAGTTTCCACACAATATAGCCACCTCCCTCAAAATAGTCAGCTGTCAAGTCGACCAGATCGGCGTAGCCATTTGCACAAGCATAGGAACCGGTACCGCCCGTGATCATGACTCCGTCAGTGGGGTTGATGCAAGTGTAGCTGTCGCTCAACTGACCATCCGCAAAAGTCCAAACACTTCTCCCCAAGCATTGCAAAGATGCAATGTCAGTGGTGGATGGTGGCACGTACAAGACTTGCTCTTGGATGGAACCAATTTCAACAACGGTCGAATTTTCAAGGTAAGCTGCCGCGTCGTAGAGTGGCAAGTTGAAGACCTCTTGGTCCAGCGGCTGTGGGATTCCTTCTCCAAAACTATTGAAATAGGTTGCTTCGGTGTACAGATTCTCTCCAAACAACAGGACCTCCTTGGTAATGCAACTGCTATTGGATTCGGCAGCCTCGGCTTCTACGCTGTCGAATGCGACAGGCCCATCTTCTACACTCAGCATCCGTCGAGCAGCACGAAGCTTGGCACCTATCTTCGCCACATTGCGGTCATGAGCAAGAGATCCTTGGATCGCGCCGACAAGCACAATCAGGGCGCTGACAAAGAGATTCCAAATGAGCTTCATTGGTCCGGAATGCGTTCAAAGCAACTATGGTATGTATTTGTGGCATCTTCCAACCTCACATCTTTTGCATTCGAACTGGCAACTCAATTGCCCATTTTTTAAACTGTTGAGCACACAACCTGCACACATCCGGGAAGCCTGAATCGCGCGAGCTTTTAGAACTCAATCCGAAAAATACCGCGGGAGTGACCCAAAAACGGCGAAGAACGACGTTGCAAAGCCGGCAAGAGACGTTGTCTTCCATGTACTTGATAGGTCCTCTAGAGGATCACCCTTGCTAGCTAACAGGACCATACCCATTCAGCCTTCACATTACAAGCAGGAGGCTGTAGGTAGTTCTCAGCAGCAACTCCAAAATTTGTTTCATTCCAAAAGGTACCGGTAGTCGTTGATGCGTTGCCTAGACTAGACTATATCCAAGATGTGGTTTCGATGGTTTGAGCGAGCGAAACAGTGCCTGTGCTTGCGGTGGATCAAGATTAACACGGTGGATCAAGATTGACACTACTAAAGACCAGCAAAGAGTACCGTCAGACTTGCATTTGAAGTCCAAAGGAATGTGCGCACGATGCAACCAATCGTTTCAAGTCACGTTTCGCACAAACTACGAGTGCTTTGTCCTCAGCGACATAAACCGACGTCCAACCAACGAACACTGCAGATCATTGTCCGCCGCTCGTGACGACGACACGATGATAGAGTGAATCCACACTGCAACAGAATGGAACTATTGTCTTGCTATTCTTTTTAAAACTGGCAAACGACAAGCACAGTTTGCCTTTGTGATATGGAATCTGGTTTTCTGGTCAAAGATGGGTGCATCAGTGAGGGCGCCATTGATTTGACACCCAAGGAACCATCCAACACCTGCCTTCTGGTCTCTTGCTCGATGAGACACATGCGTCTTCTAAATGTTCTCTCTCTCTCTCTTGGGGAGGGAGGGGGGGGGGGGGGTTGTTGTTGTTCCACCGCCCTTCACCTCTGCTGCAGGCAGTTAGCTCAGTTGGAAACTCCCTTGACAGCTTCGATGTCCATACCAAGATTGAGATCCATGGCGTCTTCGAAGGGAAATCCACCGCTGAGTAGGGATGAATTGTCGTCAAGCTCCATCGTATAGTCCAAGGGGTCGGGTCCCAAGTCGGGGATGTCAATCGGAGCAAAATGGCCAGGACCCAAGTCGGGGATTCCTACCAGGGAAAGGTCATCAGGTGGAGGCGGCACAGGTTCGGGAGCTTCGGCTGGGACAGCAACATCGACGGTCATTTCTTCAACACGGGATGAAACTACTTCCACAGCACCAGTGTCGGCGTTGTCCTCTTCGTCCAGGGGTTCATCGGCGCCATTCTCTTGGTGTTCATCACCGCTGTTCTCTTCGTTGGCCTGTGCACGGGTGGATGACGCCTCCACGGCAACTGGAGGGACTGGGGGCAGCAGAATAGCAGCTGAGATTGGGTTTCGATACGCAGCAAAATCTTTGGGACTGAGATGCGTCCGAAGCAGCCCGATGAGGTATTCGGGTCCCCTTTCTCTGGGAGATGCAGGAAAAAGCGATCCGTGAGCGGCATGCTGCTTTTTTGAATTGATGTCGTGGTGATGGGCGGGACACAACAATTTCCTGCACTTGCCTTAGTCGTTGCTTCACTTTCTTTTCGTATCCTTCACGGGTTAACTGTTTGGCAAAGGGAAGAAGACGAGAAGTGGTGAATGAAGGAAGCAAAAGGGCTAGAGAGGGGGAACAGAGGAGTACAGAAACAGCGTCATTGGCCGCACCTCATAGTACTGATTCTGCCACTTCCCGACAATTCGACGACCCTGGGCCAGGAAGTTGTCGATTACAAAGTCGACCAGCCAAAGCTTGTCTTCCCTTGAGGAGCACAAATACTCGAACTTGTATGGGTCGACGCTGTTTCGGTAGATGATGGTTTCAACGTCATGGTTGCTACATCCGCCTCTGTGGCGGGAGGGAAAGAGCATACCAATAAGTGAAGGCTTAGTACACAAAGAATCTCAACACAGCACACGACTGGACTGGAGTGAAACTCACCTGCCAATGATGGCGTCGAGAGCGCCGCGCTCTGGACCGATTGGCTTGTTCAAGTCCAAGTGAAGGCTGTGGGGATTGTTGTGGCTGGCCATGTTGCTGGTTTCTTGGGTTTGATGTAAGGTCTGAGTTAGTTCTGGGCAGAGACTTTGAGGGATGGAATTGGAATAGAATGAGAATGTGAGGACACAGGATTGTGGTGGACACACTTGCAAATCTGCAGGAGATTACCAGGCCACAACGCTGGCAACATTCATCAAGACATTGGCATGCTTCAGAGAGTTTTGGTTGGTCCTACCTGGGTGGAATGCAACGACGAAACGTCCTCAGTGTAACATGGATCTGCTGGAGTCTGGCTTTGGAGGGGTGTTTGTGTTCGTTGGGAACGAAAATTGTGAGAAGAAAGAAAACCACTTGGAGGCGAGATCTTTGGGAGACAAGAGCTCTGGTATGGTTTGGAGGCACAAGTTCTACGCAGCTATCTACCAACCTCTAGCTAGGAAGCCAACAAGCTTCAGGAGGGAGCTACCGGTATGCATATGGAGATTGAAGGAAGAACAAGTGGGAAGCCACCGTGACTCATTACATAAGAGTAGCTGGTGGTGGTGCATCCTATGTGCACAAAACCATTCGTGTGCGCAGTAGTAGCTCGGTGTCTACTTTGGGTGGAGCGATCCGAAGGCGGAATGGCTCGAAACTCCCTGAAATCAGCCTCTGCGTGAAGGGCCGTGAAGGGCCGTACGGGTCCAGCTACGGTGTGTAGCTGGTAGTTGTGGGGAGGTGATCCCCGACCCGGGCCAGAGGTTTCTCAGGCAACGACAGGCAAAAACGCTGTCCTGATCTCTTGCGATCTGTGCGCTGTGTGGGCTTGTGGGACTCGACTCGCAAGAATGATGTCCAGTCGGAGCCGTCTGAAATTACTTAAGTGAAACGAGCTGGTCCGGGAGCATGCTTGACCGAGCCTAAATAATCGGGAACAAGAACAAAAATCTGATGATCCTGGTGAACACTGAAAGATAAGAGCGAGTTCCCCTTGAGTTGGATGGGACTCAGAGTGTTCTTTTCGATGTCCTCACATGCTTACCAGCTTACCAGTCAGTTGTGCGCTGCTTGTGCACAATGTGGCTGCTAAGTACCAGTACCGGTACCGGTAGTAGGTACCGTAGTAAAGGTACAGGAAGTTCTACCACGGATGACCCGACCAAGCCGACCAATTGACAGGATCCCACATCTTCTTGCCTGTTGCCGTCACAATTGGATCATTCCACAAAACAAACTCGTTTACTTATCAATATATAACGGAATCAATCAAAAGAAGAAACCTCTCCTCGGCTCAAAGTAAGTTGGTCTCTTGTTTGATTGATACCGGTTCCTCTGCTTTGTGCGATGATGGTTGAGATAAGACTAAAGTCCCTCCGCCGTTGTTTGTGTTCAACAAGGTCATTTCTTCTTGCGCACGTTTCGAGCTTTCTAAGAAGTGGTACCAGGTTTCTTGATCTTTGTCCGTTCCTCCTGAGGTGAACTGTCGCTCGGAGGCCGGTCGAACATGAACAACAACAGCAGCAACAGCGACAATTTTGGTGGAGGAGGGCCGCCGCCTTTGGCCAACCAAAACGGGCACAACCAACAAGGAAATCAGCAGCAGAACGGCCAGAATAATCCATTTCAGCCAATCGCCGTCCAATATCCCGTTCGTAACAATGGCAACCGCCACAACCAGCCATGGCAGCAAGCTCAGGCTCAACCGCAAGGTGGAGCTCGGGGTCAGCTACAGCCTATGCCGCCACCGTTCGGCCAGCCTCCTTTCCCAAACGTGGCCGCAATGGGACAACCTCCTGCCCCCAACGTGGCCGCAATGCCGCAACCTCTCCAAGCTGCCATGCCGCCGAACCAGAACCACCCCTGGCCACAGCAGCCACCTCAGATGAATGATCTCTTTCTGCGGATGTTGCAACAGCAGAATGATCTCGTGCAACTGGTGCAACGGCAGCAACACCAACTCCAGGATATGCACCAGAGACAAGTCCGTCTGGAGCAGCAGGTCCAGCGTTCACAAGTACCTCCGTCCAGAGCAGCAATAGTTCCCCATGGGGCCCTTGACGGACGCCGCGACATTGTGACGGTCAAATACCGGCCACAAAACAGAGGCCTCCCACGACTCAATGATTTGACGCTGTTCTACAGGGATACCTTTCGATATATGATCTGGCAGATGGGAATGCTTAACCGAGTGTTTAATGCCGCTGCTTTCTTGCTGGTAACCTTTTTGGACATGCTGGCGAATGCCTTCAACTTTCGAAATGGTCAAGCCAACCCTGTACGGAACATTTCGGTCTGGGTAGAGCAAGACCGTGTTTTGGGCCGTGGTCTACCCGGGTCTCACGGATACCTCCCGCGCCGCCCAGAGTGGCAGGATATGACCCAAAGAGATGTCGTTTGGCAGCTGAACGGCATCAATTTCGTACCTGCGAGTCGAGCATGTGTTCTCCATGATATCACCAATGCCAGGCCTCCGAATGGAGGGGGTGGTGGAGGTGGAGGCCACGGGGGTGGTGGAGGCCGTGGAGGTCGTAGAGGTGGTGGAGGCCGCAGAGGCGGTGGAGGCCGTGGAAATCGTCAAGGAGGAAATCAAGATGGCGGTCATGGCGGCGGGCCACCGCCACCGGCAGCAACAGGTCGAGGAGGAAGCCAAGGCGGACGTCGTGATGACGGTGAAACGGGCGATGGCAGCAGCCAAAGTGACGCTTCTTATACCATGTTGTCCGATACTGGAGCCACTGCCCCAGTTCCTTCCCGTGTTCTCTCCAATGAGTCTCTGAGTGACGATAGCTGGACAGACGGTGGCGCTGAGGGAGTACCCAGCAAGTGTGAGTAGTATCGCATTGCTATTCTGTATCATTGGATCAACTGGCAGCTAACTTTCACTTTTCTGGTGTAGGGCTCAAAGCGCATATGGGAGCCTTTGATAGTTGCGCAGCGGACACCGACACACAAAGCATAGACAGTGATTGTCCAATGGATCTATCGTCTCGCCTCAACGATGTTACCAGCAAGAGCAACATTCCCAGCCAGGGGTCGGTGTCACTGATGGAGTCTCACCACTCTGTGACGGACAAGTGGACAACAACCACAGCCAAGGACCCACCACCAAACGTCTTTGACCCAATCATTGCGCACGGAGAAAGTGGCAAAAGTGTCATGATCCACAAACAAGGCGGAGATACCGTTCAACTTGAGCGAGTCTTCCTTGTGAAAACCCACAACCCGGATCAGGCTTACAATCTCTGTGGGAAGGCAAGCATACTCTTGGACAGTCACTGCCAGGTTGAGGTTGCCTTTGTTCTCCCCCGCGACAAATCCTCCACACAGAGTGGGGACTGTGTCTTCCAAGAACCGGATCCTTGCAATGTACAGTTTGTTGCCATCAAGAAGATCAACAAAGCTGCAGTCCGAAAATTCCTTGATGCGGGTGGGTCCAAAGATCATTACAAGGATATTGCATATCTTCAGCAACTTGGCGATGGTGTCAACGTGATGCCCTGCATCGAAGCCCTAGAGACACGCCAATTCGTCTTTGTTGTGACCCCTTATAGTCACACAGGATCCCTGATGGACAACATTCCTTGGGGCACTGGCTTCTCGGAGACAGAGGCAAGACGGGTATTCGTGAATATCATTCAGATTCTGCAGTATCTCGATCGTCACGGTGTTTGCCACCGTGATGTCTCGCCTAGGCATCTCCTGTACCTGGGAAATCAACTGGTACTCACCGATTTCTCGGCAGCCATTCGAATCCCAAGAGACAGTAGTGGTCGTCGCAACCTTATCGTCGGACAGGGCTCTTCTGGAAACTTTGCGTGCCAACCTACCGAAGTCTTCCTAAATGGTTCCTTCGATGGAGCCAGCGCCGACCTCTGGGGTGCAGCAGTTACACTTTACACCATACTCACTGGGAATGTTCTTTACCAGTTTCCTCATCCATACGACATGCGGTTTCGCGTATTTGTTATGGCGGAAGGACTTCAGCCAAGTCTTAGCCAGCAAATCGTTGATTGGTTTGAAAGTTCGCCAGAGAGCAAGGGTGGCAATCTCCCAGACACCGAGAAGGATATACTTGCGATGGCAAAGGCGAATCTTGGGATCTCGCCTGATGCACTGGAGGTCCTGATCAACCTCTTGAAGTTTGACCCCGGGAATCGGTGGACTTTGACACAGACTTCCCAGAGTTCGTGGTTGCAAAGCGGAATGAGTGAGAATGGTGTGGCAGGTGTTACTACCATGGGCCCTGTCGTTGGAGCATTTACTGCTCCCGTGGATCTGAGCAGTCAAACAGATCAACTTCTTCAGCTTGCACCAAGCAAAGACGAGGTTGCCATGGATGTCGAAGTGCCGACGGCACTCGCCAAGTCAGAATCAGGAAAGTTATCTTCTGCCACGGAGGACGACGAATGGGCAGATGTATTGGCGGAGAGGTTTGTAGTACCCGCATTGGCTGGGGGTGGCCTCCCAGAAGCGTATGTTCAGGTAGTCATGGCAGCACCACTGATTGATGAGATGGCGCTCTGGGTGAAGATATTCGAGTTTGTTGGAACCATTGATCAGAGTGCCAGTTCCAAAAGATTCTATGGAGGGCGGGAACATGACCGCTCCATGTACATGTCACTGACTGTCCCACACAATCCATTCTTCCAGCCACATGAGATTCAAGTGAAGGTGTCAACCAGAGACCAAGGGTGGACATCTGGTGAAGCGGGCCACAGAAGCTACTGCAGTGCCGTTGATCTTGTCCTCGGTCACCATGAGCGTGACTACCCGGAAAACGTCGAATGGGAAAACACTCGTGGAAGGACCAAGGTCGTCTGGAACATTGCGGCAGGCAATGCCTGGGAGGAGACAAAGCGCACATTCGATGAACAATCTGATATTGTTGGGGCCATGAGACAACATCTAAGGACCAATCCCCGGGAGACTGTTGGCATTTACACTATTGCTCATTATCGTGGCTGGTTGTCCAAAGTGAAAAATGGAACCCTTGTTGTCAAATGGGCACCCACTGTGCAGGAGATTTGGAATGAGGTCGAAAGGCGAAAGTCTGCACTGTGACAAGTCGGACAAGCCAAAGCTTGAGCATTGCGCACCGAGCTTGATTGCCTTCAAAGGTATCCCCGGCTTTGCAGACCCCCTGATGGCTTGGTTTGTCTTCGACACGATACTGTACGTGCGTCCACGAGATACCCGCCACCATGAACCTGCTGCAGCATTGCCAGTCCAACTAGACACACAAACCAAACCATTATACATGAATCCAGAGAAGCAAACTTCAGAAACAAACCAAACCAGAAAGAATCAAAGCATACATGATGCATGTTCTACTGTAAGCCCACAAGAGGCTGAGTAACAAGAAGAAGAGTCGTTACCATACAGGTTAATAAGAAACGATTTGTATCCACTAATCGTAGCTGGCTGGCAGCTAGCCAGCAAACTACTAGCCAGCGAACAGGAGAAGTCACTCTTCGTAGCCAGTTTTCCATCCATCATCCATCATCCTTTCCGCGAAGCAACCAGAGCAAGCAACCATCGCAAAGACCATTAGAAGGAACCACTTATCTGGCTAGCCTTGAACTGAGGTCAGCTCCTTTTGCTACTTGTACGCTGCGGTGCTGTAGTGGTACATGTATTTAAACGCTGGGCGATGTAGCTCCTCGAAAGCTGTTCCGAAGGTGCTCCCCATAGCCATCAGTAGAAGATCCCAAAAGTCGTTTCATACGGTGAACGCAACGATTCTTGAACGAGGGTGGTCCCGATGAAAAGAAAGCATCTGTCACACCAGGACTCGACTTACAGTTAACAGTTCCCTGTCAAAATAAATTGTCCTCCCCACGAAATCCCAAAATCTTTCGCTTATTCGCGATCTTGAATCTCCAGTCGTGAGTCCACATGGATTGGGCCCGCACCATAGCATGGACATGGAAATAAATGAGCACACAATTTTCTTCTTGGCACAAGAAAGCATCCTCGATCGTCAATGCGTCTCTGAAGATGTCAATGGACCCATACCAGCCTCTGGAGCGCAGCGATAGTAGTGGTGACAGCTCGTATTCCTTGCTCACTGAGCAAGAGACTGTCAGAGCCGCGGAAGTTGCTGCAAGACAGGCAGTCGACCCGCAAAACCTTCTTGCCCAACAACAATCCCACGCACCGCCTCCGGTGCTGGCTTATTACCAAGCACCCCCTCCGGCTCAATACCAAGCGCCCCCTCCAGCTCGATTCTTTTCCCCACAACAACAACAACCGCAGGCACCAAATGCGGCACATCAGCGGAATCCACTCATCCAAGCTCAATGGGGAAACTCAATTTCTGGTGGTTGTCACCAACATGCCTACAAACAACCACCGGCAAGACCTCCCGGTCCGCCATCTTTCCTGCAACATCCATATCGTGGTCCCCAGTCAACTGATCATTGCTTGCCGCATGCAGTGCCGCAACAGCCACCACCCGAAGAACAGCGCTTTTTAGCGCAACAGGTGGCACTGCAGCAGGCCCAAATTGCGCAACTGCAAACACAGATTGGAGAGATGCGTAGGAATGGCCACATGGTGGCCTCCTCCTCAAATTCAGCCAGTCCATCAATCTCTCTGGAGCATCTTGAGAGCGCCGTAATTCTGAAACACGACTTTAAAAAAGAAGACGAAAACTTGAATGAGTTGTCAAAACTCTATAAGAACCAGCGCGTCTTTATCAAGGCATGTACAAACCCTCGAGTGGATCAGCCCTATGACTTGCTCAAACTCCAAGAGTTTCTCAAGTTTGTCTTTGAATGGATTCCAGGCCACCAAAGGCTCAACGAAGACGTATCTTTTTGGGTCCTAGAAGACAGGCTGACTAAGTCACTACCCTCAGGATACATACCTTTGGACTGGAAAGATGACAAGTACCCCCATGTTCTTGGAGAATTACATGGTAAGCGTTTTGTCAGAGCCAGCATTGCGTGCATCGTTCATGACCTGGTTGGTGCTAGACACGTGTGCAAAGAGTGCAAGAAACGTAACAAGCGCAGGAGAGACCAAGAAGATGACACCGAAAGTGATGTTGATGATGATGATAGTGGCAGCTCTGGTGGCAGAGACAATAAGCCTTGCCGTGACGGGGATCATCAAATGGAAGACAGCAACAACGGCAGCGGAGGAGGGTCTGGTAGTACATGTAGCAGAAAGAAGCGAAGCACAAAGAAGAAACAAAGAGGAAACGGAGGAAAGAAATCCGATTCCGCTGTTCGACGTGCTTACATTGACTATCCAAGTGATGGCACAAGCAGCTTTGATAGCGATGACGAGTCCATGATCTTCACGGACGCCAGTACCGACAGCGACAGTGACGACAGCCACGACGATGATGGCGATGATGAGGGGTCCGCTGGTCAAAGTGGTTCTCCTTCAGAAGTCTGTTCTGGGCAGGATCGTCAAGACCGCGAAGAACCTATGAGGCGACGGAAACCGCTCGAAAGCCTTGAGGATCAGCAGAATGACATGGAGGCTGTGAGGAACAACCAAACTGCCGAGACTCAAATCTTGCCAGAGAGTCCGGCCATCATAGAGGAGGAGAAGATTGCTGAAATGGAATCAGTCGACCATATGAACAAGGACGAGCATCCTGAAATTTCGACTGACAACAAGGCGGGGACGGAACTCATCAGTGAAGCTCAAGTGGAGGACAAGGCGATCCATGCCGAGATCCTTGGTGAAACCCTTCCTGCTTATTGGCAGCCGACAACGGAAGCAAGTTCTGCCCACACGTTCACTGAGGCTGAAATGGAAGAGCTTCGATTCGCTCTGCCCGACGTTCCGCCAAGCATGGCAGAGACTAAAGGCCAACCCGAGAAAAAATGGTCAACCGATGAGAGGGCAGCAATGATGAGCCTCAGCAGAGGTCAACGTGATCCAAACGAAAACAAAATCTGCCTTCGGGCCCCGATTCCCACCCAATCACGGAGTGCCGACGCTTCAAACACGGAAAAATTGAGAACCTTAAGTACAGCGGTACCGCAAGGTTTACAGGGGTTTAGAGGACCGCAATGGATCTTCCCACACACAGAGGAAAAGAGCACTCGGAATCATGAACAGCAATCACGATCAGTACCGGTAACATCCAGAACAACAACAACAACCACAACAAAAGTCCCAGCAGCAACTCCCATTAGTTTACAGCTGCCTCGTAAAGGAAGCTTCCAGCAGACGACCCACTACCACGATACCAACACAAACACAACCATGTCGGACGACAATGGAAGTGACGGCTCATGGCAAGATGTAGCCAAGGCGGCGCAGAAGCCATGGGCTTGTGCTGTTTGCACTCTAGAGAACCCACCCGATTTCTTGGCGTGTCAAGTCTGTGGCACGACGCGAGACACGACGGAGGTTGCCAAGCGGACGTCTGCGAAGGGCAATAATTTAGTGGAGCCGCCAACTGTAATCAAAAAGAAGGAGGAACCGGCTGCCATCAGCCCGCCCAAGCCTGACGAAATCCTCGATTTGTTGAGCAAGTACGGACACGCCACGTTTGACCATGGCGGCAGGGTCGTCTCTGTGGAGAGCTCTCCTGGACGATCCTCGTGCTTTTGCTTTTCCACATGGTTCGCCTGTGGCGACGACGACAAGGCAAACTTCCAAAGTCTGCTGCAACAAGCGATGGAACTGAATTTCACGTACTTGCAACGACCCGGCAAGGGCGGTTGTCTGGGATGGGACACAGAAAAGAATCAGCTTTCCTACAGTTGGTGCACGGAAAATAGTAGTTCATCATCCAAGAAACCATTCCAATCCATGTTGGAACACTATTTGAAGACTGCAATCGAGCTTGCCCAGACATTCCGCAACGATCATGACTCCAAACCCAATTCCAAACTCCCCCAAAAACGCAACGTCAGTCGTAGTAGATCTCCACGAAGGAAACATTCGCCTTCCCGCGACAAGACCAATGCAGCGCCCCAGAAATTCAAGTCGGCGCCAGTAGTCGAGTACAACAGCTTTCTGTCCCTCATCCAACAACAAGACGTGTCAGGTCTCTTTCAATGGATGTCCGATTATTGCGTGAACAAGAATGAAAGGGGGGACAACACGGTTGTGGTCTTGGAGGCATTGATGGGGTTTGTTGAGCAAGACGAAAGTTTACGGAACCAAGCTGTCGCACTCGGACCAACTGCCCTGCAACCCTTACTGGAAACACTGTCATCATGGAACCACCGTCCGCTAGCCGGTATGATTCTGGCCTATCTCCTCTGCTCCCACCGCCCGCTGCAACACGTCCACAAATACCAAGACCAAATCCAGGGTTCCTTATTCGATCAAGCACTAGACGAGAAAGACGGAATACCCAGCACCAAAATTCGATACGTTGTGGGAGCTGCCAAACGATGTTGGGATGGCCGAAGGATGTCATCACAAACGGACTACTATGATGACCTCTTTGCGGCGATTCAATCACACAGACAGCAACAAGCCACGGACAAGTTGATCGACATGCTAACAACGCAAGAACAGAATGAATTGTGGCAGTATCCGCAGCTCCAAGTGACGATTGTGGTGTATTTGATCAACGCTGTCGAAACGGACGCCACGCTGGGAGACAAGATCGTTCCCGCCGTGCCGTGTCTCCTGGAGACCTTTTATGCGACCCCTTCGAGTGATCGCGAAACGCGTACCGTGTGTGCCATGCTCGTCGCCTTGTTGCTGCGTTCTGACAGCCTGTTGATCGCGGCGGACGACGTTCAAAAACAGGCCATTCGAGATTGCGTCGAGTTTCTCTGTTCCGCCACGGGAGATCTTACCGTGTACCAGCCAATCGGCACGGGGGTGGCGAAACGACCCGCCGTCGATTTGCAAATGTCGCTCCAAGGCATTGTCTATGCCGGTGAAAAGGCACGGTCACTGCTAGCGCGAGGACCGGTGCATGTCGCTCCTCCCGTCGCCACGTTCAAGTTTTGGGCGTGTGCATTCTGTCCACTCAAAGAGAATCCCTTGGACGTGGCGGTTTGTCAAGCCTGCGGCAAACAGAAATCGGGACATGCAAAGAAGGCTCCTCCCAAGCTCGCTCGTCCCGGTATGGTGACCAGGGCTCGATCCGTGCTCACCAACTGGAAACACTTTGCCGCCCACCTCAAAGCAGTGTCCACCTGCACCGATGATCCTCCAAGGCAACTACAATTGGCTGTAGATTTGATGAAATCGGTCGAGCATGATGCCAATGCCAGGGAATGCATGGTCTCGATGGATTCATTCCACTACTTGCTTTCCATCTTTCGAGACACATCGGAACGGGACCGAGAGCTCCGAACAGCCGTAGCGTTGATACTGGCATATTTGCTCCGGTCTTGTTACCCTCAAAAGATCCCTGCCCTCAACAAAGAAAAGCGACAAGAAATCATGAGGATCCTGGACTTTTTGCAAGACAACAAGCGTGAAATCATGATTGGAGGAACAGAAATGAGCCCACAAGCTCTGATATATGTGTCTTCGCAAGCCAGGAACTATTTCAATCACATTGACGCGCACGACACAAGAGAAACCCGTCTAGTTTCCAGCAAGTCAAAAGCAACAATTTCTGGCCCAGCAGTGAAGAGAGACAAGAACGTTGGCCTGGCAGCTTGGAGCATTGAACCCTACCTGCATTTTCTGAAATCCAACAACGAGGAAAGAAAGCTTGATGCAGTCGTATCGCTGATGAAGATTGCCAAAACTAGCCCCACGCAACGAGCTTTGATGCACAACTACGGCATTGCAACACGGTTGGTTGACATAGTGTTCGCTGATGGAAGCGCCGAGCTGAAGGTTGCTGCAGCTCTGACATTAGCATACATCATGCCGGGAGGGGATGAGTCGGCCTCACCCAGACCGTTTGATGAGACAAGTGAGATTCTTAGAGTCTTGGAGGCGTGTGGAGGCAGAGATTTTACTGTGAATGGTGTCGAAATCCCATCGCAGGAACTGGAGTGGGCACTGGACATCTTTCGAAGATCCGCTTCTCCCAATCAGGTTGCTAAAGTCGATTTCGCTCGAAGTGGCACCACTAGGGAAAGTTTGACCTGCGACGATGATGTGAAACAAAGCAAGCAAATGACCACCTCAAACCTGGACCTGGAATATCTCTACCGAGAAAAGGATGTCACCAGGCTATTGGGTTTACTGCGTGCCCGAACATGCAGAATGCTTGACGCTGCTTTGCTACTTTTCTCATTGCTCAAGCGCAACTCAGATATTGGGGAAAGAGATGTTTCCAGCAACGGCCTCAGCTGCCTTCTGGACATCTTTTCGGACTGGGCAAACACCTCCGATGAATTGCGTCTGGCGGTGGCTTTAGTAGTATCCTTACTGGACCCCTCGGTGGAGCTATCTTTCGAATTGAAAAAAGGCTCCTTGAATTGCGTCAAGTTTCTTGAGAATCATCGTTCCGAGGCCCAACGAATAAGAGCAAGAGCTTCGAACAAGGTGAATGCAGCCATGGAGTTCAAGCTCGAGCCCACTTCCTATAACTACGTCCAAGAAAATGGCAACGCGGGGATACTTCACGCCAATTCACTTGGTCTTGTGTGCAACGCAACTTCTTGGACTTGGGATGTCGTCATTGATTGCAAGCCTCAAACGAAGGCGTATGTGAAGATTTCTACATCGGATCCCAACTGCCCTACCATGACTCTCAACATGCAGAACCAGGAAACGGCACGGCTATTGATAGATGATGCCCTTGGCCGCAAAAGGCTTTCGAGTGCTCAGCATATAGATGCATCATCAGGTGATGAAACCGATTCAATCAGCGACGACGCAGTGCTAACCGTACCTCGGTATTTGGACATATCCTTTGCTGATAAGCCTGGATTCCTTGGTGTGAGCGTTCACCATCTCGAGAACTTCTTCTTGCCTCAAGTCAAGAAAACCAGGGGTCTGAAAAGTGGTTCCAAGTTCTACGAAATTGAAAACCTCCAAAAGGCAACAGGGTTTGTGCGTGAACAAGGGAAATCCACCATCTGCCCAATTGACGGCAGATTGGGAGCCGCTTATGTGCATTGTCTCAAAGGGCAGGACCATGTGGGGCTAGCCAACCACATGCTCAGCTGGACGTGGAGTTATTCTGTCAAAAATGTAGTGGAAACTCTTGTCTGGTATTGCGAGAAAAATAAGTATGACCCCAAGAGAGTTTATGTTTGGATCTGCTGCTTATGCCTGAATCAGCATCGAGTTGTTGAAAAGTCCAACGACTCGGAGGTTGGCAAGTCTGGAATGGACAGTGCAGACTCGTCGGTAGATTTTGAAAATGGTAGGTGCATTATTTCATCTGTATTTGCCCTGTCTCCTCACTTTCAATGGACTAATTGTGCTTGTTGGCTACGTTTGTGCACTCAAAGAATTTCAACGCAGGGTGCTGGGCATTGGTCGTGTCTTGATCATGATGCGCCCATGGAGCGATCCTGAAAATCTACAAAGGGTCTGGTGTGTTTTCGAGTGCTTTATGGCCTACTACAGCGGCTGCGAAGTCTCAATTGTGATGCCACCAGCCGAGCATGACCGGATGGGTATAGACCTTTTCTCTTCTTTTGGATATGAGCATGGGATTGATTCCCTTTATGAAGCTTTGAATAACGTGGATTTGGAGAAGGCAAAGGCGTCGGTGGAGCAGGATCGTGTAAGGATCCTACAGCTGATTCGGGAACGGATCGGTTTTGATGAAGTCAACATGTTAGTCCGGGATAGGCTTCGGCTTTGGGTGAGACAAGTCATTGACTCCTTAGTCAAGCTACGAGAAAGTAATGAGCTCGACAACAGCAGATTGGGCCCTGAGGGTGATTCTCTTATGGGATCGGAGACTGACATAGTCACAGACAAAACTGCCAGATTGGACTATTGCAAGTTTCTGAAGCAAGTTGGAGATATATACGAAAAGTACGGTGACTTGCCTTCCGCTCACAACATGTTCAACAAGTGCTTGTCACTCAAAGTTGCAATCCAAGGTGAAGCCCACTTGGATGTTGCTGACGCTTGCACTGACCTGGGTCGAACACTTTTCTCTCGAGGAATGCTCAAGAGTTCAATGGAGATGTACCTTCGAGCGATGCGCATCCGAGAAAGAGTTGGGGGAGTCGATGCGGACACGTCATCAACTTATTTCCTTGTGGGTCAACTGCTGGGAGAGATGGGTGACAGTGATGAGGCCATTGCAGAGATGCAGAAATGCTTGGCCATGCAGGAACACCTAGAAAAACATCGCGAGGCAGCTTTTACACGTGCTCACATTGCCATGCTGCTCGGCGAAAGCAACCTGGAGGCTCTAAGGCAGCAGGGTTTGAAAATGGCACGCAGTTCGCTGGCAGCGCTTGAGGGTATCTGGCAAAGAAAGAACCACCCGGACATTGCCTTTTGTTACTACGTGATGGCAAACAGCTTGAAAGAGTCCAATGTCGAACAGGCATTGTTGATGATAAACCAGTGTCGCACAATCCAAGAATCAGTGCTGGGAAAACGCCACCCCTCTCTAGCAATCACATACAACTGTCACGGTGATATATTGCGGCGTCAATACCGACTGCATGACGCCATGGAGCAATATCAAAATGCGTTGAGGGTGTACCAAGAAACCATTGGATCCAGTCCGGTCAAAATTGCACGTACCTACGCCAACATGAGTGTGGTGGCATCGTTCTTGAAGAGTCACGAGGAAGCAACAGAACTCCATGATGGTGCACTCGCATCGATTGAATCGTCATCCGAAGCTATGGATCAGGAGTTGGTGCTGATATACAGCACCGCTGGCGAAGAGTTGTTTGAGAGGAATCAGCATGACCTGGCTGTCGTTTTGTTTCGTCGAGGATTGGATGTGATGGGAGCCATGCTCGGAAAGGATCATCCCGACCTTGCAGCTGGTCATGATGCTGTGGCACTGACTATGTATAGCAATGGTGACTATGCTGGGGCGCTGCATGAGTACAAGCGCTCTCTGAACATCAGGAAAGCACTTCTGGAAGAGGACAGCCCTGAAGTGGTGGAGACCACCCAGCTCATCCGTCGCACCACAATTCAGATCTTGGAACGACGAGGCAGCATGCTTGGTTTCATTACTCAATAACAAGCGGGGTAACTCTAATTGCACTACTAGTAGGATGATCTTTCTATTCTATTATATCGGTGCCAACAAACTGCCTCTACTACTGCTACTTTTTATTCTTCTATTATAAGAAGATTGCTTCCATTACATTTCCTTCGTTTCATTCATTCATTCATTCATTCATTCCGTATTCACTCTGCTAAAAATGACGTTTTCCGTGGTACACATGGGACACACCGTTCGGCTGCGGACACATTCTTCGCAAAAGGCAAAATGCATGCAGGGCATGGCAATGTGCGTTCGTTCTCTTCGATGACAGACACAACATGGTCCCAATCCGCTCATTTGTGTCGTGGCGGTGCTAGTGGCAGTTCCCGATACCACAGTCGAGGTGCTTGCTTGATCTTTGTTGTGGTTGTTGTGATGATTGTGGACGTCCGCGTCGTCAAACTTGTATCGTTGCGCCCTGATTTTGTTGTTCTTGTTGCTATTGCTCTTGTTGTTCGTGTTCTTGCTATTCGCCAGATAGGCGTCGAGCGGCGAGGACGAGATGAAAATGGCACAGTCCTCGGCAATCACGTCATCCACATCCACTTCGGCACTCGTATTATTGTTATTATTCGGCGCCTCATCGGGAGACGACGACAAGTCGTCGACATCGACATTCCTTTTAATAATGGCGGGCGGCGACGGCGGGACATTGTCGACATCGACAATCACTTTTTTGGAAGACTTTGCACCGCATGCCTCTAATTGTCGTTGTTTTTCCAAATAACTCTGTCGCAACGATTCGATGCGTTCCCGCTCAATTCGTTCGGCTTCTTCCCGTTCGAACTGTGCCATTTGCACACGTTGTCGTTCTCGTTCCTTCCATTGTCGTTTGAGTTCTTCGGCACCGGGCTTTTTCTGAAAGACGCGCTTGAAAAAGGACGCCTTTTTGGTACTGGTGGCGGCATGAGGAGGAGGAGACGGCCCCGTGGATGTTTGCGGCGACATGGAATTGACGTGACGCTGCACGGGCGTGGCATTGTTGTTGTTATGATGATTATTCCGGGGTGGACTGCTGCGTTTGGACGGTGTACAAGGAGACTCTCGTTCTTTGGTTGGAACATCGTCGCACGTACTTCGATCTTCTTGTTGTTGTTGTTGTTGCAGTGGTTGCAATGGTTGTTGTGGCACTTGATGTTGTCGTCGTTTACGTCGTCGTGCAGCTCGTTCTTCTTCCAACGACGCATCGGCTTGTTTCTGCAATTCCTTGGCTTGCAATCGTTCCACCTTTTGTTGGAGTACTTCTTTTTCCAATTTCCCGGCTCCATTTTGTTGCCGCAGTGTGAGTGGTTCGACATGTTCGAGTTGCAATCGTTTCTCGTCGTGTCGTTTCAATCCGGCTTCGGTCAACAACATGGCGCCACTGGATTGCCAGGATTCTTGACAAACGGCGACATGATCCAACGTCGTGACGGTATCTTCTCCAAATGTGCGTTCAAAATCGGCATCGAATCCGGACGAGTCGGCGAGCAAACAGGAATCGTCCATGGTGGTATTGAGGAGACTGGCGCTCATCTCGGCCGGACTCAACATGCCACCGCAAAAGAGTGCCGAGGGTGTGACGGGACTGACGGCATCAAACGACCAGTCCTGTTCGGGCGATTTGCCATTACACAACGTACTCTGTGGTCCGACAGTACTAAAGGAAAAGTCGAGACAAGAGGATGCGACCGACGCGGTATAAAAGGGAGACGATGTTTTCTTGGTGTTGTTGTTTTTGTTGTTGGTAGTGTTACGACGACGCGGTGAGAGAATATCATCCTCTTCGTCATCGTCGTCATCATCGTCGTCTTCTTCGTCCACAACATTGTCCATGAGAGAATGTTCGCAAAAGGTCGATGTCGACGACAGCGACGACTGGACGGTAGAAATGGCAGGAGGCGATCGTCCAGTGCGGGGTGGTGTTGGCATCATGGAATGTGTGGATGCCGCAGCGAGTGATTGTATCCGATCTCTATATCCCTGTTGTTGTTGTTGTCGTGTACTGATCGAGTTCATAATGAGCATGTCCATGATTTGTCGCGATACGACGGCGGGAGATTGTTGTTCGAGTTCGTCCAAGTTGGTGCGTGGTTCCATGAATTCTTCCGGAGTACTCGTGGCCACGGATTGCGTGTCGTGTGATGCTTGTCGTTGTGGTTGTGGTGGTTCTTGTTGTGGTGGTGGTTCTTGTTCTAGTTGTGGTTCAGGTGTGACTACTGGTTGTCTGGTTTGTTGACTACTACTAATGTTCTTGGGTGGACTGGCAACGGCAGTGGCGGCCATGCATTTCAACTGTTTCAAGATGGATCCTTTCTTCTGGCGGGGTGGAGAGGGAGTGACGGAAGGAGGTGCCGTGGTACTACCACCCTTGTCGACCTTGGAGGAGAGTGGTTGTGGATTATTGGGAGTCTTGTGAGCCTTTGTAGAAAAGTACTGTTTGAAGGAAGTTTTGGAGCGTGGGGACAAGAGCGAGAGAGGAGATTTCTTGTGGGATTTGGCAGGTGCTTGCTGTTGCTGTGCTTCCAGAATGCTCCCACTACTGCTGCTACTGGTATGTTGTTGCGATTGCGATTGCTGTGCATGATTGTTTTCCTTGTTCAAGAGTGGTTTGCGAGTATAACTCGTGTACACGGTGGAATCGTGCAATGTGGTTTCATCATCTTGGTCGCCTTCGTCGTCTTCCAGCAATTGAAAGGATCGTCGTTGCTTGAGTTTCAAATGACTGGAACTGCTCGTGTGACGATCCAAATCGACCGTCTTTAAGTGATGCTCGTAGTCTTGGACCGCCGGAGTGTAGTCAAAGCCACCCGTCTTGGGATTGCGCAGAAACACTTCGCTTTCCACATTGTGACTTTTACCACTACTTGCGTTCTTGTGGTGGTGTCGAGACGAGCTCTTGTTGTTATTGCTGTTATGATTGTTGTTGTTGTTGTTGTTGTTGAGACTCTTGTACGACGACTGACGAAGACTACTCACGCGATGGTGCACCTTTTCCGGAATCATGGGAGGCTTGCTGTTAGTAGTGTTTTGGCTAGTAGTGTTGCTGATGCGTTTGGCGTTGTTGCTGTTGTGACGACGACGAGCACTGCTGATGCTACTGCTATCTCTGGAATAACAAGAAGAAGAGGAATCGGCAGCCACTTCTTGATCGGACCAATTGTCCGAAGAATGATGATGATTCCGTCCTCCTTCCTTAATGACGGACTGTTGCCCACGGCGATGAGATGGTTGGGTCAGGATCATTTCACTACCGGTAGAATAAGTTTGGAGATGATAGTGCAGATTTTCAAATTGCCAATATTGGTTGGATGCCTCTTAGATATCAGACCGCAACTAGCCGGTCTACAAGAATCGCTACAGTATCTCTCGACCAAGATAGCCTGCAATCAGAAATTTCATGGCCAACCCAACGAGAATTTGGTGACGAGGATGATGCTTTGCAAGACACCTCGATCTATTGATGAGCGCAAAAGACACAGTGCGGAAGCTTCTTTGGCGGTTGGCTATTTCTAACCGTATATCGTTGAAACATGTTTGGGGGGCTAAACCGTACAAAGTCACAGCCACCCGTGACCTAATTAGAAAATTCTTGCCGTTCGGTACCTACAGCCCGAGCCAGTTTTTGGGTAACATGAAGCATCACTGGCACATGCAATGGAGCCATCACGACTGAAACAGCCTCCGTACGGTATGTAGCTCCTTGCTCCACCGCACCGCCGGAGCACCTGGTCTGCATGTACTTTTCTGGCTGGTTGGCTAGATTGATGCATTGGAACATGTACATGTACCAGGTAGCGGCAGCTGGACGAGTGCAGTTGCTCCAGCGGGAGCAAAACCTCACGCTGAGCTTGTCAGTGGTACCGTACCGTACTGTTGCCGCCACCCAAAGTAGCCACCCCTCGTGGGATCCCAAATCACACAGCAAGCAAAGCTTCTTCGACCACGTACCACACCGGTAGCGAGCGATTGCCTCTGTACTACGGAACTACTAGCTAGGGAACGCCTCGTTTCGTTGCAGCCAACGTTGCATCTGTCGCCACGGCAAATGTTCCGGTTGGCTACCGGTAGCAACCCCTTCGTTCTCCCTTGCTGAGCTTGCTTTCTCTCAAAAAGGGGACGGGCTGTCTGGCTGCTTCCGGGCTCCTGCGGATTGAATTGAATTCACTCCACTCACTCCCGGTCTACTAATAACTACTGTAACTAATTCCAATCTCCACCCCTTGGTCCAGACTTGGATGTATCTACCCTTGGAGCGCCAAGAACGCGCATTCACGGGCTATATCATGTTACGAGCGAGCGATCTGCGCCCCGGCTGCCCGTCGATGTTGGGAACCGCCAATGCCTGACCCCCTCAACGTGGACATGCCTGTTCGTCACTATTGCTATCGATAGCTCTACTAGTCTACATATCAATCTGTGTTCGTGGAACGGAAAACCAGTTGCACTAATTGATTCAATTCAATTCAATCGGCGCGCAACGTAGCTAGTAGCTGCCTGCTGTCCTCCATTTCTCGGCCTCGTTTCTCAAAAACGTTGGCGCTGACTGACTGCGGTAGCTAGCTACTAGACTAGACTGCCATTTCCACACTGTAACTGTCATTCTGATCATGACGATTGCTGTCATTTTTGTTGCTGTGATTGTCGTTGGCCGTCATACGGGCCACTTCTTCAACCAGAATCTCAAAGTCATCCCATTGTTCTTTGGCTCGCACATCATTCTTATTTTGTGGGGGCGTATCCGCCACAATGATTTCCAAGGCAAACCACAATCCCTTGGGTAACAACAGTGTCGAAGTGGTCTGTGCGATACTCTCCAGTTCGGGTTGTTCTTGTTTTAGTAGTACGAGTGGTTGTTGCTGTTTCTGTCGTTTGTTGTTGGCGGCTGCTGCTAATTCTTCCAGTTGCTCGCGTCCGTGATATCGAATGTCGGCAATGCCACTTCCGAGTTGTGGCACAACGGACTGACACAAATCGACAACTTCTTGCTGCAATAGGACGCCTCGTGTGGCCCATCCCCAAACGAAAAAGGCGGCCCCAAACAAGACGAGTACAACCCCGACGCCAATCGTCATGGCCGGCATGAAATTGGTGCCGAGACAGCACGCCAAAAACACTGTGACTCCCACCAATACCATGTAAGAAGTCCACAGAAATGCCGTTCCAATCCGATAATGACGCGTGGCAACCCGTGTCACGGCTCGAACGAGTTGTCGCCATTTGCGCGTCGACAGCCCATACGATGCCAATTCCATGGGGAATTCGCGCGTGAGTGGTTCGATGGAGGTTTGAAAAAACCAGCATGGCAACGCCGTAGTTCCGGTTTGACAATAAAATTCCAGCATGACATTGTTGGGTGGTTGAGATGGAGGAGAGGGTGGAGGTGATTGAGGAGGGCGCGTTTCGGTGTTTGTCATTGCTGGAATGATTTGTGGTTGTTTTTGTGGTTGTTGCTGTTGTGGCTGCTGTGTTCTTGGAAGAGACTCCATCAAGACTTTTTGCAGTTGTTGGACCAGCTCTTTATTTTCGTCGGGAACACTGTGGCTGTTGCTGTTGTCGTTCAAGTGATTATGACTTCCCGTGAGCTCGGATTCGGCCAGAGATGCCAATGCGGGCGGATGGGGGACATTCACAGTCCCCAGATAGCTCTCTCGTGTGGTGGGTTCCCAGCAATACGAAGAAGCATCATGGACACTACTATCTTCTTCGAGAAATGGCAATCGCGGTACTGGGCGATGGTGGTGTTGTTGTTCGAGTGTGATGGAGGAGGAGTCTTGGCTGCTTCCCGTGGCGGGTGGATCGGTGGAGGAAGAAGATCTCTGCACAGACAAAGAATGCTGCGGATGATTTTGTGGAATGTCATACTTTTGATTTTGGTCCGATGCTGCCACGGATGGCGTGTCAGAATCCAAGCGACCGCCATCTGGGTCTAGGGACCGAGTGCGGGGAAGATTCGCAGTGGGACCAGCATCTCGTCGAGACGGTGGGTGACCTATACTGTCCGACAATGGCTCGTGTCGTCGCGGTTGGGTGGTAGTGGACGCTGATGATTTGTCGCCACCTTTCAAAATGACAATACCTTTATTCTCCTTATTGTTCCTGTTGCTGTGGATCTTCTTCTCATCATCGTCCTCCTCTGTAGGATCATCACCTCGGTGGATTCGGCTAGTAGGACCCACATCGTACGAAAAGGGTCGATTGGTGAAGGCACCGCTGGAAGCACGAAGCGAACCATCGGGATTTGGCGGTTCATCGCGGCCGTGAAAGAAACCACCACCACTTCTCCCAAATCGATGCTCTTCTACAGACACGTTCATTATTGGCTATCACCTCACTCTGCAAACAACTTAGCAAACAACTGTACGTGGATAGATGGTGTGATACTAGCTAGCTACTGTAGTAGTTGACTTGAATTGATGGGCCTTTAAGAAGGAAAACCTTGTGGCAGCAACGGGTGACCTTGTCGCGGGCGTCTCATTTTTTGGAGATGGATCAAAATTGGAGAATTTGGCTAAACCTTGGTAGTAAAATTGAAATATCGAAAATGGAACCACTTCTCGGTCGTGGACCAGATCATTGCAATTCGACGACTGGCTCTATCATAGCTTTTTGCTTCAATACTATCTAGCTAAGTTTCTCTTCTCTGGTGCCAGCCTCTATCCCTCACCTCTTCATCGGGCGACCGAGGCTGTTCCAGAGGACAAGAAGTTCGACTCCTAGCTAGCTAGCAGCAGATACTTCTTTTCACAGCCTGCCCCACCAAGGGCAGATTCTTTGCTTTCCACAAAATGATACTAGCTAGCTCGCACCGGCACCACGCCTCCCTCGAGACGGGGGTCTCTTTTCAAATACCGGTATGCATACATGTAACACTGCCCACAAATGTATGTGAACTCTCTCCCATTCGTAAACCCCAGATAGACTACTTTGAAAGCATACTATGCTTCTCATGCGATGCCACTTGTTTCTTCTTGATGGGTGTCTTGGTCAATCTGGCTGCTTCTTGACTTTCCCAAGCAAGAGCAGCACACGGGCGACAGAAAAGGAATGGAAGCACATCCATTGTTGCAAGTGTGCTGGACATGCATTGCGATTGCGAGGAGCTCCTCGTTTCGGAGACAGGTTCTGCTTTCCACCATATTATTTGGTACAGGCTGTTCTAGCCGTACCAATAGCTAGCTAGGCAGTCTATGCATAGCTCCCGCCGGCCACAGCCCATAGAATGCAAGGGTGTACAGGCAACCCCCAACGCTGCCAAAAACGGAGGCATACCTGGATACGGTACGCTGTACATCACTACCGGTATTCACGAAGGGCTGCAAGGGCCCATCGAGGCGGTTTCGCTTGTCCATTTCCTCAGTAATAAAAAGCAAGGATTCGATTTTCCAATTGCAAAGTCCTGATGTTAGCCAGGCAATTTCGTAGTACGCTACCCGTATCATGTGAAACAAGCTGGGAGATAATGCCGGATAGATGCATGGTAGACATTCCTTTGCTATAGTCTTACAACACTAGTTCTATCGCATCACGTGTTCGTCGACAGTCTTATAGTGGCAAGCACGAACATGTACGCAGGCATGAAAAGTACAGGATCCATTGCGAGTCGTCGTTTCTTGGCGTCGTTCTCCGGCTGGTCTTGTTTCTTACTTTTGCAAAAATGTGGCTGGCATTCTTTAGGTTTTGAGCACACTTCACTACTCATACGGTACGGTATGAAAGTGGGTGCTCAGCGCAGCACACAATTTTGCGTTTCGAAGCAAGACTTCTTTTTGGTTTTCAGCTCGGATCGGGTCTGGAATGACCGCGACAGCCTCGACTGTTTCTCGCTCAGGATCCATGGGGGTGATTGGTTTGCTTCAGGATAGCTCGCTGGTTTGCTTGTTCTTGCTTTCCTGGATAGCTAGCCAGCCAGCTAGCTCATACGGATAGCTAGCTCAGAGACCTACCCCCTTCTTTTCGTGTGGCTAAGCCACTCGTCAGCAGCGGTTCTCGTTTTTCTTTTGTTTCTTTCTTTTCGATTGCTTGCTCATCCTCGTAGAGCTCCCTGAACGCAGTACGACTGACTGCGAAGAATCTGTCCGCGGCGAGTAGTAGTACTGATTTCTCGTGGTGCCAGACTGCTTCGTGTGGTGGGGACAACACCGACGGCTCGTCGAGTAAGCGTAGTGGTCTTGTTGATGTTTCCGGTACTACTCGCCCGCACTCCAAACCGTCCCAATCGACGGAGTCCGCCTCTCCGAGACGCCTCACTATCATCGTCATCGTCATCGTCACCATATCTTCCCGATTTCATTCGCATCCTCTTTTGTCGAACAAGATTGAATCGTTGTCGTTCGACGACCTTTTGAAAGGCGGTAAAGTTCTCGATATTGCTGGCCACGGAGACTGCCATCATGGCCGACACACCCAGAAACAACAGCGGCACCGCCAACATGGACAAGGGAATGATCAAGAACGGTCCCACTAATACCAACAAGACTTGCGCTTCCACTTGCGTCTTGATGGTAAAGTACACATTCCGCAGTGCCTGGCCCATGACGTGCCAGCCCAGCGCCATGCCCATCAACATCTGGCGCGCTTGTTTGCCATCTCGCAAAATCACGCGTTTCGGTGGCCGTGGACCGCGGCGGCGATTGAACACTGCGGTATTAGGACCATCCAGTGTATCAAAGTGTAGCATCATCTTGCTATTATTGTATTGATAATTATTTGTTTGTTCTGCCACAAGGGCTGTTTGAAAAAGGCGCCAAGCAATTTTATGAGAACGAGATTGTTTGATGCATGGTACCAGCAAGGTTTTTTCAAGGGTGGGTGGCAGACAAAAGAGGCGGGGTGACAGGTGGCGACAAAAAGCGGCACTGCTGGGATGCTGGTTTGGATGGTACCACTTCCGCCGATTTAAAGGCCATTGCCCTGTCCAAGCAGACATCGGATTGGTGCCAAGACCCATCTTTAAAAATCAGACAATGTTCGTGGGACCAACACTCTAAGTGACATAGTGGATGAGACATTGTTATTGACACGAAGCTTTCTTCCACCGAGCCACCACTATAGGCTTTTAACACAATCTCGCGAAATGGTATTTGAAGATACGAGTAAGAATTACATCAATCCAGTGACTTCTTCGGGTGATGCTCCCATCAATGATTAATAGAAGACATTTGCAATAATGACCAGAAGGTTTCTTACACCAAGTACTTTAAGTCTTCAGGCTTAAAGAACTCCGAAAACGGACATGAGTCTCACTGATCGATGCATTCACAATGTCTTGTTGTACGACTGTAACTCGAAGGCTTCAGCTTCCGGGGAAGGCATTCCAACACCCAGTCTAACTCCATGGCAATATGGCTACTAGCTAGTATCTTATTATCCACCTATAAAGCATGTAGTCTACTGGATGGGTTAGCTCTGAACAATTCAGACCTTGATGGTTGCTTGGGATGGGATCAGCTGCACTTGGCCTTTGAAAAAGATAGATGATCTATCTTGCACTCCGATTGTATTCTGCCTTGAAGAGTTCGCTTCTCAAGACCGAAGAGTGATCCTGCACTCTATTGATTTAAAAAAGGGTTGCAGTTGTCTCCTTTGCCCAGCCACCTGTATGGATACAGTGGGTTGTAAAACTAGTCGTGGTCTGCGGGAGTTGAAAGGGCCCGAGCGACTTCTTCGGCTGAAACTAGTAGCTAGTTTAGCTACAACCTCGAGGTGTGCCAGGATGCATCGTAAGATGACTGGTTTTGGGTGGTCGCTCACTTGAGAATTTTGCAAGAGTCCACGAGCAACAAGATGGTGCAAGGAGAAAGATCCATTTCAAGAGTTGGTTCGTTTCCAAGCAAGCTGCGATCCCAAGCGAAAGCTATCGGAACCGTTGCTAGCTGGTATTGCATTGTTTCGTGCTGCATCAGGAAGCCCCACAACCTCCCTCGCTTGCTTGAGAATACCAAACACTTTGTGAACAACACCTTTGGGCTTGCTTGTGTGTGTGTGTGTGTGTGATGCAGAACCAGGGAATGCCAGAGTCCCAGCGCAGCAAGCTGCGGATCCTCTGTGCAACAGATCTGGAAACATCAAGAGCAAATGTGGTAGCGACAAAAGGGGCCAATTAGTACAGTATACGAACGCTGGCAGGTGGGTCATCGTTGTTTCAGGTAACCCGTACCGGTACGATGTGCCGTATGCCGCTGGAGACCACCAGCTTGACCAAAGGCAGCCACCAGGGAAACTGTCTTCTGGCCAATCTGTGGTTGATTCGTTCTTCGAGCCAAATACCTCATACTTTTCAATATGATACTCCTACTTTATAACAATCTCCTAGTTCCACAACCTCTGTCTGCTGTTCCAGCCATGCCGCAGTGCCGCGTGAAATCGGTAGCAATGGAGCAGCACGACAATAGTATTCCATGATTTGCACTTTCAATCTTAATACACCCCCACGTACACCAGCAAAATGTGAATACCCAGAATGACATGACTGGCAATCACCGATCGGTAGATGATTGGATTCTTGGGCATGTCCACCTGTTGAGCCCGTTTCCGTAATCCCAATCCGAGGGCAATGAGTTTGGAGACTCCAAAGGCGACCAACCAAAACTCGCTGTTGTAGGTTGACACAATGTGTGTGGTTTGGATGCCATACCAGACCAATCCCAACAAGATCCACAACAGATACTTGTTGATATGCCATGGTCCCATGCGAAGAATGACAGCCACGGCTCCAAATGTGGCCGGCACGAGTGCCTTTTCGGCTTCGAGATCCTCATAGACAATGACCCAAAAGGCAAATACGAGCATGGCTCCGTAGACCGTGGTAAGTACGGGTTGTGAGGCAACATTGCGGCGTTGCAATGTCATGCAAAGGGCATTGCATTGAATGACAAACACGGCCGACAAATGGGCCGTATAGCGTGAATCAAATCCAATCAACGAGAAAGCCGTCAGCATGAATTGTTGTTCGGACGCAAACCAATGTTCAAACGGGTCCGCCAACGTAGTACCTCGAATGGTGGTATGTGCCACGGTGGTCCCTTGTCCAATGCGTGTCCCCAAATCGGCTCCCGCGCAAGTGGCCAGTACAATGGCGAGATTGGCATACCAAAACGAGTCTGGTTGATTTTGAGCTTGTTGTGGATGGAAATGTTGTTCGTAGGCAATCACGAGCATGCACAGCAAGCTACGAGATGTAAAGACCAATGCATGGTGTCGAAATTCGTTCCAGATGCGGTATCCGTGGGAGATGCGACGAGGCGGCAATTCGAAAATGTAGCTTGTCAAGTGCAAAGAAAGATGCAACGCACAAAAGCCAAGGGTCCCCCAATGAGGCCCAAAATTTCCACCTTTGCCATTGAATACATTCCAAAAGCGGTAGATAAAGGAAAGGAGACAACTAATTCCCAGAACCTTGTGAATGTGACCATAGAGAGGTTCCTCTTTGCTGTTGATTAATTTCTCCAGAAGTGTCTTGTCAGCACTTTTGGGTTGTATCGTTGTCACATTCTTCTTTTTGGCTGTCTCCGTGTGTCTCTGACGAATACCAGAGGCACTTCGCGTTGCAGGCACTCGTTCGATCGTAGATGTTGAGGTTGTTGACATCATGGTGGCAGCTATGGTGGCAGCCAACTTTGAGACGATGAAGAGGTTGGTTGCTGAAAGTGAGAAAAAAGAAAACGGACGAAAGAAGCATGTGCCAGTCACAGCGTACCAGGTACCGGTACCGGTACCGGTTGGTGGCAATTGAAGAAAGATCTGTTCCGTGTTCACCTTGCGAGCCTACCGGTATGACACAGCCTTTTTAGACACTTTATTTTTGGCGAACTTCGTCCGCGTTTTCCCATTTTTGTCCATTATTTAACTGTTTTCCTAGAGTAAATCGCTTTTGGATTTCCCAAAACGCCCGTGACAAGTGACAACCCACTCTATTCCCGTACCGTAATACTTCAAGGATCAAGAATTAAACGGATGGTACTCAGAGACTATAACGCGTGTCGTAGAGCCAGCCGACAACGGGTTCACTATTATACTCACTCAAATCTTGAGTCAACAACGAAAACCAGTACCATACGTACCTCATATTATGGACCGGTACTAGCAGCGTACACGGCTACTAGTATGTTTGGTATGCAGCAAAAGTGAGCTAGTTAGTTGCCACTATGAAGGAAGCCCCCTCGTACAACCTCTGACGGTGCAAGGGCGGGCGATTTTCACATACCATGCGCCTTCCAGTCCGAAAACCAAATGAGAATAGCGGCTTCATGTGAAGCGAAGCCCACTGCAACCACGTCTCAGCATGCTTCATTATCGCGGACTGGGGCAAACCACAATGTCATATTTCGAGCAACTATTTTAAAAGCACTCCACCTCTACAACAACAAGATGATTTTTATCTATGGGGATCGCCTCTTTGGGAGATGCGACGAAATAGAGGGTGTTGGCCATGTAGTAACCCGATTTACCCATATTTATTACTTCCCACTGGTTCCGATGGGATCCTCTTTTGTTTACCACGATAGGAGATCTACCAATCCAGCAGGATTCTGTTGCTGTGGCTACGGCTGCTGTGGTGACAGGGGTTGTGCCTGGGTATTGGCGCCCGTGCTCCCCCTGAGCTGCAAGTCCATAGGGATGGCATATTTGCAAGCCACCGCTGTCGTGGCGGGTATGGTGCTGTTGGTCACCGGAGCCGTCCAATTGTCCGCCGCTACTGACCAAAATCCGTATCGACAACGACATCAGGGACGCCATGACCTAGTAATTGCAATCATTTTGACCATTGCAGGTCCACTTTGTATATTGACATCCTGCTTGGTGCAACGATTCTTCAGGCATGCCACTTTGGAACGAGCTAGGGAAATAGCAGAACAGATTGGTCGTAGAGATCTTTTGCCTCGGATCGACAGCATATATGGTGGTAAGGCCAATGTCCAAAAGGTGAGGCGGCGTCGCCGTCGTCGCAAAGAACAAGGATGCCAATACGGCGATGTGTCATTGTCTAATGCTGACGATGACGATGAGACGGAGGTGGACACCTTTCAAGACGAAGAGGAGACTGGTCTCCCTCTAGTAGCAGATATTCCTGAAACCGATACAAATACGTCGAATGTGGAAATGACGGAAGCAAAACAAGCAGATGTCTGTTTGAAGTAGCACGGAACCAACAACGAAGCTGCAAAGTTTCTAATCAACATGTATTACATCTATGTTGGATCTATTACACGCCACAACCTCAATGCCAACGTAAGTGTCTCCAGGTTATTCCAATGGACTCAACAATCTAAACCCTCTAGTTTTATGGATGGGTGGCTGAGAGGGCCAAGTGGATTTTTGTGCATTGTTTGTGTTCCAGTGAAGGTAGACTAGGCCCACGAAGTGATCGTACTCTGGAAATGTCATGCACGTTGCTTTCTTTGTTTGATTTCCCTCGTTAGACCCACTAGCTGGGCTGCTTGCTAGCTAGCTAGCTTGCTTCCTAGCTAGTCCATCTATCCAACCACCTGTAACGAATTGAATTGCATTGCATTGATTGATTGGAATTGCATCACGTGGCTTTTCGTTTGTCATTGGCTTTGGCGGCCTCTCGTTTCTTTCGCAGCGAAATTGGAAACAAGACTTGCTTCCAGTTTTCTACCAGTCCCTTATCGTACATGTTCTTGGGCAATGGCCCTGGATCTGCCATGCCTGGTTCCGCATCGGCGGTCGTCGTTTCCACACAAGCCGCCCCTCCCGTGCATCCCACATCACCGTCGGGAACGGGTGGTTTGGGGGCAGCAGGTTGTTGTGGTTGTTGTGATTGCAAAGTGGGAGTATCTTGTTGTTGTTGTTTGTAAGTTTCGAATCGTCTCACTTGTGCTTGATGCCATTTGCGTACTTGTCCCCACTTGTAATGTTCATTGGTGGTCATTCCTTTGGATGTAATGTAACAGTGATATCCCAAAAAGTAGGTCAAGAGGAGCGTCATGACACCCACCACGGCCAAGACAATCGTTTCGTGCAAATGGCGGTCAATCAAGAATTGTAGCATGACAAATCGAGTGACTTGGAATTCCAATCCAGACACTCGATCAAAGAGTGTTTGATTCCACAAGTCGTGATCCGTAATCTCTCCGTTGAAAAAGACGAGTATCAGAGTGGTGGCGTAGGCACAAAGGACCAGTTGTGTCAAGACAAAGAATAGAAAGAGTCGATAATTTTCTTCTCCAATCGTACTAGCCACCCATCCACAGTAATGATCAAAGCGTGGCACGTGATGGTGGTATTTGAGACGATCGAATTTGCTGCGTGGCAGACGAGGCACTCCCTTGGCAGCATCGTATCGTCCTTGGACATACAGCAAATCATCGTACGGGAAATGATTGTAGAATTGGACCGTTTCTGGAGTAATACAACCCGGATTGGCCGTCATGGTGACAATCCAAGTGATAATGGCCAGAGCACAGAGAATGTGTCCATTGCGCAAATGATACTCTTCGACATGAGACGACAATCGGGCCTTTGGGTAACCGTACGTTACCAACACTAGATAGCATCCCACCACTGTCGCCAAGTAGATAATGGCCAACAGTTTTTCCATGATGGCATCGACCACCTGGGTGCCCTTTGGTCCAAGTATATGATCGCTGAACCATTGATGCGATTTCGTGGGAAGTGTGTGCGTTACCAGCTTGGCGGTGGGAGATTTGTCGGGGTCGGCCAAGACACACCAATAAAATGTCAATGCCATGCCCACGGCGTACAGGCTCAGAATCACATAGACTTCCACAGACACGGCCATGATAGTATAGTGACGACTAACTAGCTATGAAGTACCGATAGTTGCAAGCTTGGATGCTCCCTTCTATGCTCTTAGTTCTCGTTGTGGGTTGTGGTTGTGGTTGCTGTGGGGGTTGGGAAGGATCTTAGCAGCTCCGGAGCCCAAACCTTACCATACCCGTAGCCACTACCGGTATCTCTAACGCTAATTTGCTTCTTGACCGGTTCGGTCATGTTTGCGGGTTTCCCGAACTGGCGTGTTCACCGCTCGACGTTGATCAGGCAGAGGATCTCGAGGTTCCGAGCAGGAAAATGATTGTTACCATGGTATCAGGAGAGAACATCACAATTTTGATTTACAAAAGAAACAAACTTCATCATGATGTATCTCAATAATAACCAAAACTCCCTTACTATCCTCCTCTTGGCAGGAGTGACTCCTGCCATGATCCATAGTAGTGATTCTTGTTCCTTCTCCACCTCGGGTACCACCTCCGAAGACGGATGGTACACCACGTCCTCCGCCACGGTGCCATTTCAAATGCAAGCGGGTGGAACCGCCACCTGTACTATGGATTCAAACTACAACAGAGGAGTCATTGCCCTCAAATTCAATGCAGACGCCACGGAAGATGACAGTGACGCCCGCAAGTTTGACACCTTTCCAATTACCCTCACAGAAATGTTCCCGGACGAAACCATGTATCTGGGATACTGGTTGGGGAGCACCTTTCCTTTGTCGCCGCCAACGGCCACTGGCATTTCATGGACACTGTCTTGTTCGTGTGACCTTCCCGTCACGGAATCACCCACTGCAGCGCCGACAGAAGTCCCGACAGCATCACCCACAGCAGCGCCAACAGTGGCATCCACAACGGCTCCCACTTCATCGTCGACAGTGGCATCCACAACAGCTCCCACCTCTGACAGTGGCGACAATGGCGGCAATGGCGGCTTGTCGGGAATGGGGTGTTTCTCCGAGTCCACCAAGGTTCACGTCCAAAACAAGGGATTCACTCTCATGAAGGACCTGCAAATTGGCGACAATGTTTTGACCGGAGGCGGATTCGGATATCAACCGGTATACAGTTTCGGGCACCGCCTCGAACAGGATAGTCTGGGACTTGACTTTTACCAAATATACACGCAGGGCAGTGGTGATAGTGACAGTCCTGTTGTGGAAATGACGGGGAATCACTTGATCTTTATCAAGGACAATGACGGCAACAAGGAACGGGCCGTTCGTGCCGACCAGGTGCAAGTGGGCGACGTCCTGGTATCCACCACCAAGAAGATGGATCAACAGTATGCCGTCTCAAAGGTCACCACCACAAGCATTCCCAAGGGTCTCTACATGCCCTTGACCCCGGATGGTTCCATTGTTGTGGCAGCGAATGACAATGATACCTCTGGCATTGTGGCATCGACGTATGTCTCCATTGCCAACGAGTCACCTGTGATAGTCGAGCGAATCCACGATGTTTTCGGCATTGACGAACAGAGTCTTGTGCATTGGTGGCTGAGTCCCTATCGCCTGATGTGTCTAGGCGTTTCTTCCAGGCTCTGTCAAGAAGACAACAATCGGAGCGATGAGGGTATCTTGACATGGCTGCTACAAGGTCGAGAGTTTGCACAGTGGACAGAGTCTCGGGGATTCTTTGCCTTTCAACTCATTAGCGTTCCGACCTTTGGTTTCTTTGCGTTCTGCAACTTGGTCGAACAGATCATCTTGTTACCGTATCATGGTGGCTTGTTCGGCTATGCGATTGCAGCAGGCGTTCTTGTCATGAGTATGGCCGCTAGTGGGCGATCACGGAAACGAAAGACGGCATGAGATCCTACTGTATACAAGCAAAGCTAGGTATTGTAGCGAGTACAGAATCAATAGATCGACAGACAATAAACTGTAGCTCTAAATCGCTTTAGTGTCTAACGAACTGTCCGCAGGGCACATGCGTCCGTGGCTATACCAGTTGTATGGCACAATCAAACTCTGGTGTCCTGCTCGATCACAAACTAGAATTGGTGCAGGCACAGTCACACCCACACAAGCGAGATGTGCAATCAAAGCCAAGAAAGCAAGGGTCGTTGCCCCACTTGTATGTACAGGACATGCTCTGCAAGATGCACTTCTCTTGTGGGATGGTACCAGATAACCCAAAGCTGCCAGTAAGATCAAGAAGACCCAACTGTGTCAAGAGCCCAATCTCTGCAGGAATGCTTCCAGTCAACATAATATTGTCAGACAACCACAAATCAACCAAAGAAGTGAGCAATGCAAGCTCTGTTGCAACAGTGCCTGACAATTGGTTTGAGTGCAAGTCCATCGAGAACAGCGCAGTTGCCAGCCCAATCTCTGAAGGCAGAGATCCAGTCAATTGATTGTGCCTGAAGAACAAGTCTTTCAAGCGAGTTAGTTGCCCAAGATGGGAAGGGATTTTCCCTGTCAACTGATTCTCCTGCAATGACAACCCAGTCAAACCAGTTAGTTGTCCAAGATCACAGGGAATTTGGCCACTCAACAAATTCCCCTGCAATAACAAGTTTGTCAAAGCAGTCATTTGCCCAAGCATGGGAGGTATTTCACCAGTCAACAGGTTTCCATTCAACTGCAACCAACGCAAAGACGTCAGTTGTGCAAGCTCAATTGGAATCGGCCCGGTCAACTGATTCTCATGTAGCAGCAACCAAGTATGGAAGGCAACCAGCTGTCCCAGCTCTGAAGGAATTTGGCCAGAAAGCTGATTATGATTCAGCCACAAACTAGCGGATTTCAGTTGTCCAAGCTCTGAAGGCAGAGATCCATTTAATTGATTGTCATACAAAAACAAACCTGTCAAAGCAGTAAGTTGGCTGAGATCGGAAGGAGTTTGTCCAGTTAACTGATTTCGCTGCAAGCTGAAAGATGACAGAGCTGTAAGTTGTCCAAGCTCAGAAGGAATCTGGCCAGTCAACAAAAGTCCAACCAACCGAAGCAAAGTCAGAGCCGTCAGTTGCCCAAGTTCAGAAGGAATTCTCCCAGTCAACCGGTTGTCAGTATCCAAGTACAAATCAGTCAAAGCCGTCATTTGTCCAAGTTCAGAAGGAATGTTGCCAGTCAGGTGGTTAAAATATATCCTCAAGTCACGCAGAGAAGAAATCAGCCCAAGCTCAGAAGGAATTTGGCCGGTAAAAGCATTTCCATACAACCACAAGTCCTTCAATGCGGTTAATTCCTGTAGATGCTGGAACGGCAATATTTTGGACAAGGACATTCCAATTTCATTCTCGGTCAATCTAAGATGGAAGAGGGAAGTCAAGAGTAAAATCTCAGGGAGGACAACTGGTGTCAGACCAGAGAGTTGGAGGTCCTCAAGCCAAATGGAAGTGAATTTTCCAAGCTCGTTGCAAGGACCCAATTCTAAGCTGTCGTATTCATAGTATTTTCCATCATAATAAGAAAAGTATCCAAAACCACTGGAGAACCACTCACACTCCTCCTTTGTATCATCCATCCATCGAGCTTTGATCAGAGGGTTCCAGTTCTCCCCTTCAAAGGCATAGAAGAAAGTAGCAAGAGCAAACAGTTGCTCTTTCCTCCATTCAGGAAGGTTTGTAATATTCTGATGATTCGCAAGCCACTGCCATGCTTTCCATTGAGGTGTGTCACTGCCATTGTTGATGCTAGCCAAAATGTTACTGGGCAGGCTATCCAACAGCAGGTCCAAAACTCCGGTGGGGGCAGAGGATGGCAGCTCAGAAGGAGTCATGGAACCAAACACTGTTGGGCTCTCTGTTGATGAGAGGGTGACAGTATCCGAATTCTTGTCTCTGTGGGTTCTGACCACAAATCCCACAATAATGGCAGCTAGAAGTAGCAACCAAATCAGTGCTGCAATGAAAAACTGCCGCTGTTGTTTTTGCTGCCGTTCTCGCCTCTGGGCGCCCTCCCAATCAACAGGACTGGCACGCAGGAGGTCCGCTGTGTCATCTTCTACAGTACTTGCTACAGCCAGCTGATAGTCTCCTGTAGTATTTCTGGCGGGCAAAATACCATTATTTGATGGCAAAGGTTCTGTTGGATCAATCTCGGGCAAGCCATGACCTGAATTATTCGATGGCCCCGCTGAGAACGCCCCAGGTTGGGACACGACTCTGTTGTTGTTGTTTTGAGCTCTGTCGGTGCTTCTGGTGCCTCTCTCGAGAGTCTCCCTTCCTCCATTCGCTTCCACCTGGTCTGCATAGAATTGCGTTGCGAAATGACTGGATGTGGATGACGCAATAGAGTTTCGGCCCTTGTCAGGAAGGAACGATAGCCGACCACTGGTTCGGGTGTTGTTAAGCCGTGCAGAGTCGATGTTATTGTCGGGATCAATAATGCAGTCTTTCTTTGATGCTTTGGATGTGTGTGGGTTCAGGAACCGAAGCTGGCCACTGCATTGCATATTGTCAAACCGGGCAGTTGTTCTGGCTAACGCTGCGTAGTATGCAGAATCAGTAGTGCTGCTACCGGTATTGCTGTTGTTGTTGTTGTTGTTGTTGTCTGTATTATCATCGCTGCTATTTTGGTTTGCTTCAGACTCGTTGATTGCTGGCTTTTTAGTGTCGTCTGCTGGCAGAGGAGAGCTGGTAGTTCCGGTCAATCGTAAGATGTCTTTCGCGTGAGCCTTTTCTTCTACAGTATACCTATTCCGGTTACTGTCATCACTTCTTGTGCAAGTATCTGCACTGATGGCCCGAGGCACGTCTGGCGCTTCGTTTGCTGCTGCCTTTGCTGAGGCAACGAATGACTGCTCGCTGATGTCTTCTCTTTGTTCTGGTGGGGTTGCTGCAATCGAGGGATCGTCGATGCTGCTGCTGGCTTTCTCCATATTGTCGTCCTATATCAGTTGCACTTTACTGCCATTGGCTATGGCTCTTTCGATTGCGTATCCTTTGGGAAATGGGACTTCCAACACCGGAATATTATGTTGGGCCCACCCATCATCAAACCCCATCCATCACTTCGCTTTCCACGACACAGCCTGCCACGGAGCCAGGGCGTTTCGAGGTGAGAAATAGTTAACATTAACCCTTACATTGAGAATCGTATCTTTTGGATCTTTTCCTCCCCGCAAGCAAAGAACCACAACCTTCCAAGTGGTACCGTACCGACCGTACCGTACCACCACGCATAGTCCCTTCTAAACCCACGACCCCATAGTAACTCATCGTCATCACTACCTTGAGATCTATTTCAGGCATCCAATCTGGAATATATCGTGATCGTTGTGGTCTGCATCCTTCATTCCACTGGGTAAGGTTTCAAATCCAACTATCTCTGGCCGCGAAAAACGACTCATGAAGAACACAACAACTCGTCCAACATGGCTTCTTCATTTGGCTTTGATTGTTGGTCAAATTTTCTTTGGCATGGGCTCTGTCATTGCAGGTCTGGGCCTTCCAGCTTGCAATCCCTTTGCATTTGCTCTCTATCGAGAAATTGCGGCTGGGACCATTTTGTTGTCACTCAGTGTGTTCTACCTCGACAGCAACAGCAATAAGAGCTGGATAATACTTTCGATCCAGAAACCACACTGGAATCGCTTCCTACTCCTGGGGTTGGCCATTTTTGGGAATCAAGCAGGGATGATTGCCGGGATCAAGTTGGCTGGTCCCGTGGCAGCCGCTGTGTGGCAGCCTTCTCAACCCATCATGACGGCAGCCATTGGCATGGTGCTGGGGTGGGAGCCATGGCGACGCACGAGAATTGCTGGAATTGTAATTTCCTTTTTGGGCTGTGCCAGCATGGTCCTCTTATCGACGACGACGACGACGACAGCAACCACAACAATCACCAATAGCATGACATCCATTCTGACGGGACATGCTTTGTTCTTTATGAATTGCCTCTCCACATCCATCTACGTATTGCTCAGCAAAGCTCCCCTTCGAATATACTCGCCCCTGCTAGTGACGGCTTGGAGCTACGTTATTGCTTCCATGTTTATGGCCATTACAACCTACATCTTGACTTGGTCCAGTGACATCATGTTCTTTCTATGTCCTGATTGTCAAGGGCCTTGGAACATTCCGTCGGGAGCATGGTTTGCTCTCTTCTACTTTATTTTGTTTGGGTCGGTCGGGGCCTACGCATTGCTGACATGGGCCAACAGTCAAGCAGCCACGGGGACGCTAGTCATCAGCTACACGGTCTTGCAGCCAGTCACTGCGGCCATTTTGACCATGACCATGTTGTCGTTCCGGTGGTACCCCAACTGTCAAACCACGGAACAGCACGTCGCTTATTGTCTCACACCACCAGGGCTGCAGTCTATTCTGGGGATGGCGGGGATTTTCACCGGGCTGGCCTTGGTGATACGAACCGAGCCACCCCCTTCTCTTGCCAAAGCGGACGAGTTGGAAATGATGGTGGTGGGTATGGAATGATTCAATAATACCAAGGAAACCATTCAAACCAAAAGCTCCGGCACACGACAAACCACGAACGTAGCCTGGGCCTATGCATACCATGCAGCGACCGAGACGCAATTGATTAATTGTCGGTGCTGAAACGATTCAACCGGTGTGAACGAGTGCTGCTCCGTCCCTAGCAAATTCCTCCGATGCTCCCGGTGAAACCGGTACAAACGGAGCCGCTGGTTCCTCCTACCACAATGCTCTTCTCGAGCACTACTGACAAACAGACACGAGTGACTGTCGATTCTTTATCAGGTACAGTATACCAGTACCATGGTAAGAATCAGGTTATGCTGATTCTTAAGAATCGTCTTTTCCCAGATTCCTCGCACCAGATCTATGAGTGAATCCTGGCCTTCGTTTTCTGCCTCTAAGAGTGCCATCCTTGACTCGACCACGAGGAGCCTCCTCTACTCTCTACTCTACAACAATGTAACCTAATCCGCGAACAGCAAAAGCCAAAGACACCTTGTCAACATTCCAAGCTCGGAAGGGATTGACCCATGCAGTTGATTCCCAGTTAAGCGTAACGTTCTCAAATCAGTCGATTGCCCAATTTCCCAAGGGATTGGCCCATGCAGTTGATTCCCCACCAAAGCCACCGATTTCAACATCGTCAACAATGCAACCCCGGAAGGAAGCTGGCCAGTCAGCTGATTATCAGATAACATTAAAATTTTCAAATCCATCATTTGAAAGAGCTCAGAAGGAATGGGGCCGGTAAGCTGATTGTGCATCAAACCCAGGTTATTACTCACGAAAGTCAACAGTCCAAGCTCAGAAGGAATGCACCCAGTAAGCTGATTAAAATTGAAACTCAGAGAAGTCAATGAAGTCAATGAAGTCAACAGTCCAAGCTCAGAAGGAATGAGTCCAGTAAGCTGATTGCCGGCCAAGTACATTGTTCTCAAAGCAGTCAATTGTAGCAGCTGAGAAGGGATTGGACCAGACAACTCACTCGACGACAATTGCAACCAGTTCAAAGCAGAAAGTTGTCCTAGCTCAGTGGGTATTTGGCCGGTGACATTATCAAGAATATGTAGATGAGTCAAAGCAGTCAACTGAAGAAGTTCTGAAGGTAATTTACCAGACAGGCCACTCCGCACGAACTTCAGATATTCCATAGCTGAAAGTTGTCCTAGCTCGGAGGGGAAAGGTCCAGCCAACTCACATCGTTGTATCTCCAAGTGAGTCGAAGCTGGCAATTGTCCCAACTCGGAGGGAAGTTGGCCGGTCCCGTGGACACCATTAATGTCCAAAAGTTCCAAACTTGGCATCTTGTAGAATTCTTCTGGAAACAGGGAAGAAAATGTCGCGGGATGTGTTGAATACCCTCTCAGTGGCACATGATCACTTATGAAGTTAATCTGGGACAAGCTAGTCAAGAGGGTAATTTCGGGCGGGAAAACTGGCAGGAATGCATCAACCTTGAGGCCTGAAAGTTTGAGAATAGTAAATCGCCCTTGGCTGTTGCAAGGTAAGGTTGCAAATACTTCAGGTTGTACATAATACTTTCCATCTTGATTAAACCATCCAGTCCCACTGGAGAACCAATCACATTCGTCCTTTTCATAATCCATCCAACGTTCCTTGATCAGAGGGTTCCAGTGTTCTCCCTTAAAGGAATAGAAGAAGGTTGCGAGAGCAAAGAGCTGAGATTTCCTCCACTCTGGCAAGTATGTGATATTCTTGTGATTGGCAAGCCAGTTCCACGCCTTCCACTGAGGTGTGTCACTGCTATTGTTCATGCTGGCAAGAGTGTAGTCAGGTAGATTATACAGCAGTTCATCCAGAACCCCAGTCGGGGCAAAGGATGGCACCTCCGATGGCTCCATGGATCCATATACAGTTGGCGTCTCTGTTGAGGTAATGAGCACTGGTTCTTTTTGCTTTTGGGAGCCAGCCACAAACCCAATAATAATGGTAGCAACAAGGCACAACCAAATCAATGCTGCAACAAACAGCTTCTCTTTCGCCAATCGGTTTTGCTCTCTTTGTTGAATTTGTTGTAGGTTGACGGGCTCTGCCGATGGAATCATTTGCCCCTCTTCTACAACCATATTTGCCACTGCCAACTGTTGGTTGCCTGTTGCATTGTTGTTGGTGGTGGTGTCTGCTGTGGCATTATTGGGTTGACGTTGAGCCTCAAGAAGAGCATAATCCAAAGTAGTGGTAATTGAGGAAGCAGGAACGTGCAGCAAGTGCTTACTGGGTCGAGTGGGAAACTGGAGTGTCTCATGGTACATCTGAGGTTGTCTCATGGTACATCAGAGGTTGTCTCAGTGGACACAGACTTTGGGCAAAGGGACATGAAGAATGTCTGAGCGTGACAGTGATCATTGTTCCACACAGAACGGCGTGACAGTGATCATGATTCCACATGGAACATATGGAACATGTTCTCTGACACCTTTGTTCCTTGACACCAATGTTCTTTGACACCATTGTCTTTGCGACTGCCACCCAAAGTGACTGTCATATCTACTGATGGAATCCCCAAATGACTGAGGATCCTGTGACAACACTACCGTCTTCCCCAAATAGAAGGAGCAATGCCAGTTTTCACCCCAAAGACTTGAAAGGTCCAAGTTTCAGAAATCAAACAACACGTCCTTCATTTCCAAGCTCCAATTTCAGGAAATTGGCACAACAATAAATAATAAACAACAACAAAAGACAAATTACCTTTTCATCAGATTTCAGATTTCCTTTTAGTGGTTATTGAGCCCAACCTACCAGGCTAACCACCATTGCGCTTACCTCTGATAAACCTACCAAGCTACAACAATCCCTCCATCCACCAGTCAGGTACTTCAAGAGCCCGAGTGTCTGCCAAGTGTTGTTTGGAAGGAGCTTCAGGAGACATCAGGTAAATCTGTGTTCAATTGAAGCTAGTTTGTGGAAGACTCCCATTGGAGCATTGATTTGACTGTCCCATTGGACTTGTGTTCGAAGGTCTCCCATTTGGAGCCGTGTTTGAAGTCCCCTTGGACTTGTGTTTTGGAACTCCCACTGGAGTTGAAGTCTCCCACAGGAGCTGATCAGAGTTGATCATGGAAGACCCTGCAGGAGGGCAGACTGGTACCGGAGACGCGGATCTCATGGACAGAATCAGAGAGCTTGAGGAGGACTTAACTAGGACTCAAGAAGAGCTCGCAAGAATCACATCAACTGATGATGAAGCAGCTCAAGAAGCAACTGACAATGATGGCCCACCAAGCGATGATCCAGATGGTGAAATGGCTTACAAACTTGCTGAGTTGGTTGCCGCATCAGTGACTAAGGTGCTGAAGGGAGATGTGAATCAACACTCATCTACTCCGATCACTGCTCCTATCATGGGTGAGATAGTAGAAGTTGGCAGCTCCAAAACAATTCGCATGGGTGGTATCAAAAGGCAGATTGGTCCGGCTTGGAATCTCTAACCCTCAGAGTCCACTCTGGGCAGTATAGGAGTCTGGATAGAACCAAAGGTTTGAAAAGAGCAAGTGAGTTTCCAAAGTTTGAACCCAAATGGACAAAGGGGTCTAGCCTCCAGCCCTTGCAGGCGCACCTTTTGGAGTTTCTGATGAACTTTGGAATGCAACAATGCAAATTCATTCCACACCCCACTGATCCCAGCAAGATGGTGGATATTGTGGAACATCCTCACATATTCTCCAGAAACCTCACCTATGTGAGTGAAGGCAGCAACAGTCAAGCTGGCAGCCAAGTATGACAGCTGGGACAATGAGAATGACTACAGCTTTCGCACTCACCTATTGGACTGCATTGACCCGGAGCTACATGAAGCAGTGTCTGGAATCCAGGACATCGGTGATCACAGTCTTGTTACCTGGATCAAACTCGTTCAACAATGGTCCATTCTGACTGCTGAAAAATCCCACAAAATCATCAGTGAAGTCAATGCATTCACTCTGCAGCAGTGTCCAGCATTGGACATGTCATTGGGAATTCAACAGCTTCGCCCAAGAATCCAAGCCCTTTGTGATACACGGGACTATGACCCAAAGCTTCTCTACACCTTTCTTGAGAGTTTGCATGGTGCCTATCCAGTTGACAACAAACATCATCTTGAATGGTGGACCATGATTTTGGATCGGATCCTCACTCCATTGAAGAAGGCTTACAAGCAGTGCAAGGAAGAGAAGTTCTTGAATGGTTTCGACATTGAGCTCTTCCTCTTGAGAGAGACACGCGAGGATGGGCCGTGCAAAGGTTTGGATCATAAGAGCATTTTGGACACTCTGTTGGAGTATTACATGATTGCAGTGAATGAGGAGAAATGGCCAGCCACATCAGGACCCCAGGACTCAGGCAGTGCTCCCATGTCCTTTGGTTCCTCCTCTGTCCATCATACCACTGTTGAGACCACTCTTGCAACCAAGGCAGACGTCCATGCCTTGATCCAACGCCTGGACAACATTGGACAGCGCAAACCCATGGGTGGCTTTGGAGACAACCAGGGTGGCAAGGTCTGCTGGAATTGTGGTTCCTCTGGCCACTTGTCCAACTCCCCTGACTGCCCCAAGAACCAGGCTCACCGCGCTCCAACTCCCCAGACCTCCAACAGAGGCTTCAAGAAAGGACAACCCAAGATGACCTGGAAACGCATTCCCCCTAAGGATGGTTAGCCTAACTCCAAGCAGGATGCCGGTGGGGCTACCTGGCACTGGTGTCAGAAGTGCAACAATGGAGATGGTCGCTCGCTGGACAGCCTCCCATCTGACCGAAGCTCATGGCAATCCGGGAGATGGTGATCACACTGCTGCCAACCTTGCTTCCATTCATCCCTGTGCATGGTACACTCCAGTCAACAACCCCTTCTCATCTCTCCTTCATCCTCGTCTGCTGCGTTCGACAGCTTGCACTCTTGGGGCCTGTTGTTCTTGTGTTCAAAGCACAACTTGCTGTATGACAGTCCTACCGTAGGACCTGTCGTTGCCGTGCAATCAGCTTGGTAATTTGGCTCGTTGCGGCGGAATTTCCGTCGCACCTCTCTTCTAGTAGCCTATTTCAATGGCTCTCTTGTTGAGGATAGGAACTCTCCCGCGAAAGTACCTCTGTGGTAATTCTTCTTCTTGTTGGAACTTGTTATCTAGTTCCTCTTCCGCGGCAACACTCCTGGTGTTGTTCCTCTTCTGGTGGTGACACTGGCTTCCGTACTGTCGCCTTGTCGCTCCGGTTCCTCTCACCGGCAGCGTCGTTCGCTTGTTGGACTCCTAGCTAGCTAGTCGTCCTGGTTGCTTGCAAGGTTGGTCTTCGTGGCGACCTGTGGTGCCACTCTTGTAGTTGCTTGCAAGTTTGGTCTTCGTGGCGACCTGTGGTGCCACTCTTGTAGTTGTCTTTTCTACCTGCACTTAGCAGTCATACAATGGCTGTTTCCGCAGCACAAAGTCTTGGTGATTTGCTCACTGTTGTGAGCTTGCTTCTTGCTCCGGTTCCTCACTCCTGTGAGCTCGCTGCCGGCTCACTCCTGTGTGAGCTCGTTCTTGGTTCGTTCGCTTGTTCGCTCGTGTGAGCTTGGTTGCTTCGGTGATCCTTCTCGTGATCCGCCCGGAGCTTCATGTTGGCTCCAAATCGGTATCTCGTTCTTGGATTCATTTCCTTCAAGCATAGAAGTAGTGTAGTTAGTGATGTTCTTTCACGTGGTATGCTCAGATCAGTCTGGTCCAGACTGGAAGTCGATTGGTCAGTTGCTCCGTAGCTCAATGGGAAATTCGTGATTCGGTGTATGTTGCCTTTTTCCTGCAAGGCTGTTGGGATAGCTCTCTCAGTGAGGCTAGAGCCCTTTCTGCTTGAACCTTGACTCTGTTGCTGTTTACCTTAGTTTCTCATGTAATAGGACAAAGTCAATATCGGTATCACCATGGCGGTGATCTCGAACTCGAGATGATTCTTCTTGGAAATAGTGTTGGTTTCTAGTAACACTCTAGCTTAGTAAAGGTAAACCTCGGCAGTCTTGCTGCCAGAGCCCTCAACCCCTTTAATTGTTTTTCCTGCTACGGTGGTCCCTGCAGGTATAAGGGTAGGGTTAGGACACAAATAAGTCAGCAAAAACTAAATAAGTTCCTAGGATGGTGCTTTTAAACCAGCTAAAGCTATTTACATGCATCTTAGTAGGGGGATCTGCTTCTACCAGGAAAAACTCTAAAGCCAGTGAAAGCTATATAACTAGTATTCTAGCTAGCTAGGGTATCTGCTTCTAGTACCTTGCTATGGGAATCTGCTTCTAGCTAGCTAAGCACAAGTTAAGCACTAGCTAAGCACTAGAGGTATCTGCTTCTAGCTAGCAAGCTAATAGGGGTATCTGCTTGTACACTGAAACCTTTCTGCCAAGGTTACACAGCTCCGCTGGCTTAAATACTGTTTTACTGTTAAGCTATTTCCAAGAAGTGATCTTTCTCCATGTTTTCTGGGATTGATTCAACTTCAAAGGATATAGTGAAGGGGGTGACCATATAGATCAGTTAAACTCCCCATGTATGTAACTAGAGAATAGATGTAGATATCCCCTCTAAACTAGATTGGGATAAACGAATAATTTGTATTGAGGTGTCTGTAATACAACCTCCAACAGACTGTGGGTTTCACAAAAGCTATCCCACCCGCCTTCGTGCTACCTCCACCTTCCCCAGCAAGGCCCCCACCATCCACCAGCAATCTCTCCTTGATCGTCTCCGCACTTGGATCTACCAATCCCGTGCCCGACCCTCCGGCCACAAGCGTGGCTCCGAGTATTTTTCCGCTCCTGCCAACAGCCGAAAGGGAGAACGGTCCAAAGGTAAAATTGGGAGTCATCGGCCTTTTGACAGACGCACAGCCCAAAAGCGGGCCATTCCAATGCCCCCTCATGTGCAGTACTGTGGGAACGCATGCTATGTGAAGATGCCAAGGATGTCAAATGTCAAACCCAGAAACAATAATACATCACCTGCAAGGACATGGATGCCTCCTCCAACAGGTTCAACAGCGGAAGACCACTCAAACATGTCAAATGTCAAACCAAGAAGCTGCTCCTGCAAGCATCACCCCCAAGGACACGGATGCCTCCTCCAACAGGTTCAACCGAGGGAGGCCACTGCCAACCATGCAGCCCTCCTCAAAGACAGAAGCCCAGGCAAGAATCAAAGTCTCGAAAGCAGGAATCACCGAGTCTCTGGAACCTTGGACTCTCAGGCATCAAGATTTTCCACCTAAGCATCCTATCTGGGACACACACACTGTTGACAAGTGTATGAGGGGCACTCGATGGGGCACTCCAATTGCAGGCTGCCCCAACACCAGTGACTGTCCATACAAAGACATGAAAAGGAACCAATTTCAACCTGCTCTTTGGGAGTTGCATTCCGAAGCTGCATGTCTGAATTGGAGAGATGGGACGTCCTGCTGCAAGTATCCCATGGATTGCCCATTCACAGGATTGGGTACACACATGCATCAGCGATCCCATGGAGCTCACGCCTTCATGGCGAGAACTCATGTGACAATCCCTATCAAAATGGAAGATCATGATACCTTTGAAATTGTGTGGGATTCCGGAGCTAGCCACTGTATTTCAAATGACTTGAAAGATTTTGTTGGTGGACAGGTACAGAACCCAGGACTGGTGCAACGGCTCAAAGGTATTGCATCTGGGCTGGACATCAAGGGAGTTGGGTTCGTGGAATGGGTTGTGATGGACATCAACGGGAACTTCAGACTTCTCCGTGTCCCTTGCTTGTATGTGCCGGCTAGTCCTGTCAAACTGGCCAGTACCACAGCAGTGATAAACCAATATTCAGGAGAGCATATTGTTCTGGATGATCAGTCGGCTACTCTCTCAGGAGTGCCTGGAGTTCCATGTCGAGCTGCAGTCAAAGCTTTCCTCAACCCCAGCAACGTTCCATCATGTTTGGGGTATCACTTAGATGAGTATGAAAAGGATGCCGTATACTACGGGAAGTTTAAAAACTCCTGTCAGATCCCACTGGACTCTAGTGATGACAGCTCAGTCTCAATTGGATCTACCGACAGCAGCTGGTACACCATGCTCAAGTCCTGTGCTCAAGAGTGTGATAATGATGATGAAAGCATGGGATGGATCACGGATGATGACTATGATCCGATGAATGATGATCGGCCTCAAGTGGGGACTTTTGTTGAGACTCTGGCACTCATGGCTCAATTTGACAAGCCCACCATGAAACCAGCACTGATAGCACCCCACCAACTCCGTGGTGCCATGACACCATCAGGGAGTTTTCAACTCATTTGGGACTCCGGTGCTAGTCACTGCATTACCAATGACAAGAAGGACTTTGTTGGTCCCATTGAGAGGTCCGGGTTCATTAAGAAGTTGACCGGTTTAGCTACAGGATTGAACATCATGGGTGTTGGAATGGTTGAGTGGAGTGTATTGGATACCGATGGGCAGCTTCGAACAATCCGTGTCCCAGCCTACTACGTACCTGATAGCCCTGTCAAGCTAGTGAGCACAGCACAGGTTCTTCAGCACTATACCGGAGAGCAGATTGTGTTGGATGATCAGGCAGCCACACTCACTGGCATCAAGGGAGACTCCAGTCGAAACCAGGTCAAGGCCTTCATCAATCCCTACAACAATATCCCCACCTGTACAGGGTACCGGTTGAATGAAGTCCACATCGCTGTTGTCCATCTCAACAATATGACCGTCACTGTGGAACAGAAAAACCTGAACCTGAGTGAACCTGAGAAGGAACTCATGCGGTGGCATCAACGGCTTGGGCATTTGGACAATCGCAAGATCCAGTTTCTTATGCGATCTGGAGCCCTGGCTCACACTCTCGGAAAGAAGGCCCTGCACACTCGCGCAAGTAAGCTGTCCGAGATTCCCAAGTGTGCTGCCTGTCAGTTTGGGAAACAGACCGTCCGCCCAACAAAAACCAAGGTCACGAGCACAGGTGCTATTCATGATAAGCCTCCTGTGTTGAAGGATGGCAAAACTCTACCTGGGCAATCTTTCAGTTTGGATCACTATGTCTGCTCCACCAAGGGAGTCAAAATAGGGAGTCGTGGTGGGGCCAACTGTCAGTGCCTCGTTGGTGGGCTACTTGCTGTGGATTCAGCCAGCTCCATGTTGTTCGGTGACAATCAAGAGCACTTGAACACCCATGAAACTCTGAAGGGAGTTGAGAAGTTGGAGCAGCTCTGCCTGGAGCATGGTGTTGTACCCATGGAATATGTTACTGACAGTGGGTCTGCCTTCACCTCAGCTGCCTTCAAGGAACATTTATCCAAGTACCAGCAGATTGTACACTTTGTTGGTACTGGTGCTCACCATCACAATGCCATTGCCGAGCGGGCCATTCGCACTGTAATGTCCATTGCTCGGACAATGATGCTTCATGCTGCGATCCATTGGGCTGAAATGGCTGACGCTACTCTTTGGCCCTTGGCTGTTCACTATGCCATTTACATCTTCAATCGAGTTCCAAATCCTGAGACCGGTTTGTCTCCCCTGGATGTGTTCACGGGCATTCGGCAACCACAACGCCGCCTCCACGACCTTCATGTTTGGGGATGTCCCTGCTATCTGTTGGACAAAAGAATGGCAGATGGAAAGAAGCTACCACGTTGGGAAGCCCGAAGTGAACGTGTGGTGTTTGTCGGGATTTCTGAGAATCACCTTGCCGGGACCCCTCTGGTTCTCAACCCACGGACAAGAGCATTCACCACTCCCTACCACTGCGTATTCGACGATTGGTTCGCTACTGTGGGGAGTTCTGTTGATGACCTGCCCAACTTTCAGTCCCCTGAATGGCAGAAAGTGTTTGGTGATTCAGAGTACCAGTATGTCCAAGATGAAGAGTGGACTCAGCAAAGCCCCGACCCAGCTATGGAGCGCACCCTGCAGATTCGAGAGCAGATTGGGGAACGTCTGGATCAAGGGAGTGTGATTCGTGTTGACCAACTGGCAGATGTCCAACCAGTGCCTTGCCCTGTTGTTCAAAGGGAGACTACTCAGTCAACACCACCAACACCTGCAAATCAACCAACAGCTGTCACTCCCAGATATAAAGAAGCAAGACCTGCCTCCATCTGGGTGCCCCCAACGCCATCTACCTTGCCATCATTCTCACCCATCACCGACTCAGCCTCCGAGCCAAGCGTTTCCACAGCAGATTCCATTGTGAGTTCTCCGCCAACATCTGTGTCTACCACACCAGGTTCAGTCTCCACACCAGGTTCAGTCTCCACATATTCACCCCCACAGAAGCCAAAGCCTAAGGGAGCATTGCGAGAACTTGGACCCCCAGACTACATGATGGAAATTCAACCCAACAAGAGAACCAGAAAAGCAACTGACAGATACCAACCTGAGGTGAACTTGCTGGGAGAGCGATATGCATTGGAAGGAAACACATTGCATGGTGACACCATTTCCTACCATTTCCCAGAACATCATGTCTATGCCCTATCTGTTCTCTTTGATGAACCAATTTCTCCGGAGATTTACAAGGCTTCCAAATCCGATCCGGACACCATGACTTTGGAGCAAGCCATGGCAGACACTGAAAATTATGATCGATGGGTTGCGGCCTTAGAAAAGGAGATTAGGGACTTGGAGGACCATGGCACTTGGGAAGAGGTACCCATTGGTGAGGCTCAAGGAGAAGTTGTGCCTGTAATGTGGGTGATGAAAGTGAAAAGGAAGCCTGATGGTTCCTTTGACAAGTTCAAGGCAAGAGTTGTGGTGAGAGGAGACCTAATGAAGTCATATGATTTTGAAACCCATGCACCAACCTGTGCTTGGAGCACAATTCGCATGGTACTCATCTTGGCACTCACCTGGGGATGGGCTACCTGCACATGTGATTACTCAAATGCATTCATACATGCCACCTTGGACAAGCCTGTATGGATCCGGCTTCCAAGAGGCTACCAATCTAGTTTGGAGGGCAAATCCTGTTTGAAGTTGAAGCGGTCCCTTTACGGCACATCTTTTGCTCCCAAACTATGGAGCGACTGTCTGTGCTCTGCCTTGGAGAAGTATGGCTTAAGCCAGTCACAACAAGACAAATGCTTGTTTGTCAAACCTGGAATGATGGTGGTAACCTACGTGGATGATCTTGTCTGTGCATTCCAGGATCCCACAGAGAAAGACAAATTCTTCAAGACCATGGAGGATTTCGGGTTCAAACTCAGCATGGACGATACACTCGAGTCATTCCTGGGGATCCACTTTGAGAAGCTACCAGATGGGGCTTTCAATATGACTCAGCCCGGATTGATTGACAAAATCATCGAGGCATCTGGGATGAAGAACTGCAACAGCAGCCCCACACCAGCAGCTCCAAACCAAACTCTGGGAAAAGACCCAGATGGTGAAGTGATGACAGACACATGGTCTTACTCCAGCATTGTTGGCATGCTGATGTATCTGTCAACAAATACAAGACCAGATATTACGTTCGCCGTCAGTCAAGTCGCCAGATTCAATCACGATCCCAGGCAAAGTCATGCCACAGCTGTGAAGAGGATTGTTAGATACCTGGCTGGAAGCAAGGACAAGGGCACTATTATGCGCCCTGATGGAACTCTCTCTGTGAACTCAATGAGTGATTCTGACTTTGCGGGGCTATACCAAGTTGACCCATTGGAAGATGCATCCAGTGCGAAATCACGCATGGGTTACATCATTGAACTTGGAGGGTGCCCTCTGGTGTGGAAGAGCCGGCTCATTTCATCAATTTGTCTGGCTACTGCTGAGGCCGAGTATTATGCTCTGTCTCACTGTCTCCGTGTCCTGCTGTCAATTCGGCGTGTGTTGGAAGAACTGACCCAGCTCCTGGAAGTGCCCCATGAGATGCGGGTTACCATTACATCAAAGGCTGCTGAAGACAACAGTGCAGCTTTGATTCTGGCCCGTGATCATCGTCTCACATCCAGGACCAGGTACTACCACACACAAGCCCATCACTTCTGGCAACACGTGGATGACGGGACTGTCCAAATCGTGCCCTGTGAGACGGCACTAATGGATGCGGATTATTTGACCAAGAGCAAGCCTCGGGAGGGTCATGAATCCAATCGCATGCGTGTCCAAGGTTGGTAACCTTGCACCATGCACACTGTAATCCAGCAAAACAAAACAAAATGAAGAAAAAATGCCTGCTGGAGCCTTCCCAAGGAAGTAAAATAAAAGAAAACAAAAAAAGAGAAAGAATACATGTCAGGTACATAATAAGATGGAATGAATGACGGAAGTTGTGTGAAAGGGAGAATTGAGGAAGCAGGAACGTGCAGCAAGTGCTTACTGGGTCGAGTGGGAAACTGGAGTGTCTCATGGTACATCTGAGGTTGTCTCATGGTACATCAGAGGCTGTCTCAGTGGACACAGACTTTGGGCAAAGGGACATGAAGAATGTCTGAGCGTGACAGTGATCATTGTTCCACACAGAACGGCGTGACAGTGATCATGATTCCACATGGAACATATGGAACATGTTCTCTGACACCTTTGTTCCTTGACACCAATGTTCTTTGACACCATTGTTCTTTGCGACTGCCACCCCAAAGTGACTGTCATATCTACTGATGGAATCCCCAAATGACTTAGGATCCTGTGACAACACTACCTTCTTCCCCAAATAGAAGGAGCAATGCCAGGTTTCACCCCAAAGACTTGCAAGGTCCAAGTTTCAGAAATCACACAACACGTCCTTCATTTCCAAGCTCACAATTTCAGGAAATTGGCACAACAATAAATAATAAACAACAACAAAAGACAAATTACCTTTTCATCAGATTTCAGATTTCCTTTTAGTGGTGTGCCGTTCGTGGGACAGATGAAGTTCATGTCAGAAGTGGATATTGTCATGGGTCCACATGGACAGCAGTTTCTCACAAGTATGTTCATGCCACAGTGTGGCTCCTTGTTCGAGTTCTTTCCCAGGGAGTACTATGTACCCAACTGGTATGGATCATTGGCGGCCTTGTTCGGCAAGAATCACTTCTTCACTTACGGAGGAGCATATCCACACATGAGATCACGGGAAACAAAGTCTTACAATGCCTCTGCTGATGCAGTCCTGCGAGTGACAGAGGCAATGGTTGAACGGTGGCACTCTTGCTGTAGTGCACTATAGGAAATTATTTTAAAATGGAACAGCTAAACTCACCCTTTGTTACCAAAAGTAGCTAGCTAGCCAGGGAGCACCCTTGCGCCGGCTGTGGTGTTGAAAGCATGTGCTTCGTTTGCCAAAGTGCCTCTTTACAGTGTACACGTGTGTACCGAGTGTGTTAGCAAGCCGCAACTACTCTTGCGCACATGATAGTTCCAGGGTCCTCAACGAGGAGAGGCAAAGCTCGGGGCTTTTACTGTATTGAGTGATCGCGAGCTAGCTAGACGTATAAAGTCCTTGCTGCCGGTAGTTGGATTTGCGCATGGTCCACGAGCTGCTGGCGATACGTCGATGCCGGTTCTTCCCGCAATCATTATGAAATTACGCAATAGTCGAACTGCAAACTGAGGGTGACCGGGTGGTTCTTCAAGTGGACTCTGACCCGACGGAGCAAACCATGAACATCCATCCGCAGTCCAGAGCGATGGCAGTGAAGCCAATGCTAACACGATGCAGAGCGAAGCAACGGACCAGCCACCGAAGATTCCCTGCGAGGAAACGTAAGTTGGACTACGACTAGCAACTTCGTTATTAGTTAGTTTGTAGGAACAAAAAAGTCAATCAGCTTGGGGTTGTCCTGGAAGAGCACAAAGAGACCGTTGAGGGGTGTATATTGCAAGTGAAAGCTGGGTGGTTCAAAGGTTGTCTGTTCCAACTGAGGATCCAAGGCAGCCAAAATTGCTGTCAGCAACTCTTGTCGGGACACACTGCTTATTTTGGGACCGCAATAAGCATCAGTATCTACAATTCTCGGAGCTTTCGAAGCCAAAGCATTGAGACCGCAATAGTTCATCATGAGTCGGTCCTGGATCGATTGCGGAAGCGGCTTGTTTGTGATCTTCCAATGTTGGAGTGACAAGTTCTGGTACAGGGCTCCCACCACTTTTGCAATCCACGCCGTGGAAAACGAATCGCCTCTCTTAATTTGAATGCTACTGCTGCTGCCATTGGATGCTGGTGTTTGCCATTTTACATCCAAGAACAATTTTCGGAGGGAACGATTGCGGACCAGCACGTCCACCAGTGGATCCCACGGATCCTCATGTGTTACTTCTTCTTGTGGTGGCGGCGATGAGGGGAGGGCAGCCACCACCACCACTCGGCAGTACTTGAGCCTCAAATCTTGAACGGTTTGGTTTGCCGCCAGCCATTGGCACATGGTCCACCACGCCATGGGATCCAGTTGCTGTTTCTCCAGACAAAGGACCTGTAGGTTCTCTAACGGTAAAAGTGGTGACTTGGGTGGAACCTCCAACTTGCGCCTTTTCTTGCTTGGATGTGATGATAGCTGCCTCCAGAATTCTGCCGGCACGGTGACTTGGTTTCCCCCGGGCCCCGTGACGGTGAGATTTTGCAGTGTCGAGGACGAGGACAGCAGCCCTTGCACGGACAGTGTCCGGGTTGGCAAGGAAAGATAGGATACTTGTCCCAACGTGTGCATTCCCATGATAGTCTGTAGCAATGGATCCCACTGACGAATTCTGCTCGGAATGATATCGGGGTGTTCCATAAAGGCAATGGTGAGTTTGGACCCATCGTGTTGACGTCCCAAATGAATGACATTGGGTTGTTGAAAGGATTCCACAGTGAACGTTTCGGAATTGTTGGTCACAAATGGAAGTACCAGTGTGGGTAGAAAAATGGCCATGAAGCGTTGTGGATCCATGGTAGGATCGACCTGTACAATGATATCGACCATTCCCGCAAATGACCGTAGCGACATGGCCAGTTTTTGGATATGCTCGGGTTTGGCCATCCAGAACCCTCCAGCGTGACATTGGAGTTTGAGTCTTTGAGGATCCCTCATGGGACATGCCTGGAGATTCAAATATCCCTGTGGGTCCATCTCAATCCACTCGATGCCTTGTGGCGGCCACATGCCCAAAGCGATCGTGTCGTGGTTGTGTTCCACCACTTCGTCTTCCACAGTGGTAGTCACGGTATCATTTTCCAACAACGCTTCCTTTACAGTCATCATGGTTGCTTACTCGTAATTTGCTTTGCTTTAGTTGCTTAGTTCGTTTTGTGCTGGATGGTCACAGTCAGTTTGTTTCTTTTTTTTGACCAGATGGTTGTCGAGTTGAGTTGTGTGCGAAACAAGCTGCGAAACAACTGTGCGAAAAATCAGGAGCGAACTTTTTTCGCAAGGCCAATCTTGGGACTCTATGGCGCACTCCAAAACTGAAGGTCATGTGATTACGACAGCAGTTGTGGTGGCACCCTCTTCCCATGCCATTGGAACTCTTGCTCGGAGTCCCATGAATTTGGTGCCATTTCCCTGGTGCAGTGCTCTTAAAGGAGAATGGCACCTTCCACATCAGTTGAAGTTGTTAAGTCCTTAGAAGAACCTAGTGTTCTTAAGTATTTAACAAGTAGCCAAAATTTAACTAGTGAGAGACTCAAAGACTTAATGCAAATGTACCAAGTGTGTCTTTTGTGGGAGGACGCAGAGAAACCAGCCTGTACAAAAATGAAATTTTACTTTTAGGTAAAAAAAATAAATGTAAAAATTTAAAAGCCTTGTTATTAAGAATCTCCATGGCATGTTGTCTGAGGACTCATGTACCAATACTACATGCTGGTGCTGGTGCTGGTGCTGGTGCTGGTGCTGCTGTTGCTGCTGCTGCTGCATCTGATCTAAGCGACTAGCTAGCTAGCTATCAATGACTGAGTTACAAGTAGGTTTTATCTACTACAGAGTAATCATTAAAATTCTACTAACACCAAATTAATTGTATTGCTCTAGCTAGAGCTTGATTCAAAGAAGCAATGCCATCTTGTTTGACTGACTTGGATCATCATCTTGTTTGACTGACTTGGACGAATCTCACAGAGCTCAGCTGTTGGAAAAGAGGTGGGGGGAGGCAGGTGCCGCTGCAGTGATTCAAGTGCTGCAAAAGCTTGAAAACTAAGTGTAACTCATTGTAAACAGTGTTGCCGTTGCTCTGTTGCCTCTGTAGAATTGTTTACAATACAAAGCTAGTTGAAATGACGACCACGTTAGTCGTCCTCCAATGTTCTACGCCAGTTACATCAGTTGCACGCCAGTTACGTCAGTTACCCTACGCTAGTTACGCTAGTTACGCTAGTTACGTCAGTTACTCTAGTTACGCTAGTTGAAATGCCCCTAATTTTGGTGCAGTGCGGTGCGAGGACGGTGCAGGAGAACTGCACCGGCACCAAATTATGGCACCAAATTCAACTGACCCCTTGCTCGATGGACCACATCAATTGACAAGTTGAGAGACTTCTTTAGTCTGAGGTGCGCATTCCCTTTAAGTACCGTGTGAGTTTTCTAAATACCGACTCCACTCCCTAAGTATCTTTAGAATCGATCCGTTTTCTAACGGACGCCACATGGCAATGGCGCGAGACATCATTGACCACAGAAGGAATTCGAAAGACAACGCCTTGCAAGAGCCGACAGTGCGATCCTTCTTTCCTCTTACATCAAAGTCGTCATCAATCTGACGAAGTACTAGTACTGTATCCATCGAAGTCCCTTGACAGATCTATCGATCAAGCTAGTAGAGCCAGTGGACTGGTTGCGTTTGGCAGGATTCCAGCAGCACTTGCCAATACACTCATAGTTCCACTCGAGACAAAATAGTGTAGCAAGATGACGATGAAATCTCCGCCCGTGGCAGTACTGCTACTGCTGCTGTCCAGCATGAGCCACGCTCTCGAGCAACAGCCGCAATGTGGTCTCTGGATGGCCGCTTCTACGTTGGGCGATGCGACCAATTTGGGCATGTACGCCGGCCAAGACATTGAAAAGGGCGTCGACATTCAAAATGAAATTGCCATTCCATTGCTCTTTCGCAATTGGGATGCACCCGATTATCACGATACGGACGATGGACAGCTGTGGGATCGGTACATTTGGGAGGGTGAAGGTGAGTTACACTAGCTAGTCTAGTAGTATCAGATCAGTTCGGACAAACCACAAATGCTGTCTCTCATCTCACTCTACTACTCTTTACAGTCGCCAACGTGGAAACATACGACAATTCGGATCTCCAACAAACCAAGGCTGTCTTTGTACCGGGCATTGGTTGCACCATCAACTCGGTCTTGGACATGAACAATGTCGAGTCCACCCATGGCTCGACGTATGACACGGCCGGATTGCATCGTAGCAAAGATCCCGGCAGTGGCGCCTTTACACCCTACTATGGCACTCACACGGTCAGTACCCGAGACATTTCCGCCGGAAGTGAAATTTATGCCGCATACGGCGATCAATGGATTCCCGACATTCCCGGTGCTCAAGTCACTTTTCACAAGAATCTCGAAGCGGCCGAAGAATTTTTGAGAGATGACTATTACCGATTTGTCAAGTCTCAAAAAGATCCATTGCCCGCACATGTCAAGGAAGGACTCTGGAACTTTACCCGCGATTTTCCCGTTCATCAAAATCAAATCTTTACCGTCTTGCCCCGCAATGTGCCCTGGAGTGAAATCGAAACCGTCCTCGAACAAAAACTACAAGAAGAAGCCGATGTGCCGTACAATACGGAATACGAGAGTGACGACGAAGCCGATACGGGGCCCACACTGTTTGCTCCAGACAATATGGTGACGCACCATTTTATTCGACAACAATCCAAACGCGACGTCCAGTGGCTTCAAGAGCATGGTCGTTGTTGCGATCACATTCGAGCCGACAAGTCGACCATTCCGCAAGCGGGACGGGGAGCCTTTGCCACTCGTGATTTACCAAAGGGGACCATTGTGGGATATTCGCCACTCATTCCCGTCGCATTGGAAGGAGAACAAGTCTACAATATTCCCTATGGCAGTAAGGATCCCAACTATGAGCCCTTTATGGATGAAAATGGCAAGGAAGTGGTCGAAGAGGGATACGAAATGAAAGATTTGGTCATTAATTACTCGTTTGGCCACAAGGACTCTACCATGATGCTGACACCCTACGGGAGTATGATCAATTACATTAATCATGGAGCCGGCGACAAGGCCAATGTCAAGGTGGTTTGGCCCAGTCACGAAATGGTGGCACACAAACCCGAATGGCTGACACGCAATGTCACCACCATTCGGTACACTTTGGACAAGATTGGACTGTCTTTTGATTATGTCGCACTACGAGATATCAAGGAAGGTGAAGAGATTCTCATGGATTATGGTAAGTTCATTTTTATATGAATGGATCTGGTTTTGTGGTTTTGCTTCTCCCAACTCACCACCTCCATCCATTGTATTGCAATATCCAATCTACACCACAGGCCCCGAGTGGGAGGCTGCATGGCGAAAACACGTTATTGATTGGGAACCACTCGCTCATTCGGAGGAGTACGTTCATTCTTCTGAATGGCCCCATGACGAACCACTTCGCACAGAAGCGGAACAGGAAACAAACCCTTACCCCGACAATCTCGAAACCATGTGCGTGGAATCCTACATGAAGGACCCACGGACCATGGCATACAAGTGGATCCCCGTGCTGCGGAAATCCTATTTCCGAGTGGCATGTACCGTCTTGGAGCGACACGAACCCAAAAAGGAAGGCAAACAGCACAGCTATCGAGTGGAAATGCTCATTGGTGTCGACGAAGCCACGGGTGAAGATCAAACCATTATTGTGGATCGGGTCCCACACAAGTGGATCTTTTTGACCGACAAGGTCAAATCCGCCGACTGGCACATGCCCAATACCTTTCGCCACACCATTGCGATTCCCGATGAAATCTTTCCTCCTGCGTGGAAGAATAAATTGACGGGAGAAGGCATGGATATTCCACCGCCTAAAAAGAAACCTGCTGCCACCATGAAACCGAGTACCATCAGCTCGGGTGCGCCCGCGGGAGCCAAAGCGGCGGGTGCCCCGGCAGGAGCCAGGGCCTCGGCTAAAGAAGAGTTGTAGGCTATCTAGGGAGGCGATGGAAGATTCTAGCTGTTGGATGGTGTCCCTGGAGGAAGATTCCAAAACAATCACCCCTTTGAATCAAGAACGCTTGCGTAGCTAGTACTTTATAAATCCTAGTGTTGCCACAAACGAACTTTGGCATCTAACTATACATAGACAGATAGAGAAACATTGAATTACCAAATCATGGTTGGTTCCTTGTCATCCCAGGCCTCCGCAAGCAAAAACCTTGAGTTCCGTGTGGCATGAGATCCAGCCTAATAGCAAACATAGCTGAAAACCAATTTCTAGCTTGAAGATACTACAGACTATCTCACCCCACTCAGAAGAATCCTGGTATTATAATAGTGCTGTTGTTGGGTGCAATAAGTCATGACAGAATTGCTTTCCTACTCTTCCTGGTTGATTTCATCAGCCACTTCACTGCCTTGCATCAGAGGAGGAGAAGGATTGGCACAGGGTCCCTTGGTGCATCCTTGGATTTTGTAACCGTATGTACAGGAATGTGTCGTGTACGTCAAATGCATGGGACTGTACGCTTTTTGATACCATGCCACATGACACTGTTGGTCCTTGACAAATACTTTTTGATGAAACTCGGGACTATCCGTATCTAGTTTGTCGCAGTATTCGTCCGTCACAGAGTTGCTTCCCATACGATCCGTGTGTTTGCAGGGCATGCCAGGAGACGTCCAAACCGTGTTGTTGCGGACCGACACGGGATCCCCGCCACAATCACGATGCTTGTATTCCAACAGAGTCACACATGCCTGGTCATGGTCTTCTTGCACTGCTTGTTGGTGGCGAAGGTGAGATTCTTCTGCAGCAACCAGCACAGATGCAACCAAGAGGAAAAGGAGTGTTGAAAGGAGCCTGCAGTTCATCATTGATGACATCATGTTTGTCAAATGCTATCGTTGCTCGATCAAAGAAATGTCTGCCTTGACCTGACTTCACAGGTTTTGTCTCTTCAATTGCATGCTCTCTCACTCGGAACAAGATCCTTTCGTCTTTCGTCGCCGTTGGAAATAAGTTGGAAGGAGAAACAATAAACCGGTGGAGCTGTAATGCACATAGATTCTTTGCCTGGGAGTATTTCGCCGTTCTGCAGGCTTGTCCTGAGCATCCAAATCCAACGAACCCCTCTCGAGCACCACCTGCAAGATCTTGGGATCTTGGCTGCATCTTAGCTCTCTCTAATCCATAGTAACCTCCCAAAGTTTAGATCACCACGCCCATGGAATGATACCGAGGAGTGGCCGTACCGTACAAGAAGAAAGAAAGAAAGAAGGTGAGTACAGCAAGCTCCGCGGGCACATCTTGTTCTCGATGTATTCGATGTATTAAAAGTGTTGTTGCTACCCATGATGATGAAATGAAACTTTGGTGACTTCTGTCTGAATCCAAATAATGAAAGAGACACAAAGTAAATGGCTGCCAGTAAAATCACTGGCCAGTCTCGTCTGATCCATGGGAAAAACTGCAAAACAGAGCGAGCTACACTGGGGAGGTTGTTGTTGTTGTTTTGCGTTGGCTGCACGGTACTAACACTGCAGTTGGTCATTAATTTCTTGATTGCTGGCGTAGCGTGGAAACAAGAGAGACTGAGGTCCTGAGCCACACCACAAGATAGACTTCAGATCGGATTGATTAGTTCCTATCAGATGCTCCACTGCTAAATGGCTGACTCTTTACCTGTACATTTCGGCCGTGGGGGTGGCCGACAAGGAAACTACCATCGTGGTGGTGGTGGCCGTGGAAGATACCAACACCGTGGTGGCGGCGGCCGTGGGAGAGGACGCTACAACAACCATAGGGGAAGAGGACGCGGAGGAAGAGGCAGAGGTCGTGGCGGTGGAGGAAGAGGACGATGGAATCGTGCGGACGAACTGTTCGAAGAGCACGGGACTCCTACCGACACTTCCGTGAGCATTGCCGTGCAAGGGTGCTGTCACGGTGAATTGGAAACCATTTATGCACGTCTCTCCGAATTTCAGCAACAAACCGGCCGCAAAATAGATGTCTTGATTTGTTGTGGAGACTTTCAATCCTTGCGCACACCTGCCGATTTTCACTCCTATGCGGCACCCCCCAAATACCGACAACTCGGGGGGTTTGTAAAATACTATTCGGGCGTCTTGGTAGCACCCATTCTCACCATTTTTATTGGCGGCAATCACGAAAGTTCACAAGCCTTGCAGGAATTGTACTATGGGGGATGGGTTGCGCCCAATATCTACTACATGGGCGCCGCGGGAGTGGTATCCGTCAAGGGTGTACGGATTGGAGGCATTAGTGGCATTTACAAGAGTCACGATTATCACAAGGGACACTTTGAACGACCACCCTACGATCGAAGTACCTTACGGAGTGTTTATCATGTACGATCGCTACCGGTATTTCGCATGAAGAGTTTGTCTGGTCAGCAAAAACAACGATTGGATGTCATGATGAGTCATGATTGGCCACAGGGGATTGAGAATCATGGGAATATCCGGTATTTACTGCAAAAGAAACCCTACTTTCGAGAAGAAGTTCACAGCAATACACTGGGGAGTCCGGCCAATCACGAAATTCTGCAAGCCATCAAACCAAAACTCTGGTTCTCAGCTCATCTTCACGTGGGATTTCGAGCCACAGTACGACATGACGATCCAGGCAACAACAAAAAGGACGACAACGACAAGAAAGCCCAGCCAACTTTGTCGACAACCGATCTGGTGCCGTCTCAGGCCGTAAAACTGGCCACTTCACCTTCCAAGGAAGAGGATACAAACGAAGAAACCAAGGACGGCGCCGATGAAGCACCTGCCACGTCACCTGCCCAGGAAGAAACAACAAAGGACGGTGACAGCGCTGCTCCTCCAGCAGCGAATGACTCGAAAGAAACAACTGAAGAGGCAGCAGAGGATCCGTCGCAGCAACTGCTCTGTCAACCAGTCAGCGAGACTCGTTTTGTATCGTTGGATAAATGTCTGCCAGGGCGTCCCTACTTTTCCGTGACACATGTGGAACCATCGCAACCAAGCAACAACCATGCCGTGCCTACGTTGGAATATGATCCTGAATGGCTGGCCATTCTGCGCAAGACACACGATTTGACTGAACCCAACAATCGTCGACAAGTCCTCCCGAAGGATCTCATGCCTGTGACACAGGCAGAAATCGATGCCGTGAAACAACTCCTCCTCGAGTCTCGCAACGACCTGGCAATCCCCCACAACTTTAGTGTGACGGTGCCACCGTCAGGACATTCGTCACGAGCACTCCCTCCACCACTCCCCAGGATGGGCAATCCACAGACGGACGAATTGCTGGAACTGCTTAAGTTGGATCATTTGATCACGATTCCCTACGATCCCAGTTGTTTGCAAGGCTTGGATTGGTCCCAGCCGCCCCAAGGACCACCACCACCGCCGCAGCCCGATGACAATGAAATTGACATTGATGGGGACGATGATGAAGAAGAAGATGTACACAAGGAGGAGACTGTGGATGATGGGAAAGGCAAAGGAGTAGCCGATGAGAATGAAATTGATGTCGACGAGGTCAGTGAAGATGATGATGGAGGTTCCAGCCCCAAACGACCACGATTGGAGAGCTAACTACGCCCGAGTCGTCTTGTTTCTTGCCCCCGAAGTCTTAGAGGTTCTGCAGCTGGAGTTGTTCTCTCAGAGATATCATCGCCAGCTACGGTCTCTCCCGTTGTTTTCGCTCAATCTAGTCTTGCGGGCAAAGGGCATTACTGGTAGCTGTTGGACAAGCCCACCTCTGGATGGTTGTTGGGTTGGGTATGCTGTACGACCTAGTACCGGTAGTGAAATGCATTGTTTACGTATACATGGGGTTAGCTAGAACTAAAGGAATCATTCAATCCAAAGTACACATTCGTACGTAGAATTGGAGGACAGCTGCGTGGCTGGCCTACGGAATAAGGACATACAACGCCAACGAAGATATAAGGTTCACAATCAAGATCCCAGCGAAGGTAGTCGGAGCACCAGGAACAGCACCGGAACGGGGCATTGATAACCTTTCATTTTGTGGATTGTTGTTCGAAGAAGTGCCGGCGCCACAACCACAAAGATCCGCAAACGCATTTTGGTACCCTCGGCACGTCGTGAAGGGTTTTGTTTCGGAATTCGGTGCTTGTGACTCAAGGCAATGGCCTGCAGACCACAGGTCCATTCATTGTAGGTTTCCCAGCCCAAACCAAGATCCAATGCTTGGTTAGGCTTGGAAGGAAGGGACATAGAGCACAGTCGGGGGGATCGCGGTACGGAGTAGGCTCAGGGCGACCACATTCGTACGCCGCCGTATTCAATAGCTCGCAGACTCCATCACCTCTGGAATGCATGTTCCCGATCACATTGGCTGTTTCACCACAGGTGAATGATTCGTCTGCAAACATTCTGTAATTGCAGCTCTTTGGAATCTGCCCGTTGTAGCACAGGGTGCAGGAGTTGTCAGTGCACTGAGCCAAGAACAGCCAACTTGTTCGCAGGACTGTTGGTCCAGTCGACTAGGACACCCCTTCGGTTTACATGCGTATCCATTCCAGTTGCAAGATTCTGATATAATACGTATCGTGGAGTCCTCGAGGGCAAAACAGAGATCAATGTCGATCGCGGGATATCCTATAGGCATACCAGTAGTGCGTGAGTGGTGCGTGGAACCCCGGTGAAAAACACCAAAGGGTTAAGCTTACTTTCTTGTTGCTGTTGTTGTTTGAACAATGGCTGCGTATTGGTTTCGGCAACATCGCCTTCTCTATCAGTGCCACCTCTATTCGGCTTCTCGACCGATGAGACCTGTTTTCCAATGAGAAGTCGCGGATGCTGTCGCCCAAGAAAGGGACAGGACGAAGGCGCCGCAGTTACCATTCACCACGGCTGTCTCGAGAGGCACAACGGGGACAACTAAAAGCCAGGAAGGAAATGGAACGACGGTGTCCTGAAAACCGCTGGCTAGCCTTTGATACCACGACTTGTCTTCGCTCGTGAGAATGAATAGTCAAAAGGATCAACACCAGGGTGGGACGGTGCATCTGGCTCGTGGATCTGCACAAACAAGCTAACCTGCTTCCCGATTCCAAGAGAATGGGGCACGATTAGGTTGGCCGGATCGCCCACAGCAAAGGATGCCCTTCGAACCGCCCGCACCGAATAGCTAAAGAGCCGCCAGGAAGGTCCCAAGTCCCTTTGTTGTCGATCCTTCAACCTTCATCAGTTTACTTTCTCGGTTGGACATCTGAAGAGTAAAGGGGAACTCGTGGTCGTTTTCATATTGCAACTCCTGCGATCTCGTATGCGATTCTATAGATCTACTTGTATGTTGTAGTGTAAGCGCCATCTGACCTTCGCACTGTGGACTTTCGATCGGAAGACCTGCAAGCGAACCTCCAAACACTTGCCCTGGATCCTTGAGTTGGGATGGGATTGATGCCATAGTCCTTTAGATTGGTCAGCTGCGAACATCGAGCTGATCGTCCAAGGAAACATTTGTTAATAAATTGGTGGTTGGAGTGGTTACTATGGCTTATAGGGAAGTATGAAAATGAAACCATGAACCACAGATGCAGATCTGGCCATTGAATGCTTCGTGTGACCAGCAATCTCCGCTGGAGTGGGACCGGTGTAGCCAACAGAAAAATCAACGTATATCACAAACAAAAGCCCTATTATAAATTGAAACTACTCAGCATCCTGTCGATGCTCATCCATGAGCTGCACGATATCCTCTCTTCCATGATCCACAACCTTATTGTACGTTTCTTCGTCCCAAGGGCAGCCATGGGCAACAGCCCATCTCAGAATGTGCCAATTCCCAGACACACCCCAAAAACAAGTTCGTCTATCCCATGGACAGCCATTCTGATGAGCCCATTTCAAAACATCCAGACGCCCTCCACAAGCAGCATTAGAACATACTACTGCATCCCAGGGACAGCCATTCGCACGAGCCCACTTCAGAATCTCCAATCGCCCCACATAAGCAGCCCAACTGCATATATCCACCTGATGACCATTTCTCAGAGCCCACTTGAGCACGTCCAAATGCCCTCCTTGGATGACACCGCGCCAACGATATTGTTCATCTTCTTCGATCCACGGGCATCCATTTTTCCGAGCCCACTCGAGCACCTCCACATGGCCAGCGTCTGCGGCACTGGAACAGGTGCCGGCATCCCAAGGGCACTCACGTTCCCGAAGCCAGATGAGGATGTCGAGGTGTCCACCTGCGTCAGCAGCGGCACATGTGGATGCAGTGATGCGACAGCCCTTTTCGACGACAAGCCACTTCAGGATTTCGAAATGTCCTCCTTTGGCAGCACCATGACAAGTGGATTTACGGATTCGACAGCCGTTTCCGACAAGCCACTGGAGGATTTCGAAATGACCACCTTCCGCCGCACCGTCGCACGTGTGACGCATTCGGATGCTCCTGTGCCAGTTATTCTCCTCATGCAAAAACTTCTCATGCAAAAACTTGAGAATGTCGAAATGTCCTCCTTCTGCAGCGGCATCATATGCCAATACGTTGCAGGGACAAGATTGTGTCAGTGCCCATTTCAGAAGATCCAAATGACCATTCCCGGCAGCATTGGAGCATGTCTCTTCATCCCAACAAAATCCCTTGCTGCGAGCATACTGGAGCATTGCCAAATTTCCATGTTTAGCAGCGATGGAACAGGTCTCTGGGTCCCCATCATCAAATCCCTTGCTGTGGGCCCACTTGAGCACTCTGACGTTCCCAACTTCGGCAATTACTTAGCACACTCGGCGGCTCTCAAACATATTGGTTTCTTCCGGCAAAACTCTGTAACGAGTTAATAGTGTATCGATCATGCAGTAGTCGGCATACCAGTGTTCGGCACACGACACATTGCAGAAGGCAGCACGGAAAATCGTGTCGGTGCTAGCTACTGGAAGGTTGTACCCAAAATTTCCATCACTTTGTAGCTTCAATGGACGATTGTGGAGAGGTGCAGTGTCACAGTACGCCTTGTAAAGTTGATTGAACTGTTTGTTGACCTCTCCCACAAAGGCATAGTGGCCCACGCCAATAAATGAAAAGATGATATCACGCCAGATCTCGGGGTGATTGGACAATGAGGATTGGGTGGCTTGCTTTTTGGCGGCATTCATTTCTGCTTCCCTGGCAGCTTTCTGGGCTCGTCGTTTGGCCCTCTTTTTGGTGGATTTTCGTTCATGGAATTTATTGGATCTCGTATGCTGATTGACTTGGTCGTCTTCTCCATCACGTCGGTGGAATGGTTTGTCCAAATGCTGATTGACCTTGCAGTCTTCTCCATCGCACTCCAGGTCGCAGAGAGTGTCCTCCACCATGCCAAGGCCTTGATCAAAGCGAGTGTTACTGGTAGTCATCCTGCTATACTGTAAAGGTATATTGGTAATTGCTTGTGAGTACGGTAGGTAGAGAGTTGTGATTCGATTCTGGCTGGTGGTGTGGTGTCTGCTGCAGGCGGTGCAAATGGCGCCATGGTGGTGCTAGCTAGCGCTCAAAGAACGAGCGCGAAGACAACCGAAGTCCGCAAGAAACACTGTGCGACCTTTTACAGAATCTTCCTAAAAAGAGAACTCTCCCGAAAACATGGCTCTGCTGTTTTAATCTTTTTCGGTTCTGAAGCCCTAAAGCAAATCAGCGGCAGGATCACATTCAACATCACTTCGTTGTGTGTTGCCGCCCGCTAGAATTCCCTCATTGTAACCTTCTTTTTATTAAATTGCCGCCCCCTAATCCATAATTACAGCCCCCATTCCGTTCGAGGCACAACTGTCTGGGGTCTGGGCAACTTTGTCACCGTAGAAGGTATCTGGCCGGTTCGGTCTTGGTGCAACCACCACAACCCCAACAATCCTGAGGCCCAAAAAAAGAGAATAAATATCGCGATGCATTCCCACCCAAAGCAATTTTCCTGGCCGCATTGTCGGTTCCCAACACTTGTCAAGAGTTCACCCACAATGCCTGCAGACAGCCAAATCTCAAACGAGAGAAATAACATCAACGTCAACACCAGGACTGCAGACAGAATAGGCCTGTTGGGCGTTTCCGCTGCTCGTCCTGGAAACCCAAAGATACCTTCTGCAAAATAAGCTCCACCAGCCCAACTGCCCACCAGACACTGAGGAACACCCGAATCTGGAATGCCCGGCAGTACCAATACGGATTCTGAAAGTTGTTTGGAAGTGGGCAGCGCACTTTTTCTGGATCCATCACGGCAGGCACGGCAACATGGCCCTTAAAGTACACCGTGTTTGTCCCAGGCGCCTTGTACGCAAATCGCAGGGAGGACTCGCCATCCGAAAGGCCTCTGCCTTGTGTCCAGATACCCAGACATTCGACTCCAGTGTGGATGCACAATTCCAACGAACGAATCCTCTTGGGTCACAAGAAGATCCAATACATCAACATGCCAGGCACGACACAGAGCACCAACGGAGTGACCACCACGACAATGGCAACGGCAACAACACCCATCTTGGTACCTTCTTATGCAGCCGTTGGCAATTTGAAGATAATCTGGTCTTCTTTTGCTAATCTGGTCTTTTAATTAAAAGTAGGATAGCCTAGCAAGTCGCCCACCTCATCTCCTATCATTTGGCAAATGCCTTGCTCTCATGCACTACTATACTGGTAGCTATTACCGTCCTAGTACTAGCTATAGCACCATGATAATATGCATACCGTACGATGAATGGATCAGACCACCACCCACGCAACTCCACACCATGCTTGTGTGCATTATTGCCATGCGATGCACCAAAGAATTCCAATATCGGTACATAATGGCAGCGGTACCGTACGGAACGTCTTACGGTTTAATAGTACTCAAGTATCTCTACGAGCGTCTCAAAATTAATAATGAGAAACATTGTCACATATGTCTTACTTATACCCTCACTTCATAGTTCTCCTTTGCTTTAAATAGAGATTTGACGTCGTTTTAATTAAAAACACTTTAAACCCAAATGCCGAACAATTCTCCAAAACTTCAAATAAGTCATCCCTTGCCATCTGTTCGTAATTTTAAAATTAAAAATCACCTTCGACCCTTTATGTTTTGGAAGCAACTATAATAAGGTAGATGCGGAAAATGTAGGGTTAAAGCTATTATTTACTTTACATACAGGTAATACTAGTCTAGACTAGTATTTGAATTCAAATTTTATTTTACCGCATCTACCGCGACAGAAGATGTGTCTTCCTGGTACCGTATGGTACAATCATACAGTTAGCACAGTGACCGCCCAGACAAGTTTGAACAAGATCCAGAAACGTGTCACACAAACTCTTTGGATTTCTGAACCTTGGTTGCAAGTACTATCAAGATATCCAGAAGTATTCCAAGTCTTTTGCATCGTTGTCAAAACACACAGAACACCCACTCCCTCCTTGGGCACCAGCGGAAATAGCGAGTGAATAGTGACATGAGCTCGAGCTTGAAACGGGCCTTGAGAAAATCCATCACACCTGACATTGACACCGAAGACAACACCAACGAAAGTAATCTTGCAACACCAGCTGAGAGCAACGAGAACGAGACGCCTGATACACACGAGAACGAGACCATGGCTGAGGAAGACGAAGTGATGGTGAACTCCCCGGGGGAAGAAGTCAAGGAAGAAGAAAAGGATACTGAAGAAGCAAAGGAGGACGATGACAAGCAGGAAGAGGGAGAAGACGGAGAAGAGAAGGATCAAGACGGAGAAGATAAGAAAAATGCAGAGGAAGATGGCGAGGCGAAAGAGGAGGACGAGGCAGAAGAAGAAGGAAAGTTTGTCTTTGAGGGTCGCAACCCCAAGCTCATCAAGGGCAAGGTCTCCATGATCAGTGGCTGCATGGATATTCAGACCAGCACTGACATTGGTGATATTTCGGAAACGGTGAAGCATCTCACCCCCGCTGGTTTGGGAGGTGCGTTCTTGATAGAGTGATGACAAAGGAATGGGTACAGTTGACCAAATGATGGAATGGTATCTAACATATCACATATCTTCGTTTCGTGTGTAGGAGGTGCCCTGACATCAGTTTTGATCGACACGCTGACAGCTCACAAGAAGGCTGGGACGAAACCATCCAAAATGGAAGTGATCAAGGAACTAAAGGCAAAATTGGAGGATTTGGATGTCACTCAGAGACCTCAGATCTCCACATCTTCCATTGTGGATCTGTCAGAACCGTTCGAGTTTGTGCCCTCCGACTGCTCTGGCGTCCGACGTGCCGTCGTTATTGGCATAAACTATACTGGGACTAGTAACGAGCTGAGAGGTTGCCACAATGATGCGATCAACTTGAAAGCTTTTCTGATGGAGGAACAAGGATTTGACGAGGACAACATCACAATGCTTCTCGACGACGGAAAAGAGACCAATCCCACCAAGCTCAACATGTAAGTTCCAAACGATACAAGCAACGCTGAGCCCATTGAATCGGCTCGCTCAATGGTGACCTCTCATTTTGTTGTCTTTCACTCAGCATGATGGCCTTGCATCACATGGTTCAGTCCAGCAAGTCGGGAGATTTCTGTTTCATGAGCTACTCAGGCCACGGAGATTTCATTGTGGACAGGAGCGGAGATGAAAAGGATGGTTGGGACGAAGTTTTGTGTGCCGTTGATCATGAAAATGTCGTGGACGATGAACTCTGGGAAACAGTGGTGTCCAAGCTAAAGACAGGTGTGACTTTGTTTGGTATTTCTGACTCGTGCCATTCCGGAACTGTCATGGACCTTCCCTACCGCTACCAGTTTGCCGAGGACAGCGAAGTTTGGGATGAGAGAGAAGAGTATGTGGCAGCATTGCGAGAACACTTGGCACAACAGGAGGAAGAAGAGGAGGAAGAAGAAGAGAAAGCCAGGGAGGAAAAAGAGAAAGAAAAGGCCGAGGAGGAGGCCGAATCCAGCAGCGAATTGGATGATCAAATGTTGGCCATGACAGCCATTTTGATGATGATGCAGGTGAATAGGAAGATGTCCAAGACCAAGGTCAAGAATATGAAGAAAAAGATGAATGCAATGATGGCGTTCTTTGGTGGCGACGACGACGATGATGAGTAATAAAGCATCGGCCTTGTATTGAAGTTCTGAGGTGCTGCCCATCACGTTCTATTCCTATTCCAGTTCTTAGGCACTGGTCTTGTCTGCCTCGGTGTGGTACCGGTAGACTGGCCAGCATACTCGCTAGAGCCCGGTATTATCTGTCTTAATCATAGTTGCTCTGGTTTCAAACCAGCCACGCCCTTTGTTTCTGCTGCTCCTCCACAGCCGCCACACGACACCCCCGAGGGTAACAATTGCACCTCCACAGGTTTTTCTCTCAGCACTTGTCAGGCGTGATACCAGGTAGTGGCTCTGTCGACGAACTTAATTAAGCACGAGACCCACAATATTTCTGGAAGGGTGGAGATTGGATATAGGCAGCAAGAAAAGAGTGAATTGTATTCTTATCGTTATCTTACGATACAGAAGCATCTACACGAAGCTACTCCAACGAAAAGATCCAACAGAACATACAGGTAGCATCCATAATTCATAATATGATAGATACCTCTGTCAAGCCTGTGGTTGCTTTCCAGCCGGGGATCACCGCTCCAAGGAAATTGTCTTTAGTCTTCATTCGCCAATCCGATTTTGCCTAACCTCTCCAGCCACGGTAGCACCAAGCTACCAAAAATCCTTCTTGAATATCCTTCTTCTAAAATGGAAGATTCCGCCTCCACAGTGCCACTTCCGCCATCCACGCACACACATCATCAAGTCTTGATTCGATTCTCATTCGTTTCATTGCGTCCTTGCAGCCAATGGATTCATTCATAAGCTTTGCATGTATGTAAGGAGTTGCTTTTGGGTAGCACCGTCGATCTTGTCAAGATCCAATTTGATGTTATTCTTGTCGCCTTGATAGGTAGGAGAATCTTTGATGACCTTCACCAATCCAGCCAAAGAGCCTGGAGGAGCGTTGTTGATTTTGCTCACCAGCTCTTGCTTTTCTTCGGTAGACAGTTCCGTCATGGTCAAGGTTTCTTAGTTCGGAGAAAGGTGAAGTTGTGTTGTTGTCTCTATCGCGCTATTGTGAAGGTCTTGCCACAGAGAAAATGGAAGAGGAAAGAAGACAGAGCGATCGCGCTTGTCAACCAGGTCATTTCGCGTGACCTTTCTTGGGTGCACTGTCCTGAAAGATCCAAGATAGTCAAAGATCCAGTGGTTAAGGTTATGGATAAACGGATTCGGAGAGGTGGGCCAGCGGCAACAATGCAACAATCTTTGTGGCCCGTGTTGCTGGATTCTAATGTACCCAATCGAACGACCAAGCTATTTAGGTGGTGGTCTCATTTGAGTACAAAATCCGCTGCAGCATCCATGTTGGCATAGATAGGCTAATGAGGGAGGGGGGCTAAGCTAGGCACAGCAACAGCATCGGTGGTGGGTACCGGTAGCACTAGCTAGTAGCTACATGTAGCTACTAGAAAAGCAATTTGCGGAGTTTTAGGGATCATGGCATCCCCCTGATCTTTGGAATGGAAACCTCCTTTTGCCCAAGCCCATGTCGAATTGGATCAATAATTGCAAGTCGAATCGAACCGAAGGGATCATGGCATCCCCCTGATCTTTGGAATGGAAACCTCCTTTTGCCCAAGCCCATGTCGAATTGGATCAATAATTGCAAGTCGAATCGAACCGAATCGAATCATTTGATTCGAATCGATCCACGGATCAACGGATGAATGACGTCAGTAACATGGCCACTCAGTTGGCTTATTGCTTGCCTCTGCCAACCAACCACCATGACAAACCTTGGATCCCCTGTCTACCACACAGCGGCGACAAATCCTCTTCTGTCTTCTCTGTAATTCTTCGATCTTGTAGGTAAGGTGTATAGCTACCGGTAGCTAGCGGCACTCTGGTTCATTGTGAAATCTTCTGTGTTTGCCAACTCAAGGTATCTATTCTGCCACTCCCAGACTTTGTTTCTTGCTTTGATTCATTACTGCAGAATGTTGCGATTTCCCTTGTTGGCCGCTCTTTGCGTGGCTCTGCAAGCCTTGCTGGCGACGGGCTTTGTGGTGGTGCCCACTACTACCAGTACCACTACCGGTACTACGAGCCGTTCCATGTCGGATGACTTTTTGGCCGAAACGCCGAGTGGTACCCAAGAACGCATTCAGGCATTGGTAGACAATCATCCCGTGCTGCTGTTCATGAAGGGATCTCGTTTGTTCCCGCAATGCGGTTTCAGCAACACGGCGGTTCAAATATTGGAGAGTTTCAAGATTGACTTTCACACGGTGGATGTGTTGAGTGACGAAGCGATTCGCAGTGGCGTCAAGGACTTTTCGCAATGGCCGACCATTCCTCAGCTCTATGTGACTGGAGAATTTATTGGTGGAAGTGATATCATGATTGAACTCTACCAGAGTGGAGAAATGGGAGAAATGATTGAAAAGGCAAAGGCTGATATGATCTAAACTAACTAAACTATTAATATCTAAACAAAACTAAGTAAACTAAACTCAAAAAATCTAGAAAATCCCAGAGTGTACGGTACTTGCAAAAATATGGTCATTAGCTGTGGTTTTGTTACACAGCCTCAGCCGATTTCCGATCGGCCTGCCATGCTGCCACAGTCGGATCATGTGGTCGCCCCGGAAGTTGAGAGGATGCCTCTTGTTCCAAAAATCGTTGATAACTTTCTTGCGGCGTCCGCAACAATGTTTCTTCACTCAAACAGTCCAGTGCTGTATTGACCATCAATTCGGACAGAGGCGGTTGTCCCGCCATGGAATGTATGCCTTGAGCATGCAATTGTTTGGGGATCCGTGCCAATTCATCCAATCGAATGCGATATTGTTTGGAATTGGGTTCTCCCGCAAAGAGTGGCATGACCGCCTTGACGAGGAATCGTCGAATCTTGATGGGATCCCATTCTTGTTCTTCTTGATCGGCATGACGACCAAATGCCTCCAAGATTTGCAGTCGATTCATATTATTGGATGTTGATTGTTGGTCTTGATCATTGTTGTTGTGGTACAAGAGTGTATCCGCCATGGAAAATCGCCAGGGATCGGCTGCCCATGCCCGTCCAATCATGATCCCCTGCAATCCTGGCATTTGTTGCAGTAACGATTGCGCTTGTGGAATGGTTTCAATGCCTCCATTCAATGTGAATTTCAACTTGTTGTGTGGAGAATAGTCGTTGACGAGTCGTTGGACTACACTGTATTTGAGAGGTGGTATTTTGCGATTGTCGGCGGGTGAAAAGGACTTTTGCAATACGGCAATGCGGGCATGCACATCGAACGATGTCACAATCCCGGAATCTGCCACGGTTTCGATAAAGTGTGCCAATGTCCGATATTCTTGTTCATCGTCTTGGCGTTGTAGTTGTTTGGAAAATGGTTGTTGGGAATCGGTGCCAATCCGACACTTGACCGTGACGGGCAACCGTCCTTGACATCCCTCGTGAATGGCCGTGACCAGATCTGCCACCAACTTTGGGTCGTCCATGAGTGCCGCTCCAAAACATCCTTTGCCAGCCACTTTGGGACTGGGACAACCGCAATTCAGATTGATGGCCGTATAATCGCAGATCCCTCCTCGTTGGGTCAATTCCATGACCGTCTCGGTAGCGTGGTACATGGCCGTGGGATCCGAGCCTCCCAATTGTAATACACACGGTCCTTCTCGATTGCTTTGACGTAGAAATCGTTGCAAATATCGGTCCTTGTAATGGGCATTGACATCTTCGTCGGCAGTACTAGTGGGGTGCGCGTCCTGATATGCCTGCTTGGCATCCATTTGTTCGTGATAAATCGCACTGGCGCCCACCATTTCGGTATACAGCAACGTGCGATTCGATATCAAACGCACCAAATGACGAAAATGACGATCCGTATATTCCATCATGGGAGCCAATGAGAGAGTGGATGCTGCATCCAGCTCGGCTTGTTTTCCTTGTCGTTCTTGATCATGATCATTATTGTGGTGGGAAAACAGAGGTCTGCTTCTTCTTGGGGTGGATAATTTGGAAAGAAAAGCAGATCGACTAGGACGAACTGCAATCATACCAACCAATAAGGACACTACCAACCACTGCCTCACAACCATGCCGTCTGTCTCCAACTATGTAATAGCCAACGACGGAAAAATGAAACCAATTGCCATGGAAGAAGAAAAATGGCTGACCGTCAAAATCCGTCTCCCAAGTCCCAAGAACACTCCTCAATGGGTTATAAGCCCCCTTCTGTCTTTTCAAACGTGCGAAAGATATCTTTCTAAAGATGTGCCAAAGCGTTGGATGGAAAATTTTGGTCCTCTGCCAACACCACTGCTGCCTCCTTCAGAAGGGAGCAAGCAACGAACAAACACAAACACTGCAGTATGTAGTGCATGTCAAGCGAACGAACGAACGAACGAACGACGATGTATCAAGAAGACATGATAGATGAAGACGATGGCTGTGGCGGCCAAGAGCCTCGTCGTCGTCGGAACCACCCTCAGATCAAGCATATTCGGCCGCGTGTGAACAAGCCGAGCTCTGTCGACGACTATCTAAAACGCCAGGATGGGAGACAACGCCACAGTACCGGTAGTGAAATACTGTGGGAACTGAACCACCATTATGAATTTGAAGAAAAGAAACTCCAATTGAAACAAGAAGAAGAAGAAAAGCAGCCACCAGAAGCACAACGCTTGGACAAGGAGGTTGTCATTGCTGCTCCACCCACACAACAAGAATCAGGGCCGATCAACGACGACAATCCAAAAATCACCGTTGGCAAGGCGATCCCTTGGAAGAAGAATTCGAGTCGCACCATTGCTCGTGGCGGAGCTTCTTCTTACTATGGAGTGTATGTGCACGAGGTCCACTTGACGGCCACTTCTATTTGGGTGCAAGTCATGGCGTTGGGGGAATGGAATCTGCCATCCCCAAAGTCCAGTTTGTTCTGTGTGATTGCCGAGGGGGAATCTTGGGACCAATTGGCAGAGGAAGAGCATGCCCTCAGTAAAGAACACAAATACTATCCCAGTCGATTCGATCGGGCGCAATGGCAGCCCTCCTCCTCCTCCTCCTCTAAGACAACCAAGCAAGGATCCTACGAAGGCACATTGGTCTTGCCAAGAACCTTTCTGGAAACATCCCTGAAACAGCAAGCAGACAAAGCAACACTTTGCATGCGATATGCTGCCACGGCACCCTGGCACGATGATTATGCCGTGATCCAACTACTCGAGTGGAAAACTTTGTCTACAAGTACATGTAGTAGTGGCCATCATCATAAAACCTACTCTTGTCCTCGCAAGAAACATCCCGTCCCCGTTCAAGAAGCTTGGAGGGCCATCTTTCCACAAGAAGTATTGGAACGGTTTCGAGCAAGAGAAGTCAAAAAGATTTAGATGATCTATACCGTATGGCGCTTTTGCTTTGGAGGGAAACACGACAAAATGGGCAATCACACAAAGTGTCTAGCTAGCTAGCTATCAAAGTAGAAAAGTGATTGTTTGGTCTATTTTCGAGCCAGGGTGTAGTTCTGGCCAGCAAGGTTACCGTTCAGAAAGGAAAGGATTGGGAGTGCGGAAACAGGGAAGGCTGATTAGAAAGATTCCCCCAGGCAAGGGAAGAAACAACGAAACAAGTAGCCCTATACTAGCTACTAGTTTTGAAGCATTATTACTGTACTACCGGACTTTTTTTTTTAAGTGCGTGCCGAAAGAGACCGACAGTGCACTCTATCTTGGCATTGCCGAATTCATTGCGGAGTAAGCTCGGTAAATGCATTATATCACCATGCTCTGTTCCTACGTGGCTTGCCTTTGCAGCTGTGGTTGCCTTCAGTCTCTTTGCTGGATTGCCCCAGCTCTGTTGTTCACCAATCTCGGACCCGAAATCCAAGCCCTCGGGTTCCTTGTGGCCCCTGGTCTCACCAAACCAGAGACCCCAATATGGCCTTCTCTTTTTCTTTGCCTGGCTTCCATAGATACAGTAGCTTCCCTACTCTGTAACCCCCTGCTGGCTAGATAACTTCCCTACGATGTGCCCCTCCGCCTTAGTAGCCAGATATTATCAGCCACCACCAAGGAGGAATTTGCAAGCCTGAGGTGGGAAACCCAATAGCTGCGCTGACTTAGCGGAAGATCCAATCTTTGGCACAGCCATCATGATCAGTTTGAGCCTCCCTCACGCCCCAATCATTGTGGCCGAAAGATATACGATAGCTTCTACGATCTACATGCCTCATTTGAGCTTTTAGACAACCGGAGCGGCCAATACAGTGTCGATTGAGTGCTGAAGTGACGACTCTTTTCCTGGCTGGGCACTTGTAAAGTGGCGGTCCTGACTCTGTGGGTCCCTGCGCTGGTCCTGGACTCTGGAGGACAGCCTTCTAGGCTTCTACCGTCTATACCTTCCGCCGAATGAGGATCACAGGTTCGACAACGCAAAACTAAAAACCTAGCTACTATCTAGCACAGGGTAGAAAAGATCCCTAGCTAGGCAGTGATATCAACCATGGCTTCTTTCACTGACAACGAAGATGCTAGAAGGAAAAGTTCTATCAATACTCATGAATACTTTGTCCCTGTTGCAGAAGGTCTGAACACAAAAGAGGGTATCTCATTTGATCCCTCATGGCTCTCGCCAAGGTTCTGGTCTCCCGAAGAAGCCAAGAAGGCTCATCTCCCAGCTAATCTCCCTGCCCCTGACTTTGTGCAAGTCTTTCAATTGGACCAACAAGCCAGCAGCACAAAAGAAGCCACACTTCAGCAAGTTGGAAAATCTGCATATGATATTGCCAATGCTTGCTTGTCAACATCAGCTACATCAGCTGTCCTCTTTCGTGGGTTGTCAGCGAAAATATTGAATGCCAAAGATTTTACAGATTTTTGGAAAGCCTGTCTAGCAGAGCCATCCTCAAAAAACAGAAAGAAGTGGAATCCTGTATCCTATGTGCCCTTTGGGGTTCAGCGCAACACTTTGGAAGGAATAGATTTGGTCACCAACTTTCCTCCAGAGAATGCATTGGCATGCCATAATGAAATGGTCTACAATCCACAACCAGCAGGTCGGATCGCCTTTTATTGTCTTGAGGCTGCCCCAGATGGTGGTGAAACCATTTTGGCACGGAATGTGGACCATTCTAGACATGTTTCACAAGAATTGCAGGGCATGGTCCGAAAACATGGTGGCATCCAGTACACACGGAGGTACTATGACAAACGAAATCCCAATGAGGATTCATCAAATCGATTTCATGTGAGTTGGCAAGAGAAGACGGGAACGCAAGACCCCAATGAGGCCATTCACTTTTTTGAATCCGTTGGATTTTCCGTGCCCGACCAGGTGCACTTTGAAACCTATGATGATGGTTTCCAAAAGCTCATTGTGAAAAATGTGGAGAGTGGATTTAATGCCCAGGGAAACTGGTTCAATATTCTGAACATGGGAATGTTTCCATTGGCAGATGGCACTGTAGTCCCCAAGGCAATGATCCAGCAACTGGTCTTGGATGAGTGGAGGAGTGTCCATGCGCTCAAGCTAGTTCCTGGAGATTGGATTGTCCTCAATAACCAAACTCTGCAGCATGGTCGTTTGCCCTATCGAAACAGTGGGGAGCAGAAAAGGACCATTCTAACTGTGTACACAGATTAAATTTGATTTCTAGAAGAAACTTATCGTTTGGACTTTGGTGTCTCAATCGGTCAGTCTGCCTTTTTGGATCTCTTTCAGGCATCATTCCTTCTACACTTCCGTGTATTGCGTGAATTAAGGAAAGGGAGCTGCAGCAAAGATCCGAGGAGAGATACCAAAACAATCTCTTTGTCTCACAGCTATGCTGGTTTCTTGTTGTGCGGAAGCATCACGGATTCACGGTCCTGGAAGAACCCGGCCGGAGCGAGAAATCTCGCGAAAAGTGAGGAAAAATCGCTTTTTTACCACTTCGGAAAGTCGCGCGAGGTCTCACTCTTTACTGCGACTTTCACTGAATGATTGAAATAAGGTATGCATAAAACGTTAAAAAGAAGGCTCGCGAAGTAGCTGAATTTCATGCAACGTTTGATGCGACTTTCACTACTCTGGCGACTTTCAAGACTTTCGCGACGACTTCCTTCCATCGGCGATCCGCAGCCGCAATGCTTGTTGTAACACAAGCCAATGGTGGCACCATGATCCTATAATAAGCACTCCGCAACCGATCGACCGCTGAATCAATCATGCTGCGCCACATACGCAAGGAAGTTCCACCAACGTCTCTCACCGTAGAGGACGGTTGTGAGCCTCCCCAGCATGACGCAGGGCCTTGTTTGGCCATGAGCCTCCAGAACCCGTCCTTGAATTTTGCTCGCATCTTGGTCCTGACGGCAAGCTCAGTTTATGGAAGCAATTTCGCCATTGTCAAGATGTTGGACCATGAAATGCCTGTTTCTGTATCTGCCATGCTGCGGTTTGGTCTGGCAGCCACTGTAGTGACAGTCCTCACTGCCACGTGCAATGCTAAAGGAGGACGAAGAGGAGAGCCAATGGCAGCAGTGGCGGGACTGGAAATTGGGGTTTGGTATTGCTTGGGATATCTAGCACAAGCCCTGGGTCTGGAATCCACGGATGCCAGCAAGAGTGCCTTCTTCAATGCTCTGGCGGTCATTGTTGTGCCCATTCTCGATTCTCTCTTTCGAGGCAAGCGGCTGGGCTTACATGGCTTCTCTTCAGTGGCATTTGCCTTGTTAGGAGTGTGCATGTTAGAGTTGGGTCCTGCCATGGCATCAGGAAAAGTCATGCGGGTGACACGGGGGGAAGCCTATTGTTTGGCTCAAGCCATTGCTTTTGGGATCGGATACTGGCGTCTAGAACACATCTCCACCAAATACCCTGCCCAAGCAGGTCTCATCACTGTGGGACAACTCGTGGGAGTAGCTCTGGGATCGACCTTGTTTTGTGTGCTCATGCAGCAGTTTCCCACTTTGGTTCAACTGCAAGGCTGGCTCTCCAATGGATTCACAGTCGCTTCCTTGGTTTGGACCGCTTTAATATCCACCGCTCTTGCCCTGTATTTGGAGACTGTGGCACTCAAGACTCTTTCAGCATCTGAAATGACAGTCCTCATGACTAGTGTGTCGCTCTTCGGGTCTGCTTTTGCCTATCTTACCATGGGAGAAACCATGTCCCGTATCGGAATGTTAGGAGGGCTCCTCATCCTTGTGGGTTGCATCTCCTCCTCGCTTGGTGGTGGTAGTAGCTCCAAAAGCGACCAAATCAACAACTCTCAGATTCCAAACAAGAAGGATGCCTCATTTTGGCTGACACCCATTGACGTACTGGAGATGATGGTCGATCATCCAGCCATTGGTTGGTGGTACACAATCTACTCCGAACTGAAAAGGGATCGACACGAGATGTCGAAACAGAGCTCCCCTCACCCCACCACACCAGCTAGGATCTGTTGCTATTCTATGGCTGCCTATGTTGTTATGCATAGTGCTAGGATTGCTGTGCGGTAGAACAGTAACTTAATTAAGAGAGGGAACAGCCAAAGCAACGATTGATCTTGTAGCTAGTACAGATACAATCTTCACGGAAAGGGGATGCCTCCAACGGTACCATTACTATTCTATTCTCTTTCGTTTGGGGGGCTCTACTTGCTTCCCCTTCAAAATCTCCTTTGCCCTGGAGTCATTGGTCGTCAATGGTACGTTATTGTAGTCACTGCCGCCCTCTTTCTTCTCCTTTGCCTCCTGGTTGGCACTAAATGCCAATTCAATCAAGTGCGCCGTCTCGTCCAAATTGGGCGTTTCCTCTTGGAGTCGTCGTTGCAGTGTCTTGGCGGCTTGTCGATACGTCGAAGCTTCCGGAAGCAGTGCCCGAATGGCTTGTTGAATGCGGACAGTGGTAGCTTGTGCCGGGGAATCCAACACCATGACGGCTCCCAGGGATCTCCATCGCGCCGCCACACCCGGTTGATCGTTGGTAATGGGAATGGCCAAGGCGGGAATCCCACGGGCCATGGTTTCCAAGGTGGTATTCATCCCGCAGTGGGTGATCACCATGCTGGCACGGTCCAAGAGCTGTAGTTGGGGTGCAAAATCAACAACGAGGATATTATTATTGTCGTTGTCGGCCATGGGAGGAATAATGTCTTCCACTGCCACACCCTTTTTGCCCAGTGCCAGTACCAACTGCAGCTCGTGCTGTTCCTGGAGGAGTTCCAAGCACGCCTGACATATATTCTGGTAGACTTGTTTGGATTGGTTTTGTACCGTCCCCAGAGAAGCATAAATGAGTGGCTTAGAAGCATCCAATTTATCAAAGGGAAAGGACGAATTGTCATCTGTGCTTTCACTGGTAACATCTGCAGTTGTATCGGTATGCCAGGGTGTCGTGTAGAAAAAGTGGGAAGGCAAAGTGTCGGGCTTTTTGGGGAATTCCAAAAAATAGGGTTGTTGTGTCACTTGAATGACTCCTCCATCTCGCTTCATCCCCGACGGAATTTCCGGTAGTCCATGTTGCAAACGCCATTCATTGACGACAGGCCGAGAAGAAATGGGACACTGCCACAGCAATGCCATCCAACCCGCCGTGTCTCGCAATCGTCCCCACCAAGCGTCCCGATAGTCCCACGTAGTGGTAAAGGGAGGCACATCGGTGCTGTGACTCACCGAGACGGTCGTGGCGTGTACTCCAAAGGGAATCTTCTTGTACTCGGCTACCGAAGTGGCAGCCAAGTAGAGAATCTCATCCAGCAAAATGGCGTCCACCGGTTGTTCTAGTGTATCCAAGACGCCGGGCAAATCGCGCAACAACAACGTGGCATAGTGCACCAAACATTCCGACGTGCACCGCACTGCGTCTATTCCCGATAGGCTGGCCAATCGTTGGTCACCTTCTTCCATGGCTTGGTCGTGTCCCACGAGTTCCACAAAGTCCAATTCCTCGCGTTCGGCATAGCGTTGGCCCTTGGCGCTGGCGACGAACGTCACACTGTGGCCTCGAGCTTTCTTCAAGGCGCCACCCAACGACGCGCCCGACGTCAAGTGGCCATGATACGGAGGTGCAATAATGACAATGTGCATTGTTGCTATATACGGTATAGTCGCTTGGGTAGTTCTCCAAGAGGCGCTGTCTTTGTGCGGATTCGATTTTGCTAAAACAATAGCAAAAAGATATTTTATTTAAAAAAAAGGCAAAACCATCCCACAACACCCCCTTCATGACCCCCTTCGTGGCCCCCTCGAGCAACCAAAGTCTGCTAGTTTTTGCCCCTGAGGTAGGTGTACACTACTAGCACTCCAAGTACGTACGGTACATTCGTACTCCTAGTCTACTAGCTAGCTAGGTAGAGGTGCAGAATTTGTTCCCCTCAGCCGCACACAGTAGATGTGCAGATTTGCCCCTGGTGAGATGGAATGCTTGCCCCAGGCCAAACTCTTTTGCAATGCCTTGCATTTATGTCTCTGTGGATCCGACAAGTTCAAGCTACTTGGCTACTTGGCCCCCGTGTTGGTCCTCTCAGCCTGCCACTGTCACCCTGAATGCCACAGAACATCCCGAATTCCGCCTCTAAGCCTGCCCCCGCTGGTGTTCCGGGTTTACTATGGATTAGAGAGAGAGCTAAGATGAGGATGGGGACAGAGCTCGAGGGGAGGGCACGATGCGGGAACGCAAGGCAAGCAATCAAGTGCGCAAGCAGGGCAACATGGAAAGGGGTGAAGGCAGGAGTGCAGGGAGGAGCAAAGGAGCAAGACTAGCGGAAGAGATCGAGGGCACCACAGTCATCCCAACGCTTGGAAACCGCTGGCTTGCGTTTTCCAAAATATACCGGTAGCCCCCCATGAAAACAATTAAAAAAGATATTGTCGGGATGTGTGGATCTGTGCATGTTCTGGAAAATGCGGTCACTGCTGGTACTGGACCAAGGTTATTTCTATCCTCTAATATATGGCTTGACCATTCGCTCCAAACTCATTTGAGCAATGTCCAGTAGCAACGCAGAAATGTTATCTAGCCCCACATCCCTGTCCTCCTTCACATCGGACAAGCAAGAGAGTGACATACTGAAAAAGTCCATTGCCATGATGGCATCGGACGCATTCCGTGGGAATGCCCAGCAATGGGATCGCGAGGCTCTCATTGAAATGGCCAATTCGTTGGGTGGACCTCGCATGCAATTGATTCATTCCACTGTCATTGAAGAGTTGGGTAGAATCCCACGAAGTAGCGAGGGATATGCGCAAGATGCCATTGAACTCGTGGCGAACCACGCCGAAGTCTTCTTTTTCAGCCACCAGTGGCTGCGTCCCAATCCAGAAAATCCAAAGAAATCACATCCCGATTCCGCAGACAATATCAAGGCCAAAGTCCTCATTGAGTTTGTCAAGTGGAGAAGGAGTTGGGTTACCTTCCACCATGGATTCTTTCCGAATATTTGTTTCTGGATTGATTATTGCTGTCATGACCAAGACAATTTAGAATTGGGATTTTCCCTTCTTCCCATTTGGACCGCCTGTTGCGAACGCTTTCTACGATTCGAAACACCTACCTATCATTCCAGAGTCTGGTGTCGGCTGGAACCCTTGCTGTCAGCCAAGTTCTCTTACGCAGATCATCATGTGGTCATTCATGCAAACTACAAGAACCAATGGCCCGACATTGGAAGAACGTCCGAATCCCTATTGTTGGATCCCCGCGAAGGACATTTGACCGATCCCCGGGATGCTGCAAAGCTGCAACCTTTGGTTTCTTTGGCGGTAGATTCTAGCAGTCATGGGACAAGGCCAATACATTTGGGGAAAACGACAATCAAAACAATTCTACTGTAACGACTTCGATCGAGTTGCATGGGCGCGATCGATGGTTATAGTTCCTTGGATTGCAACAATTGACAGCTGTACCAAGTTCGATTTGCCTACACGGAAGCAGATTCCCTGCTTCGTGTCACAAATCGTCGTATGACAAATGAAAGGTGCCACATCCAAACAACCAAACAGCGGCTCTTCCGAATCAATCACGAATCTGGCTTTGCCATGTCAAGCGGAGAACGTTTGCAATTGCAATCATCATAACGGCATGTGGGAACCTTTGTCAAATCGTCGGACATGAGAAGGTACACGGGTGTTTGGCACCTTTGGACGGTGGATCTGTGGCCCCCATGGGCTTGGCCATGTAGTAGCAACGAAACCCTGGGGTGCACGACTCCATTGACAATAATCTGTTCCGCGTCCATTGCTTTGGCCAACAACCACGTTTAGGTATTCTCTACCGCTATGTAAAACAATATCCCCAAATAGTTTCTCTCTTCTACTAGTAGAAATGGCCGTGAGGGATGTCCTGTCAATGGTCCATGGTTGCTACAATTTGGCAGCAGGGCTTGGTTCAATTCGTATTGTATTGTATTGGTGAAAATGGCAAAAAGTACTAGAATTGTATTGACCTCCAGAATTCATCCCAATACCAAATTGGGTTCTCTAGCTACAATACCAACAATACCTAGTTTCAATACCTACATGTAGCTACTACCTAATGTGCCTACTCGCCATCGGTCAGAGCCAATGCACTCAAAGCAGCAGCTGCTGATAGGAGCTCTTCATCAGCTTTGGCTGCCCATTGGGCAAACCTGGCATCAATCTGCTGCTTTCTAGCATGTTCATAGGCCTTCAAGGTACACTTGTAGCCTTCAAGGCACCCTATCCCTACCACAGGGGGGGGTCAATACCCAAATTGGTATTGTCTAGATCTGCTCCAATGGGGTATTGCTGGTGGGGCTCCAATACCAATACAATACCCAATATCTAAGACAGGCTCTCAATACCAAAACAATACAATCCAATTTTCAATACAATACAATACAATACAATTAAATTGGACCTAGCCCTGTTTGGCAGCCAACTCTTTGTGACTCTCCTCCGACCAAACCACTTGGAGCCTGGACTGTACCACTAGCAGAACAGAGAAGAATATGGACACATTATTATGATCCAGAATCCAACCACATCTACAAAAGAACAATGGACAACAAATTCAGCAAGCATGCACAATTATTCCACAGCTACGATACACACAGAAATGACACAGTAACTTCCCTACTCTATCAGCAACCCCAGCCACCGTTGATGAGCACCAGATCTATGGTTCCTTGAAGGATGGAAATCCATACCAGCCTCACAAGAGTCGACACAGCCAACAACAATTATGGAAGCCATTCCACACCTTGAAGAATGGGAGAGAAAAATGCTGGAACACCTTGAGCTTTTAGTCGAGGAGACAGAACTATGGGAACCCTCTGCAACGAACCATGTATCATATCCAGTGACGGCTAATCACCCAACCCCAAAGGCTCATTTGCATGGATCATTAGCAAACATGATGGCCACGCCTAGCCCGCTGCTGTGGACCAGCCTTCGGTTACAAAATCAACTCCACAGAGCAGAAGGATACGGAATCCTCTCAGCAATGAGGTTCTTAGCACAGCTCCAAAGATTCATTCACCCAACAAACAAGAATTCTCACCAAGCATGAGCACCTCTGTAACAACAAAAGCATCGGAGAGTAGTCACCAAGCACACATCATTTCAAAAAATATACCCCAACACCACACTGGGCTCTGAGTGGGACATCATTGCAGAAATCAGAACACAATGTTAGAAGACCTCGACGAAATCCAGGCCCTCAATCCATCACATAAAGGACATCAAGACGACAACAAACCAATTGACCAACTCCCGCTGAAAGTCAGCTGAATGTAGATGCCGATAAGCTAGCCGAACATGGCTCCAAGCTCACTCGGACACCGACTTACCAGAGTTCCCATCTTACCACCAGTGGATGCCAAGTTGAACTGAAACAAGGAAAGTCACATTCAATCTCAAACAAGAGCTGAAATGTGCAAGAACCTACCCACTGCTCAAACAAAATTGATGAAAGACTACAATGGTCAGAAGACACATTCAATGACATTGACTGGACCGCACATGGAAGAGCTTTGCGAAAACACGATAATCATCGTCCAACAATGGTCAAATAACTCAACAAAGTCCTACCTGTTGGAGCATTCCTTCATAAAACAAACCCAAAGTATTATGCAGGATGCCCATCATGCAACAACCTTCAGAAACAAGGCACCATCGATGGAATGCAGCAGCCCTGAAAGAATCAAATGGCGCGGGAAATGCTACAGTGCAGTCCTAGCATATGTCCAGAAAAAGGACACCTCTCCAAAAATCCAGGGCTTCTCCTATCAGGCCTCAAGTATGTTTACATCACCAAACCCAACAACAACTCCAAGAAGATCCTTCATGGGACACACTGAAACAAGCACAAATGCCATTGGATGGCATCACTGTTAAAGGGGAGAATCTCTAACAATTCAGTCAGGAACAAGACGATATTTGAACATGAAAAAGACCGCAACCAAAGCAACAATGGACTCACATGGCTCATGGACTCATTGACATTATCTATAAAGAATGGTGGAAACTCTGGGACATGCGCAACCAAGACAGACATGGGCACGACATGAGAACAAGTCACAAGCAAAGAAAGCACAAGCAATCGACAACTCACTCAGTTCTACGAAGCATACCGCAAGAAGTCCCTGAACATTTGGAATGGCTATTCCAGATACACTCGAATCGCGCATGCAACTGAATAACAGTCATCATTCAATTTTTGAACACATGGGAACCTGTGTTACAAGAGAGTCACTACACCACAGCCCTGGAAACAGGATAGTCGACATTCCTACCATCCCTTTTCCTTACCCCTCCACCCCCTCAAACTTCTTTACCAACCCCAACTCTCTTCAACAAAGAGCTCGTGATTTGTGGTGAATCATGGCTCTGACCTCAGTGTACAAATCCTAGATAGCTAACAGGCGTCGCACCCTCTCAGGAGGCCAGTGTGGCCGGTGAGCAGACTTGACTGTGGGAAATACCCGAGCCCTAGCTCGTGGGTAGTCCTCAAGCACATCTCGTCTGAATCCGTTATTAGACGTTCAGTTTTTTTTCTCCTCCGACTTGGCCAACTGAGTCGGCCACCAACATGGCTCGTCCCACTGAAGTGACATTGGAAATGCGACTCCCGGCCAGTTGTACCGATATACATAGCTTGGGGAGATGTCACTCTCTTGGTACCAAAAGAGATTCGATTCACATTGACGCTGCATTGCTCCAAATCTTCGGATCCGTCTTCAGCATTGTTGATGATGCCATACATACAGCTCTCCATCCACCTTGGCAGCTATCACACTTCTATCAGATAGATTGCTACACCAAATTTGGTTTTTGAAACCACGAAGCGCACCGGTACAGTTTCATACTGTATTCTCCGTACGGTAGGTACGGTACCGTGTGTCCTCGACTGGAATGAAAATTGGTGGAGCTGTAAAAGCAAACATTATATTTCGTCAGTGCTCTTTCAAAAGTATCTTTTGTTTGACACCTTGAAGGCCTTCAACATTATTATATATATATATTTATTTCTTCTTTGGCCAGCCAAGAGAGAGGGTGGTGTCAATGAGACCTGGGTTTGCTTGACACAAACAATGACAAAACCCAGCATCACTAGCCCCATCATCATTGAAGGGAACAGAAACTTGTGAGGCATCGTTGCTGGACACTCGAGTCGAGTCAAGTCAGCTTGGTTGGTTGGTTCGTGCATTTACATCACAAAACAAAACAAAAAAAAGACAGACACCATGGCCACCACTACTAATAGAACCAACCATTACTACTACTATGCCTGCGATGCAGCCCAACTCTTGGAGACTTGCATGGATCACTTGCAGACAGTCGTGGACCTGGATCGAAGCACCAGTAATGATGGAGGAGGAGGCAGAAGTTCCTTTCAAGAATTGCAAGAATCCTTGATCAAGACAGAACGACTCCTTCGACATTTTTTTGTCGAGATTCTTCCACCCATGGACGACCAAACTGATGACAATGGTCTTGCCTCGTTGGCATCGTGTGTGATTGCCTTAAAAGCCATGATGGAACAAGAGAGAGAGAAGAAGAAACAAAGTACTGCCAATGGCCACCATCCCACGAGAAATCTGTCGGGTCCTCGACACTCTCGCAACAGTGCCACAGATACATTGCTGTTTCGACTCATTGTGGCCTTGCAACTGTGTCTGGTTCGCATTGATGATGCGCATTTGGTAGTGGCGGGCATTCGAAGACCCAAAACCAGCAAAAATGATCCAATAGTAGTGGCACGACGCCGTACACGTCGGAGATGGCTCGTGCGAATTGGATTTTGTGCCACTGTATTGGGTGTCACGGTCTATCTCTTGCCCACTCGAAAGGATGACAAATATCCATCAAGACAACAATCATCACTATCATTATCATCGTGGAATAATAATCGAGAAACATGGCAAACACTGGCCAAAGCTGGAACGTGTACCTTTTTGTGTTTCCAACTAGCGCAGCAGTGGAAAGTCGCATGGATGACGAGCAAATTGGGAAAGACACAAAAGGAAATACAAGAATGGCACCAGCAATGGCGTCTGGTCGAAGGAAGCTATGGAAGTCAGCAACAGCTTCACACACTCTACAATGGAAATGGAAATCATCAAAACAGCAATAGCCACAAAAAGAAGGCCCCCATTACCGATGCCACAAAGGCACGTCGATTGATTGAATACGCCCAACAACACAATAATACGACACCACCATCCAGAACGTTCTGGGACGAAGGTGAATTACGATTCCTCATTGTCCGCAAGGCCATGGAAACTTACTATTCCTGGACATCCGCCGACGAAGACGAGCCATCCCACGACTTGTCATCGACAGCTCGTGCCATGATTTTGTCCAACTCGTGGGGACTCGTATCACGACCGGGTATTAAAGACTTTTCACTCCGTGCCTCGCGCTTTCTCAAGGGTGCCAGTGTCGCCGATCGCATTGAAATTGCCGGCATTCCCTGCTTTGTCATTTCCAAATATCCCTGTCCCGAACTGGCCACGGCCATTCAACAGTATTCTTCGACTCGGCTGCCACGACGACGCATGTCGGCACGTCAGCTATCCACCATTGAAGAAGATGCCAAACACGAAGAAGACCACACACTACGGAATCACCAAAAGCTATTTGCCGCAGCCAGTGACTGTTGTCGACAACAAGATATCATTCTGCATTGTACGGCGGGTGGGTACTTTGCACACATGATTGCCTTTGATTTGGTGTACCTGCTCGATTGGAGTGCATCCACGGGAGCCGTCGTGGTATGTCCCGAGTTTAGTCTCTTGCCGTCGCATCCCTTTCCCGTGGCACTGCAAGAAGTCACCAAGGTTTACTCCACGTTGGTAAGTGGTCAAGCCACGTCGGCACTGGGATTTGAAGTTCGACGGATTGCTGTCACGGGAGAGTCGACGGGAGCCAACCTTGCCACGGCACTCTGTGTCAATCTCTGTTTGGGAGGCAATAACAATACCATGAATCCAGACACGTTTTTTGAAAACACCAATCTACGACAGCATCCTTCTGCCGCCGCCAACAAGTCCAATGGACACGGAGGACTCGTGGAGGACCGAGAATCAGCAGCAACGACCAATGATGACACCACCAGTATTCGATTGCCAGACGCATTGATGCTGTCCTGTGCCGTTCTCAACATGTCACTGGAACTTAGTCACTCGCGTGTCATGGGGACCGAAGATCCCGTGCTGCCCAGTGGCGTCCTGTCGGCCATTTCAGATGCGTACTTGCCACCTTATCTCGGTATTCGAAAGACGCACATTCTGGCATCACCACTCTTTGCACCCAACAGCATTCTGGCACGTTTCCCACCCACGTTGCTGTTTGCCTCTTCGAACGATCCCCTCTTGGACGACTCGGTCGAATTCAACCAACGACTGCGAAGTCTCAATGTGCAATCCGAAATCCGGGCGGTGCAAAACATGCCCCATGCGTATTGGGGTCTAGGAATGGCCGGATTTCCGGAAGCCAAGAAGGTACACAAGGAGGCTCAAGAATGGCTGGCCACCAAGCTGACACGTGCATGATGTAGCTATTAGCTCATATGCAAAAATCGATCTTGTTCTGTGCAAGCTTTTTATAGAGAGAATTGTTACCAATATATTCTCATCGTCTATTCATTCTGATTGCATCATCTTATCGAGTCAATCTTTAGAACCATTAGGCGGTGTCATTGTGGCAGAGGCCTTTCTACCAATGCGGCTGTGCTCGTCAACTGTAGCTCAGAGGATAGTCTAGTTTTACAAAGGCCAGCACTCAAAACTGGTAAGGCGCTTGCTGGCGAATGCACGCCATGTGGTTGGCAGGAAACTATGAAGCAAGAATGCTCCGACTTGCATGTTCTTGCCACGGTCTTTTGCAAACACTTCCTTGGCTGACAGCATTGTCACACATTTTTGTATGTACCGGTGCGTATCCTTGGGCAAAGGAACAAGATTCATTCGAGTCACAGCACCGTGCCCAAGTCCAGCAGCCATCTCTGTGCTCTATCATCTAAAGACAGAGCGACTATTGTCGGGGAAAGAAAGAACATTGTTAGACCATTTTGCGTTTTTCCACCGTCATCTCCAGTATGTCAATGGATGCCAGCCAAGATGATACATCTTTCTTGTTTGGAATCCGAGAGTTGTTGTTTTGGTCGCCTTTGGAGCCACCACCACCACCAAGCGCAGAGGAGATGCAACCCAGAAGGATGAGAAGCCCTCCTAGCATCCCAATAGGGGGCATGGTTTCTCCCATGGTAAGATAGGCAAAAGCGGATCCAAAGAGCGACACACTAGTCATGAGGATTGTCAATTCAGATGCTGAAATGGTCTTGAGCGCCACAGTCTCCAAATATAAGGCAAGAGCGGTGGATATCAAAGCGGTCCAAACCATAGCAGCGACTGTGAATCCATTGGAAAGCCAGCCTTGCAGTTGAACCAAAGTGGGAAACTGCTGCATGAGCACACAAAACAAGGTCGATCCCAGAGCTACTCCCACGAGTTGTCCCACAGTGATGAGACCTGCTTGGGCAGGGTATTTGGTGGAGACGTGTTCGAGACGCCAGTATCCAATCCCAAAAGCAATGGCTTGAGCCAGACAATAGGCATCCCCCCGTGTCACCCGTATGACTTTTCCTGATGCCATGGCAGGACCCAACTCTAACATTCCCACTCCCAACAGGGCAAATGCCACCGAAGAAAATCCTTGTAAGCCCAGCCGCTTGCCTCGAAAGAGAGAATCGAGAATGGGAACAATAATGACCGCCAGAGCATTGAAGAAGGCACTCTTGCTGGCATCCGTGGATTCCAGACCCTGGGCTTGCGCTAGATATCCCAAGCAATACCATGCTCCAATTTCCAGTCCGGCCACTGCTGCCATGGGCTCTCCTCCTCCTCCCTTATTATTGCATGTGGCAGTGAGGACTGTCACTACAGTGGCTGCCAGACAAAACCGCAGCATGGCTGATACAGAAACTGGCATTTCATTGTCCAGCATTTTGACAATGGCAAAATTGGTTCCGTAAACCGAGCTGGCCGTCAGGACCAAGATGCGAGCAAAATTCAGGGACGGGTTTTGGAGACTCATGGTCAAAAAAGGTGCTGAATGAACGTTGTGCTGGGGAGGCTCGCAACCGTCCGCTACGGTGAGAGATGATGGTGAAAGTTCTTTACTGCGTGTGTGGCGCAACATGATTCGATTCAGCCGTCGATCGATTGCAATGGGAAGGAATGGAGTGTTTCTAAAGCATCCGAGTCATGGTGCAACACGAACATTGGATTGTGACAATTAACTGCAAGCATTGTGGCCTGGGCGCCTCGATCCAGGATCCAGGACCTTATGTCACTTCCGCATAAAACGAAACCAGCATAGCTGTGAGAAGAGCGAAGAAAGAGAGAGCAAAATCTAATCTAATTTAATCTGTGTACACAGTTAGAATAGTCCTAATTTGATCGTCACTGTTTTGATATGGAAGACGACCATGCTGTACTGTTTTGTTATTGAGGACAATCCAATCTCCTGGACATAGCTTAAGCACATGGACACTCTTCCATTCATCCAAGACCAGTTGTTGGATCATGCTCTTGGGGATCCAAGTGCCATCCGCCAGAGGAAACCCGCCCACGTTAAGAATATTGAACCAGTCTCCCTGCGTATTGAAACCACTCTCCACATTTTCAACAATGAGTTTCTGGAAACCATCTTCATAGGCTTCAAAGTGCACCTGGTCAGGCACAGAAAAGCCAATAGATTCAAAAAAGTGAATGGCCTCATTAGGGTCTTCGGTGCCTGTCTTTTCTTGCCAACTTGTGTGGAACCTTTTCTGGGAGTCCTTGTTGGGGTTGCGTTTGTCATAGTACTGCCGCTTGTACAGGATGCCACCATGTTTATTGACCATATCCTGTATTTCTTGTGAAACCTGTCTAGAATGGTCCGCATTCCGTGCCAAAATGGTCTCTCCACCCACTGGGGCTGCTTCGAGGCAATAAAAGGCAATCCTGCCAGCTGGTTGAGGATTGTAGTTCATCTCATTGTGGCATACCATGGCCAACTTGGAAGGGAAGTTGGTGACCAAATCAACTCCTTCCAAAGTAGTACGCTGGTTACCAAAGGGAACATAAGATACAGGATTCCACTTCTCTGCGTCATTGGTGGATGGTCCTGCCAGGCATCCTTTCCAGAACTCTGCAAAATCTTTGGCATTTTGTATCTTGGATGACAAGTTGCGAAAGAGCACTGCTTCTGTCCTTCTGATTGTAGGAGAATATGCTGACATTGTAAAGCAAGCATTGACAATATCTCGGGCTGAGCTTCCAAGTTGCTGCAGTGTTGCAGCCTTAGTGGTGCAATCTTCTGCCAAATGAAAGACCTGGACAAAGTCAGGCACAGGGAGGCTCTCAGGAAGGCTGGCCTCGTTGGCTTTTTCCTGTGACCAGAGCCATTGAGGTAGCCAGGTGGGATCAAAGCGGACACTCTTTTCTTTGTTCAGACCTTCATCTACGTGAACAAAGTAGTTGTCATTGGGAGCCGGACTACTAGTTTTGATATCCGTATCACCGGTGATGGTCGCATGTGCTTCTACAGTCTTTGCCACTATCATGGTTCATCTCATCAATCCACAATGGTATCAAAGAGAAAGAGAAACCCGTGGTGTGGTAATCCTACCGGGTCCTCCCTGCTTCTCTTTGTGCCCTCGGTGTCAAGCTTCCGCATCGTGACGATGATGGATAGCAAATGGCAACAGAGTTTCGTCATCTTTCCACGGTGATGGGAGTCGTTTTATAAGCCAGTGTGCGGTGTGAAAGTCAAAAACATTTCTCCTCTTCAAGCCAGTGAGGCTGATGATCACCACGGCCACGATCACAAACCTTCTCAGCAATGGCAACTACTATTACCTACTAGTAGCTACCGGTAGCTTGGCGCAGAACGGCCGTCCGGTACCGGTACCCGTGCGAACTTGCTAGCTTGCATCCCGTCTTGCAACCAGTTGCAAAACTGCTCAGCTGCGTGCTTGGCGTTGCCTTACTTCATGCCCTCCATTCACCAAAGTCCAAGCCATAAAAGTGTGACCTGTGCAGTGGACAACCGGTAGCAAAGCAGAGCATGGACACCTGAAATGCAACAATACAAAAGACTCGGCCACCAGATACGTTTCTCATACCTGGTAACGCTCTGGTTTGATCAGTTTCGAGTGTCAAAAAAATCAAGTCTACAATCACAAAAACCAATCCACCAAGAACAAACCAATCCACCAACATGAGCATCGAATTGCAAGAAACTTTTGACAAGGCAGTCAAGTTTGCCAGTTCTCCCGAGTGTGGCAAGTTGGGGTTGTCCACTAACCAAAAGGGACACCTCTATGCTTACTTTAAGCAAGCCAATTTGGGAGATTGCAATGGAAGTCGTCCGGGAATGTTCAACCTTGTCGCACGCGAAAAGTACGATGCTTGGAAAACATGCGAGGGAATGGAAAAGGAAGAAGCTATGAAGAAGTACATTGCCATCATTGAAGGTGTCGCTCCCGAATTCAAGTGAACTGGAAGCAGAGTATTGACAACAACAATCACCTGTTAATTTCTGTGTCGTCCTCCCCGTTGCCGAAAGAAAGATGTTATGCAACTACTAGAATAAACTAAAAACTAAACTGTATGAATCGCTATGCAACCTATGAAACCTTCGTTGATTGGAGCGAGTCAGTTTTGCCCGCTGACAGAGGTAGCTACGGTACTCAGTTCTGTACCATTGGCAAACCTTATACGGTATTCCTCCTTGATGATAGACGGGGCAAACGAGTGCCGATTCTGAACATATGACTACCGTACAATACCAAGAGGTGGTAGTTACAAGAAAATTGCAGGTTCGGCACCTCTATCTATACCGTACTACTGGTAGCTACCTGGTAGTACCTACCGGTACATCAAAAGTGTCCTGTCCCCCTACCGGTACAGTACCGGCACCGGTACAATCGAGCTCATTGCCGATCTCTTATTTCACTGATACTGATGAGCTACCGGTGGCAGCCCTGTTTCACTTTCTCCCTGGCAACCAAGCTGCTATCGGTAGCTAGTACTAGACGTTCCTCCTATCATACCGTACGGTACCGTACCGCTACGGTGCCTGTCTGAAGTTTGTGGTTGATAGTTCGTGCCATAAATAATTAACGTCTAGTGACGGCTTGCGTTAATAATAGCTAATGTTTGTAACGTCTCTTGAGGGCTTGCGTTATGGTACTTAGAACGCGTGACTATCCCCTCGATCCGACCTCTCGCTTTTTCCTGGTTCCGACTCCGTCTCACAAGAATTAGCATTCGTCCTGTCGGAACAGATTTGGCCAACGAACTTGGCAGTTGCTTGTCCAATCGAGACAAGCTTCACAAATTCTTTTTGAACTGGGCCTTCAAAGACACACACAAAAAGGGAGCGGCAGATGTTCTTGTCATAGACAGACTTGTCATAGAGAGACTCTGAATTGATAGAACCGTCATGATGAAGCAGTCGATTTGTGTATTGGTGGGTTTGGCTGCAACAGGCTTTGCCTCCGCGTTTCAAGGATCCATTCCATTCGAAAATTCTCACTTGACGAGAAAATCGAGCTCCAGTGCACGATCCAACAGTCCCTTTTCTCGTAAAGCATTGACACTTCCATTGTTGTTGCCCCACGAAGAAGGGAATGTGGTAATGGCAGATGATCGTTCCTTTGTCAACGGTGGTGATTGGCTGTCATGCGCATGCCGCAACCTCGAAGAGCAAGTCGCCCAGTGTTGGTCCGATGTGGAAGAGTGGGGAGTCGAAGCAGCGACACGGCTAAAAGAAGCATTGCCATTTTGGAACGACCCTGAGGGAAACCTTGCATCATCGATGGCCACTGGCATTGAAACTGCAGTCACCAAAACTGCTGACAAGGCATCATCGTCCGCCTTATTTCATCTGATGGATCCAACTGCTTATGAGTTGACGCAATCTGGCTTTGTGGGTGCCATCACTGGACTTTTGGTAGTAGCCTTCAAACTTTCCATTGAAGCTGTGAGGAGTCTTTTCTACGAACAGGACTTTCTGGCTTCACACCACTCGTTGCTTCCTCTGATCCCCGCCCTTGGAGGAGCCATGGTGGGACTGCTACTGCTGTCAGGAGGGTCCTTTGCCCCTGGCTTGAAAGGGATTGTTCAACAAGTTGACCAAGAAGAGCAACAGCAGCATCCAGAACTCAGCAGCAGCAAAAACTCCATTTGGGATCATTTGAAGGTTCAAGCAGACGCCTTGCGAAAGTCAGCGGCTGCAATTGCCACACTCGGAACCGGTTGCAGCCTTGGACCAGAGGGTCCTTGCGTAGAGATTGGATTGAACGTGGCTCGTGCATGTACTCAGCTCAACAAGCCAATCACTCAGTCAGCTTTGGACGCTCAACCGGACGATGAGTCGCCAGATCAAAATTGGAAGCCCGTGAGAGGCTGGAATCGAATTCTCTTGTCGAGTGGGGCTGCAGCCGGTGTTGCTGCAGGATTCAATGCACCAATTGCTGGCGTATTTTTTGCACTGGAAATCATGCAGAAAGCGTTTAGTTCGATTGACAAGGACGAGCCGACCACTGCTGAAAGAACGACAACGACCGACAAACTCTCCCCCAATCTGTCCAGTTTACTGCCCATGACAGCACCCAACAACATTGCCCCCATTCTTCTCGCATCTGTCATATCCGCATTGATATCGCAGAACTTTCTGGGCGACCATCTGGCACTTTGCTTTACACACATTGATCTAAAGACTCCTCTCCTGGAACTTCCCTTGTACCTCATTTTGGGAGGTCTCTCGGGCGTGGTGGCGGCAGCGTTTAGCGAGTCCTCCAAAGTCAGTCAACAATTCTTCGCTGGTGACTTTGGCCTTCCGCAAGTGCGCAGATTCATGTCAGAACTACCAGACGCGGCCAAGCCTGTCATTGGAGGCTTGTTGTGTGGCTTGGTTGGTCTAGTCTTTCCGCAGATTCTCTTTTTTGGATACGAGGCGATGAATTCCTTACTCAAGAACAATGCACTGCCAATGAACTTGGCTTTGTCGCTGCTCGTTTCCAAATCCGTCATGACAGCAGTCTCCGTGGGGTCGGGGTTGGTGGGTGGCACATTTGCACTGGCGCTATTCTTGGGGGCAATGCTGGGCACAGCATTTCAAAATGGATCCGTGCATCTTGCAGATACCATTCTGAACTGGTCCTACGCAAGTACAACAACTTGGCACTTGGATGCAATGACCATGGGGGCCTTTACACCAATGATGCATCAATTGCAACAACATGCAATCCCGGGCGCCTTGGAGATTGGATCGGTGCCGGCATACGCCATGGTGGGGGCAGCGAGCACACTGGCAGCATTGTTTCGTGCTCCACTCACAGCGAGCCTGCTGCTGTTTGAAGTGACACGGAACTATGATGCCATTCTGCCGCTGCTGGCGAGTGCAGGGGTCGCATCGATTGTGGGGGAACTCTTGGAGGAGCGTTTTGCGGCGAAGCAACCGGCGGTGGAGGTAATGACAACATTCACACGCCCGCGAGCATTCCGGGTGGCCCAACATCCACTCCTAGAGGAGGATGATTGCTACTGGGTAGAACAAGAACCAGTACACGACTGCCCCAGAGATGGAGTAGCACTCGAGCGCCAGTAGGCGACAATCAATAGACGCAGAATAGAAAAACAATGGAACATGACCGGTGATTTGTGCGAAAGAGACCGGTCGTTTTTGAAGAGACTAGAAGATCGTACAGTAAAATAAGTAGCTTCATACAAAAGTACAAGAGGACGATGGGATTGTTTGAATTGATTGAGAGTCCTCTTTGAGCTTTCTTGGTTAGAGCATTATACGGTCCATGAGAGCCATTCAAAACCAGGTGGTACCTGGTACCTTCATGCTCCAAGATTTACCGCTGGCCAGATACTGGCTGACTAAAGAATATGGTTGCTGATTCCGTAACAACAGCCAGTGTAGAAAATGCTGGCTCGCACTTCTGCGCCGCTATTAGTAGCCTCGGGAATTCACATGCTCCTCGGACCCTCGAAGGGATCGTCCACACTCGCGCTCGCCTCCTCCCAGTTCCCTCACCGCCGTAAACAAGATTTCAGCAGAACCAAAACACAGTCCCTTATTGACAATTTCATATGGCGCAGCCCACGTATGTGCACATTTTTGCTGCATGCAATCTTGAAAGCCCTCGTCACATGTCTTTCTAGAAGCAGCACATGCATCGTAGCAGGTGTCATGATCGGTGCAGCAAGTGCCAATGTCTACGCTGATAAAGGATGAGAGCCCCCAGTCATGCCACAATGCATTCTGCCAGGAGCTGCCCCCACAATCTCCTGCACGAACTGTTACAGCCTGGTGAAGAAGAGCGACCAATATAACGAGCACCATCTTGAGCTGGAACATGATCATCATTTTTTGTTGTCTCTTGATACTGTCGGTTTGTTTCGGTGTGCTGGTTTGTTTTATGCGTGAGCTAGCTACATTCAGAACTACAAGGAATAAGCAATTTTTTTTTGAAATGCTTGCTTTGCTGGTAGCAATTATCAAGCCTGAGTATTGGTCCTCTTGCGAAGAGAAGCCCCAGCACCAACTGTTGTTGAGTAGTTTGCGCAGGACCTTGCAGCCCCCAAGCAAAAGATTTCGTTATCGAGTCTGAGCAGATCCATTTTCATCCTTCTTTCCCTTTTCAGCTCAAATTGACCAATTCCGGTAACTACTGCTGGGAAGCTTTCATACACAAAGTTAATGAAATCGAGTCTGAGTATACCATGGTAATGATCAACCTCGATTCTGCTTCTCTGGTGATGTGAAGATCATCGTTGTTGGGTACGAGGAGACCAGGTCTCTTTTCACATCGGTTCAGAGGTGCGTGACAGGGACATTAGCTGGCTGGCTCGCACCACAATAATATTGCTATTATCCAATGCAAATTGTTCCGAGGCAAAAAAGAGGACAATGGCGGCTGAATCGACGGCATTATCCTGCCTTCTCTGGTTGATAGAGCCCCTAAAAGCACTGTAGAGACCCGCTACTGAGTGCCATGGCTTTGGTTGGTCGATTTGGTAAGGTACGAGCACTCCAGAGGCTGGAATTTCCGTCGAAACAGAGCCGTCGACGAGAAATTTGACGCTTTCCATCGCAACATCTGCGCTTTGGTGCTGTGAAATGCGCCGCTTGTTTCTTAGGTGCTTTGGTTGTCATTCTACATCATTTCTATAGAGATTTTGGTGTGGAAATACTCAAGTTTATAAGAGTCTTATGTGCTACTAGACTAGAGGTATTCGGTCGTCGTCCGACACCCTTCACCCAATCGCTCGTCGTTTGTGAAGGTTTTGGACCAAGATTGTGGGACTTTACTGAAACAAACATACTCAAACTCGTCTTTCCATGATTCTTTGACTACGTATCCATTGATAGATGGAAGGAATCCTTCGGGAAGAGAGAGAGAACAGCCAACCTCTCTGGCTGCTTTTGCGGCATCCGCAGTCTTCATCTTCGAGGGATCTTTGTTGTAAGGGCCGCGCTTGTTGTTCCTGTAGTGGTTGTTGATGCTTTCGAATGTCCTTTCAATTTCAGGCCTAGACTGAAGCAAAATCCTTCGGTAGATGGTGTTGGCTCTGTCCTCTGTCGACGTCATGCATTTGAGTGGTTTCCGAACTGACTCAATGCACTTGTGAGACGATTCGAAACCCTCTTCAGAGCAACGTCCAAGCATTCGGTGTCGTCTCACAAATTGCGGCACGTGTGTTACTAACACATGCAGTTTGTTGAAAATAGCCGGATTGTTTGATTGGGTATCGCCCTCTCCTGAAAGCTCAAGCCAAAGCATTGCATACTCTTTCGACGTCGATTCGAACTGATCACAGTTTTCCGTAGACCATTTTTTTTGGCTCTTCATCATGACTGACATGCGATAGAGCAACCGTGCCATTTTGACGAATTTGTTCATCAAATGGTCAATGGATGCCTGCATCTGTGGGTTGTCGAAAACTCGTTTCATTCGTTCGTCAATCTTGTCTATCCTTTCCAAAACTTTGATGCCATCTGCATTAGAAAGCTCGAAGCCACTGTTTTCAACTCGGAAAGGCACTCTTCCATCAACCTCGTACGTCTTTCGGAAGCAGTAGGTTGCTGGGCCAAGGATGCGCGTCTTGGACTTTTTGGCTGCTCCTGCCAAGAACTCGGCTCCTTTCTCCGTAAACAGCTTCGCAGCATCTCTTGCTTTCGTTGATGCCGTCAACATCGAGGCTATCTCATCGCGATCTGCTTCGAGCTGAGTGATCATTTGAGCGCATCCAGGTCGTGCCATGCCTCTTGCTGCAAAAATATCGCGTACAAGCTTCGCATCTTGCTTTCGAAGTTTGTCCGTGGAAGCTGTTGCGCTTTTGATGAATTCCTTTGCTTCGTCCAGCTTAGCCGGCAACTCGATCATCCATGTTGTTGTTTTGTCAATTTCACCCATAAGATCCAACATCTTGACTGTAAGATGGGTTAATAGCCCACTAGACACGTGCATTCCAGAGCAAGTGTTCATTGATGGAGGAGTGTACAACAATGGTTCATGAGTGACACTGCAATACTTTATTTTGAGTGTCCTCGCCTGGCCCGTAGAGTTCAGCCGCACCCACTCAGCTCGTCCTTTCGCTTCTGCCATGAATGCTTTGTACATCTTTGGATTGGCATAGTCTCCCTCCCGGTTGGATGGTTGTTCTTCTCGAGGCTTGGTCAGGTAGGAAGCGAAGTCTTTTTTCTTTGCAACACAGATTGTGCACGGACACATCACCGACGCAGTTCCCTGACCCATGAGAGTTGCATTGCATTTAATATCATCTGATGTGCAGCCGATAGCGTGCAGGCATTGCATTCTTACGCTCTTGTCGGCTCCTCCAACAAGCACTTCGGAAAATGACTCTGTGCAGACAATTCGGTTGAAGCAATTTCGCAGAATGAAGCCGCTGTAAGAGTTGTCATCGCCATCGGAATCCTCGACCAATTGTAGGGTCAGGCGAGTCACGTCGCGACTTGATTCCGACATTTCCTCGTTTGCGTCAAGGAGGCGCACTGCTCGAGGCAATATCCTCATTTCAGCATCATCCTGAGCAGATGCATCTTCATTGTGAGCAGCTGCGTCTTCGTCGTACCGAACCAAAAACAGCCGTCGATGATCAGTAATGGCAGAAGAAGGGAATACAAATCGAAGCATCAAACATTGAGAATCCAAAACCAAACCATTGTTGTTATTGTCGTGGATTGTGACAACGATCATGTGAAATTCTCCATCTAACAGCAGCTGGAGGAATTCGCGTGTTGGTTTGTGCGGGTTGAAAATAGTCTGCCGTAGGTTGAAGTAACTCTCTTTCCCAAATTCATAGAAAGAAAGCGGCAGGCAGTGTTGAGAGCTGTTGCCGGCTGACCGATTAGCGATGCGAACAAGGTTGGATGTGATATCTCCACCGCGATCGGAGCCTTGAACAACAACAAGTGTGTCCCTGTGATTACTGAATGATAGGGAGGCTTCAAACTTCCCAGCAACGAGAGCACTCTGGGCAAGGCGTTCGATTGCAGCAGCTGGGTCTTTTACCCAAACATGCAAACAACGTTGGTTTCTTGTGCTTCCACCAATTTCGAGTGACACCAACTCGAAGCCGAGTTTCAGATCGACCGTATCCATAGAGTACATTGCTATCTTCTTTCTCAATGATGGTGGAAACATGGTTGGTCCGACGCTGGGCAAAGCCCACTTGACAAACCTCTGCAAGCGTTCGAGGCCTCTGGCGGTCACCGGCAGGTACAGCATCAATGCTGCACATTGTGCAATGCTGAGTCGACCATCACTCTCTTTGCGGTATCCGACAAGGATACGCTCGAGTAGCCTGACTGTTTCCTCGGACGAGAGACCAAGGTTTGAGACCAAAGCCTCGACAAGGTGTCCTTTAGAACGAAACTTTCTTGCTTTCTTATCGCCAGCACCATGCCTTGATTCTTTGATTCTCAATATCTTCATGGGGCTTCCATTACGAAACGGTCGCAATGTGATAACCTCAGCTGATGCAGCCAAGCGAGCTTTTGTCACCCGGGCTAAGTCGTTGTTACTGTCGTCGTCGTTGATGTCGTTGTTGCCACCAGCACCAGCACGAGAAAGAGATTTCCTTTTCTTTTTGAAGAGATAATAGAGGGCTCGGCACATTTCTTCCTCGGACTCTTTGCTGATGGTGTCTGCATTCATTTCTGAACGAAGGCGTCCAGCGAGATCAGTCTGCGTGCTCTCATCAATAGAATTACTCAACGATGGAGACGAATTGTCAGTCTGGGTTGATGCATGCCTGTTTTCAGCTCGACTGAAATCAAGACGAGTCCCATCGTGCCTTCCATTCTGATCGCGTTCATTTTGAGGCGAAATCCTTGGCGATAGAAAGTCGTCTTCGACCTCCAAAGTGCCACTGCTGACGGGAGAACAAAGGTCTTCTGCTGCAGGTTGGGACATCGTGCTGACAGGTGAATTGAATTCTCCCGGGGCTGCCGCAACCAAAGGAGTTGGACGCATGTCCCGTCGCTTCGGGACTCTGACAAGGGGTGGTGAGAAGCCCTCATCTTGTTGGTGGGGTGCCCCTTCCTGAAGCCAAGCAGACCGCTTTTTGTTGCATTCATTGTCTTTGTTTCCACTCCCGCTAGAAGTAATCCAAGTGAGGAAATCAACTTTCAAGGCCGATAAGCAGGCTCTGCGGATTGTTAGAGAGACTACACCCCATGCATGCGACAGGATGTCGCTTGGAGAGTGCCCATCGAGTTTCCCACCGGCCCCTGACAGGCTCAAAAAGAGAAAAAGAAGAAGATTTTTCTCATTGTCTGCAAGACTTGGTGGCGTTTTCACAACCAGCAAACTACGGAGCCAGCCGGAAGGCAAGGATTTGTTGCCGTCAACAATGAAATCAAAAATGGGCATCCCCGACGACCATCTTGGTCGGCAACCAACCGTGTCGTTCAGGGACGACAGAAAAGCTTCAAGAGAAAAGTCGGATTCATTCTCGTTGGTTTCAGTGTCAGTGTCATTGGTCTCGCTGTTGCTGCTAGTGGCTGTAGTTTCCGTGGGCGACACCGATCGTTGCCTGAACAGATCTCGCAATTCGATGTTGCTCTTTGTCCGGCGAGCACTGCGACGGGTGGCCACCATCTTGGAACAACAGCCCTGTGCCTGAAACTCTTCCACTGCAGTGGCAGAGCAGAAGCTGGCTAAAGCAAGTCATGGCTCTGATTCGAATAGCACAAAAGAACAATCCTCAGGTTTTGTCGAGACTCTTTGTTCGAAAATTTGGCCCTCTCCGATCCGCTGCATCATTGAGCTGCTCGCTTATTAGCATTGCTAGTTGTAGCACATTGGATGGAGCCTTCGTCATACTCTGATTCGGTTCGATTGTGTGGTTGTCCGAGGTAGAAAGAGAGAGAGTCCAGCCATCTTTCTGTTGCTTTGGTTGGCCGCTGTTTGTATTTTATGCGACGCTGGAGCGAGTATCTCGGTGCAGTCAGCTGTGAATTTCGGAAGCGGAAAAATGAGCAAAATGGTGGTGTTAAAGTGTGCACTCTACAGTTCAACATGGCCTCGGTAAACACAAATCTAGCATTAATCTGGGCACCAAATTTGCACTCCAAGGTAGTTACCTTGGGTCGGACGTCCATTCTAGAAAAAGCGGATCTTGCCACCATGCACACAGCAACAGCAACAGCGATAGCAGAGTGCTGGTACCAGGTAGTCGATAGCAATGAAAGGCCCACTGCATGTAGTAGTCAACAGCATTTGAAGCTAGCCAACAATATTTCTAGATAGAATTATACAAAGCTATAGCTGCTAGATGTGCCGTCGTCATAGGTCGTCGTACAATAAACGTCGCTTGACTGCTAATTGGATTTGTCTACGGGAGGATATTGCCTCGAAGTCTGGCTGCTTGTTGTCGCTCTTGCTCTTCCTTGAGCTTGCTTTCCGCAATATTGGCATCAACGAGAGCGGATGCCTGATTGATTGCAAGCACTAGAAGCTTGCCACTGTCACAGTTCTCCGACCTTGGAATAATCAGATCAATTTGCCTAATTGCCTTTGGATGTTCTTCATCTTTCGAGCGGAGAAATCTCATTCGAACGATCCTGCCAGTTGTTTCTTTACCTTTGATCTTCTGACTCTTTGTGTACCACTCAAACCGACTGGTAAGTCGAAGCTCCATTGATTCGATGGTGTCATTCAAGTCAACACTCTCCGGAAGACTCCCATCATTGTTCCTCTTAACTTGAACCCCACGTATGAGGTAGCGGTAAGATGCCGTTCCAGGAATTCGATCAAATGAAGCAGCGCCACGATAATCGTGGATGATGCCATCGTAAGTCTCAAATCCAATGGCGACATGCCTCGGTTCTTCCATGTTGTCAATGTCTTCAATGGGATCTAACGAAACAACCGTCTGATATGAGGTGTTGGGGCTGAATGCCACTGGTTCGATGCCGGTGACGGACAAATTCATCTTGGAAGGGTAGCAAGGGTAGCAGCTGAATCGAATAAAAGGAAAACAGCAAGAGACGCAGGTTGTGAGCTTTGGTTCAAATCCTGTGTATGCCTGCCATCGAAGCGCCAATAAAGAAAACAATTGCCAAAATACAAACCAATGCCAACCAGCCTTCCTCGCCAAGAAAGATTCTCCCGCGTTACCAAGAAGGCCTTACATTCAACGGAGAGGACAAGAACATTTTTGGGTTCAAGCAAAACCGGAAGAATCGCCTTACCACACACAAACTCCTTCTGATCAAGCCGATTGAAAGCAACTTTCGCTCTCATTATCCACAAACAAGCCACAAGACCAATGTCCGGGCTCTGTAACGATGAAATGAAGATTGCCTTCTTCTCCAAAGATGGCACAGTCAATGCAACAGCAGTGAGCGATGAGACCCTGACAACCATTGTGCGAGGAATCAAACATGGGATTCAGCGTTGCAATGATCGCGGAAGTGATGTTGACATGTTCGTCTGCCTTCAAGGCAACAAGCTCATTCCCAACCATGTACCGATCTCACTGGAAGAAATTGATGCAACAATGGAGTCCTCGTCCAACGGAAACATGAAATTCAAAACAGTACAAGGAAATCATACTCTTCATGTCATCTTTACTGGTGGGGGCTCTCGTTTTTGCATCCGCCGTGTCGACCGTCAACAACAGCCAAGAGTCCCTTCTCGTCATGCCCCTGGCAACGATAACAGAGCCACCAACAGAGCCACCAACAGAGCCACCAACAGAGACACCAACAGAGACACCACTAGTAGGACCCACCAGAGGACCAACAATGTGGCTCCTCCTCCCCAACGGAGACGCACACCTTCCAGCCGAGCGGCCAACAGCAGCAGCAATTCATCTTCATCTTCGGAGGAGGAGGACAGAGTGGCACCGCTCCCTCGTAGGCGTGTCGTGAAGCGACCAGTGCAGCGGGATTCTGATGATTCCTCCGAGGCTGAAGAATACAATGACTTTTCGCAGATTACAGGGCACAAGCGTCGTGGTTGAAGCCTTCTAGCAGAGTTTGTTCTGCGGTTGTAGCGTTCAAAAGGCGACGGCTGGATCAATCAAGTAGGCCATTGTGGCTAGTGGCGGCATCTTGCTGTATCGAAGTTGCCACTACTACAAAATAGAATATAAAATTACTCTAGCACGAATATGTTAATGTTAGGCCGCACCTACTCGGCTGGGCTGGCGCTTAATGTACCCCTCGAACCGATGTGTTTTAGATTTGGCTCCGCCTCCGTGACTGGGGTTTCGTCTCGACTCGACTCCCGCGGATGACTCCCACGCTAATTTCCCCAAGCGAATCACGAAAGTCGTATAATCGCGTAAAAAATGTAAAAGTCGTGAAACAAGTCGCGCTACTGCACTCTTTGCTGAATCGAATCGTTCGTCGTACATGTACCGTACGAGCCTGACAAAAGTCGCGGTAAAGTCGCTCAAAGTCGCAAAACATTCAGGTACAAAATCAATGGAGTGACAGTCGCTAGCACCTTTGGGCGGAACAATATTATTTATTCCCGTATTAATAGCCTACCCTCGCCTCCAACTCTCTCCCAGTGGTATCGTTTGAACATGGTCTCTTCACTCACCGGCTGTCATGAAACTTTAATTACATTGTCGTTACATGTACCGTTACCGCTGATGAGGTGCCCATGTCATCTACCGTGCTCTGCTGTAGCTACCTGTATCATACATTTGGATGAAACGGGGACGGAAATCGTCAGCAGGTGCTCTTGTACTTTCCAGGCAGACGGGTAGAAACTAGTTATTACTGGCACCATGGTGTCAAAGCAAAACAGCAGAGTGTCAAAGCAAAAGAAGCAGCCCCAAAGATTCCTGCATGATCGTTCAATCGAATCAGAATCATTCGATTCTCAATCAGAAGCATGAATCGAATCCATGCGAAGTTCGATGGGTCGGAGTGGAATGAATGAATCGAATCTCCTCGAACATGGCGCGCACCTTACCACGACCGAATGGAGCGACCACAGCCGCTCAATTTACGGAACTAACACTGGTAAGCACGAAACCCGAACAAGATTGCAGCTTCCCGTTTTTGCGCGAATCACACCTGAGGTCTTTTTGAGTTTTGCAGAAACAAGAATTGATGAATCATCAATCAGCGAACCCCACTTATTACTTACTTGAAAGCCATTCATCAAAAAGCCAACAGCCCCAAAAAAGAGTGGATTACATGTAGAGGCTCACAAATACTATTTACCCTTCCTTTCGCACCATCTAGCTAGCTGCTTTCACAACCACAAACCAACCAACCAAAGCAATAGACAACGATGGAACCCAGCATGTTTTCCAGCAGCACCACGATGAACAGCGCTCTGTTCATGGAGTCTTCGTTTGCCAAGCACGCCAGTAGCTCTCCTTCGAACATGTCGCTGTTATCGGTCTTGGTGAATCACAGCGCCGCTCCTTCATTCTCCAAGCAGCAACAGCAACAAGAACAAGACTATTTGGATGAACACGATGATGACTTTCCCAGCACCTCGTTGGACTCACCCGTCTGTGTCATGAGCAACCTCCCCACCAGCGCCTTTTCACCAATCCCGGATCTCGGCGGCCACTACGAAGAGGCTACCCAGCGCATGCTGCATCGCATTCAATCGGCACGTCAGGATCTGCAACAACAAACGCAACCGTCGTTCTTGCTGCCCGACAACTTGGAAGACTCTTCCAGAGGGTTTACGCTGCAGCCTCGAAGAACCAGTATGGGGCAACAACTGCAAGAGCAACAAGACTGTTTAGAAGAAACAGAAGATGACGACATCTTTGAGATGGATCTGTAGGGATGATGATAACGAGTGTGTGGGGCTTCAAAGAGATGGCGCCGTCAACAAACAAAAGAACAGGGCAAGATACCAGCTAGACAGACACCAAACAGCAGCTAGACAGGACTACAACAGAATCCATAGAAACCTATAGAAAAACTACTATTAAGAGACGGTTCGCGGAAGAACTGGAGGCGGTCGCGCGTTTTTGGCTCGTGCTGGCGTCTTTTCACTTTTCGAATTGGCGCGAAGTTGGCTGCAGCGGCAACAACAACAACCGATCGATCGATCGATCGATCTTCCACCATGACGATGCTTTGGAGGCCGATACCGAACGAAACGACGCTTCTAAAATACAGGTAAGGTCTCTACAATTAGTCTATATTACCACTACCGATGTAGCAACAAGCGCAAGCTTCTAAGGTGGCGTAGTCATCGAGGAATGGTTGTTGTAGTAGCAGGATTTCGCTCCGCCGCACCCTCCGCGAGGTCAACAACAGGAAGGAGATTGAGCGCCACAGCTGCGGCGTTGCTCACTGAACACTACTAGTATGTGGTTGCAGCTCCAGCGTCCAAACTCGCTCTGGTTGTGGCTTCCCTCTACTACCATACCGGCGTCGAACGACATCAACTCGTCATCAGTGGCGCTTATCTTGACTTCGATGCGAGCAGTGGCGATTCGGAGGTCAACCAAAGAGATAAAGTGACCCTTTGAGCTTGTTTTGGCTTGCAGACACTATTAGTTCTTCGATTGTTGCTTCAGGGGTCACTTTATTGCTTTGGATCACCTTCGGTTCGTGGGATTGGTGATACACGTTTTATGAGCCCCCAGCCTCTACTCGGTGCGCACACCGTCTCTTAAAGAAAGAAAAAAACCTCTACTACAATCATAAAGAGCTGATCAAGACCAGCAACTTTATCCATCGCTGGCTTCAGTAGCTAGCTAGCAAAGCAAGAGAACCCCGAGTCCAGCCAGTTGCTTGTTGCAGCTGTTGATGCCGTTGCGGTACTGCCCTATCGCTGGGCTTCCGCTTTTGCCCTGTGGAAGTTGGACATGAAGAATCAGCAATCAGCATGATGGGTTTGACCAGTGTGCGGTGCACTTTTGGCTACCGAATATAAGACTTAATTGGAGTACAATGCCTCTATTCCTCAATGGCCAAGGAGTCCTTTCGAATTATGACTGCTACTAAATGTTTAACAATTGGATCGTCACAAGTGGATTCTTTCTTGATTGATGACTGTGTACAATGACTGCCAGCTATCTCCCTTGACCCCTTCACCGCAGAACTGCTTTGATCACGAAGATGAATCTTCAAATCTGTTTACTCTTTACCGCAATACTGGAGCACTCACGTTTAAGTAATTCTCGGCACCGGTACCGTGGGCAGGTCGAATCGAATCTTTCAGCAATGAATGGATGGAATCAAATCGAATCGAATCAGCCACTAAGTATAGAATTAGCAAAAATTAATGTACATGCACTTGGCTACTAGCTAATAGCCAGACTGTGTCGGTGACATCTGGCTACTAGCTAGCTAGTCTAGCTAGCTAGCTAGTCATCAGGTGCCTACATCTGTTTGAACCGTTCTTGCTATGCCTGCCTGACAACTTTGCTCCAGGGATGGATCTTGGTTTGGGTATGGAGAAGGCAATAATTGGATGCGGATGCATGGCTGGGGTGGCCTGGCCTGGCCGCTTGGCTTGTTGGATTCAAGATTGAGGGTGTCCTTTTCAGGTTCCTGGCCACAAGATTCGATTCGAATCCACATCAAACAGGGCACTGGTACCAGCAGCTGTGTCGTCTGGCTAGAATCTTCCTCCCAGCACCTTCAGCTTTGTCTAGTAGCAAGTAGATTTTCCTACTGGAATGCCTTGTTTGCTGGTGTCATGAGCCAAACCCTTGCACTGAAAGTGGCACTGTGCCAGTCAGAATAATGCTGATGCTGCCTAGATTGGAAGGGGGTGGGCTCTATTACCGTAGGAAATTCTCTTTCTGTTTCTTTGCTAGCAACGGCATGTGCTCCCAAGGTTGTTCCTTGGACCACTAGTTAAGGGTGCAGGAGTGCATCTATGTAGCTAGCTACTAGCTAGAATGTGAGACTTGAGACCATTGCTTGTGCTGCTAAAGAACAAGGGGGGAGAGGTTGATAGTTGACATGGCGGCCGAATGATTCGATTGAATGATTCGACTGTCACTCATTCAAGTGTGGTACATGTACTCCACAGCCTACCGGTATGTAGAGTTAGTTTTGCAGCCGGGGTGCTGCGACGTATGGATGGACACCACAACCGCAACTTTTGATCTGCATAGGTAAAGATGAGAGAAGGACAACTTGCAGTGTACACATACAGGATGATCGAATTTCTAAGTAACAAGCAGCTACGAACGTTGGCTTCGAACTACTAGTAGATAGAGCCCGTAGCTTTCTAATGACATAACAACAAACACTGACTCTGCCTCACTAGATTGGTTTGCGGGAGCAATACATCCACTTCAGGCACTCCGTCCAGCTCAATTTGCACATCCCGACACGTCCCTTCCGCCGAAGGCCCGATGTCGTTTCGCCCCCTCTTCAGCTTTCAGCTTCTGCTAGATTCCTAAATTGAATTTCATCTTCTTCATGCGATTTGCAAAAATAATTGCTTTGACGGCCTTGATTGCCTTTTTCAGCATGCGATCGTGCTCAATCTCCAGCAATGCCATATCCATGGCTTGATCTCCGGTAACTTCCTCGCCATCTTCGCTCGCTTGTCGCAACGGACTGTAGACTTTGTTTTCCATTTTGTACTGTTGAACAATCACCTGGAAGGCTTTCGGATGCTTCGCACTGATCCTTGAAATCATATCGCGGACTCCTGAATTTTTCGGGTACCATGCATTCATGGCCTTAATCGTCCACGCGTTATCGCTTTGCATCTGCTTGTCGTAGAGTTTTTTCCAACCTACGTCACAGAGAGCCCACTTGGGATTCACCGGAAACATGAACCCCTGATCAATCTTATCAGAGAGAAACTCCAAAAGACCGTCTTTCGAGTACTTAACCCAAGGGCCGTTTTGTTGCATGGAAGTCACAACCAGGAATTCGTCATCAAGATCCTGGGGGAAGTAGTAGTTGAAGCACTCCGCTCCATGGCGTACACTGCCATGCATTTTCAGACGATCGACGGCATGTGCCATCATGGAGTAGCTCGTAGGATCGGCAAATCCATATTTCGGGAAGGACACGTGGAATCCACTCTCATATTCCCTTTTCAGCTCTTCCAGCCAGCGCATCGTCCAGGTTTCCGACGAAGGCTCGAGATCCAATATCCTTTCAATCACGGAGATGCACCATTTCATCAGCTCAACCTGGTCTGCTGGGAGTGGTTTGTCGAAATCAACTCTTCTCGAACCAACCAGAAAGCAATCAAAGTCAGACACGACGGGCTTGACGACTCCGTTTTCTTGGTATGCCATCAACAGGTAGCGGGGGTCCATTGTGTGCTCCAAATCTTCGGATTGCAGGACGCACACGGGCCGTGGCGCTCCGGGTTTCACAGTTCGCAGAGTGTCCATATTCATGTCCTGGAACGCAGGTTCCGATCCACGTCCTGTCTCATGAATGCTGCCAGGTGGTCGTGAACAGTCGCCACGAATGACGTAAGCTTCAAACACAATACGTTGTGGAATATCGAGCCCGAAGGCTTTGGGTGCGAATTCATCGACGAGATAGATTATCGGGTCGTCCATCTCCCACATGTATTTTTCAAGCGCCGCTTGCAACTGTCTGTCGCGTTCCTCCAGCACTTTCTCCCTCGCTGCCATATCAGTCTTGGATTCTGTAAAATCATCCACGTCGAAATCCGTGGAATTTTTTCGCTCCATTTCCGCCTTCTCTTCTTCTGCCTCGATGGTCTTGATTTTTATAATGACTTTTTGTGCTTGCGTGAATCCCGCTAGCATTTCCACCGAAACTTGCAGCATTTTGAAGTGGGCCTCCCTGCGGGCCTCTTCTGTCTTATAAAAGATTCTCATGCGAGCGTCCTTGGGAACGGTCCGAGTCATTGTTTTGTGCCTTTCTTGGTGCAACTGCAGGAATGGCACAAAGCCAGAGAAATGTCCCTTCTTGGCTGATTTGCCCTTAATATCCAGACCTTTACCGACACCGTCCCCGACCATCATTTTCCGAATGGAATCAAGACTAGTAGGACGCCATACAGTGAAGATACCGGCTTTGTTGAAGAGAGAACTGGCCGTTTTGGCTTCTTCGTCGTTGGCAAAGTAGGATGATCGACGTATTTGTCCATCAGGTCCAGTGCCACCCACCATTCCAGCACTTGCCGTGAGACATCCTTGTGTGCAAATTCCATCGGGGCTGGTGTGAACGTTGCAGTATTCAAAACTCTGTGCACCCTTCTTCGCAACTTCATCAAAGTAGGAGAGGATCTGATATCGTGGATCCAAACGACGCAGAGCCGAAGCCCATTTGTTGACCTTATTCTTGGTGAGCGTATTGATCACCTTGATTTTTTTGACTCCTCGTCGTAACTTGGCCATTCCCGAAAAATAGCTCGGGCGTCTCCCACCGCCACCCAGGGGGTTTGCCACGGTACCTGCTGCCACTGTGGCTCGACGAGAGTCTGTGGACGCTGTGGATGACCGCGGATCTGCTCCAGCCGCCGGTGCCAAAGCCGCGGACGTGGCTGCCATGGCTTCCATGTCCGATTTGGACATAAGCTCTTCGCTCTTATCGTCATCCTCTTCATCAGTTTCGTCTTCTTCTCGGATACTCCTGAGAGAGCTGTTTGATGCGTCACGGCTCATGGAGGACGTTCGAGACCCGCCCGATACTCTGCGCCCGGCACCGAAGCCATACGCTGCCAATCCTGAAAGTTCTTCGTCATCGTCATCGTCTTCTGTTTCGCTTTCTTCTTCGATCTCATTCTTGTCCGCAATGGCCACCACCGTTACGGTTCCTTCGGCTCCAGCCAACATCCTGGCTACTTCCATGGCGGACTTGCCCTCTGTGAGTTTTCCATTGACAGTGTAGAGAATCATGCCCTGTTTCAATTTGGACTCGTCTGCCAGACCGCCAGGCAAAATGTTGGCAATAATGAGAAGATCCCGTCCCGAATCGGCTGCTTCGGTGAGTTTCATGCCCAACTTGGACCCCTTGGTTTTTGGAATGATGGCATTGATGTAGACCCTGTCTTCGGACAAAGGAGGTGCTCCTTCTGGCACAAATTCTGGTTTCTTCTTCTTCTTTTTTGGCTTTTTGACTGCCGTAGCGATCATTGCACCACCGGCTACAACGGCAGCACCTGTGGCAGCTGCCGCTCCTACAATCACACCGGTCGAAGGACCCGATGTGCTTGGATCAGCCGACATGGAGGCGGATTCTTGCTGTTGTGGCTCTTCCTTGTTGGGTTCTTCTTGCTCTGAGTCTGTCTTTGGTGTTTCTTCCTGCTTTGCTCCTTTCCCAAAGCCACCAAAGAACCTGGCAATTCCAGTCGCCGCGACAGCCCCAGTGGCTCCTGCTGCAGCCCCCACCGCCACGGCTGCTCCCGTCGACATGCCGCCACCATCATCTGAGGGCTTTTCCACGGCAGCCACCGATGCTGAATTTTGCATGGTTGGTTCCGGTTCTTGTTTGGGATGTGAAGCCGCCTTATTATTTGTAGCCACAGCGGCTGCCGTCCCAGCCGTGACGGCCACGGCGGCTACTCTACCACTATCTCCATTTCGAGTTTCCTTTCCTCCTTTGACAGCCGCGATTTTTTCCTGCAACAAGTTGGACACGATTTCCATTTCTCGTACAAAACCACCTAGATTTCCTGGAATTGGTGCTGCATCTTTCTGTTCTCCTAAAGCTTGTGCTTGTTGACCATCTTTGGGTCCCACTGCCTGCAAGAATTGCAACTGCAACTGGACGTGCTGCTCTAAATCTTCGGTTCGTTTTTGAGCCAATTCCAATTGCATGGCGAGCTGTTCCTTTTCCAGTGTTTCTTCCTTGAGTTTACTCTGCATCACGACCAATTCTTCCTTCTTTTTTTCTTTCTTTCGTTCCTTCTTGGCATCGCGACTCTTGATACTTCGTGTTTGATCCATATGCTCCAAATCGGCCAACATTGCCAAGTTCTCCTGCAGTCCAGCTTCCAATTGCTTGATTCGTTCTTCCTTTTGAACCAACTGCTCTTCGAGTGCCGACACGTTGGCTTCCAGGCCCTTGACTTTGCCGCGCAGTTGGACCGCCGTCACGGACTCTTCCGCCGACGACGACGACTTCATGGCGCTTTTCAGTGAAGTAGTCGAAGAGGCTGGACCACCATTGATGATCGCTCGGGGCATGCTGGCTTGGAAAAATACAATGAATCAATCAATCAATCAGCTCACTAGGTCCATTGCTCGCAGCAGAGCAGCTCCCTCTTATGACGTTTGGAATGGATCCCCACGGACTTGTTTGTTTGGTTGTAGACCTTGACCTTTGCTAGCTACAACTGTACTAGCTAGTGGTACCAGTAGAGGGACGAGACTGAGCCGTGGCCTCTGCGGAGATTTCAGTTGTGGATGACCTCCCTTTCTATTGTCTTCTCTGGACTGATTGATAGTAGTGGGAACTCGTAACTAACTGATGACCCTGATTCAAGGCGATGGACCAGATCGGATCTTGAGAAGCACACAGACAACAGCAAAGTGAGAATGCGGAAAAAAGTACGACCGAACAATTTTGGGGAGTGTCACATGGATCTTCGACAAAGATTTAAGCCAATTTTGGGCGAGAATAGGCATTAACTACTAATATACTGGATGATGCGACAGGATTTAATAAGGTCCTACTGAGTAGTCAAGGAGTAACACGCATATATCTCTCAATCGTAAAGAAATAAGTGATTTGAACCCCAGAGAATGCGCTTCCAAGAATGAAGAAAGCCCCTGCTACACTCCAAACTCAATAATATGAAAGCTCTAACTGGGAGCCAGTACTGGAGCTTTCTTACCCAAATGCTCTCTTTTGCTACTCGTTTTCTTTCTAACAAAACAAGCCAATTTCAGTATAGAAGACTTTCTTACTAAGCTTCTAGATCGAACAGGTTATCATTTTGATACACCCAGTGCACCTGCCCCTTGGGGTCCAATATGCTCAGGACTTGGAATGGTTTGGATCAAATAGGGATGGTGGCCACAGCCTCTGCCGTCAGGCAAGAAAATTTTGCAGATTTAGCCACAAGTTTGAAGCATTTTCATGGTATCAGACTAGTGGTATTTCTTATGATTTGAGGTCTCAATACTGGGAGGTTTTCTTACAAGTCTGTAATATTTCAGTATCAAGAAATTCTTATCTTTTTCTAAAATCTGAGTACTCGCTTTCCTATTTGGAGTTTCTTACTTTCAGGTTTGGAATGTACTGTGAGCCTGTGAGTGAAACATACAAGAGCTCAGTGGTCGAGAGATACCGGAAGTGGTACCACCACTCACCACTGCTACTACTAGTACCACTACGGTACTACATTTCTGCAACAGTAGTTGCACAGGGTCAGTATGTGCTTCACACTACTACTTAGTGGATCTTACATACCCTCAGGATCCAGCACAGTATGCTAGGTAGAAACTCTACAGTATCGGCAGTCATTGAAACAAAGATCCTCTCAATAAGACTCTCATTATTAAATAAACTGCAACAGAGAAGACATATGGCTGGCGCCTGAATACATAAAGAACTGAGAGGATTCCAATTTCGCCCTAAGTACCGAAACACATACAGTACGGGTTCCAATGCGATCCAATCGTTCCAGCAGCAAGTACGTTGCTGTTGCAGTATACTCAGTCCCAACACCGTCGAACGGTAGGGTATACTCAGTGAATCGAATCCCGTGCCGTAAAGAGGCAGACAACGCAGAAATCGTGCAAGATCCAACGCTGGCAAACACTCCGTAGCTCCGATCGCCTCCGTTTTCCTCAGTTATCCTCACTTTCAGCTCATTATTTTCAATCCTTCTACTCTGTAAAGGAAACTCTGCCGAAATTCCAGCTCAACCAACAATTGCTTAGTTGACCAAAGAATTGCTCCAC